TTTGTTTTTTTTTTGTTGTTATTATTTTTTGTGAGCAAAGTAAATTAGGCAATAAGCAAAATTTACATACAAAATCGAACCGGGCCGAGCCGAGCCGAGCCGATGGATGCACCAAATGCCAGGTGTGTGCACTTTTTGCTAGTCTCAAATCCTGCGGTGATTTGTCAGTGGCCATCATCAAATGTATCCTCTACTTGTGTGCGTGTGCGTGCCGTCTCACCACTGACAGCCAAATTGCGATTGCAAAAATACAAAAAAAAAAAATATAAAATAAAAAACACAAAAACGGATACAGAAAAACAAAAACATTAAAATTGTTAAGAAAATAACAAATCAAAGCTCAAATCGATGCTGTTGTGTTAGTAGCTTTTAAGCGTTGCTTCGATACGTAACTGACTAATTTGCCTGATTAGTCACAGAGCCGTTGACATTACTCATACGCATCGAATATTGACCGTTGTCTCTATATCAATTAATATACATCCATATGACGTATGGATGTACATACGCGATGAGTATAAGTTAAAGCTACTACGTCAGCAGTGATAAGAAGCCGAGCTGTCATCGTCGTCGTCGTTGTCATACTAAGAAAACCGCATGGCAAAAGTTTCCAGCATCTCACGCGGCTAATAATACCATGTGGGAAACGGCATGTTAAAAATAATACATTTTGATGTAATACCCATGTAATACAACTCATACAATGCTTATCAGCAATATCACCAAGTTGCGCATTTGCTCTGCTTTTTTTTATATATTTTATATCTTGTTTCTTTCGTGCAGAGCAGTCCATTCATTGCGGCCCCAAAGTGTTAGGCCAGGGCCACTGCTGTGGTCCAACTAACTGGCTGAAAACCCAGCGATCCGATGTGAATCATTCCTCGTTTCTTGGTAACTGCTGTTGCTGTTGCCGGAGAGCAAACTGCTGAATTCGCGCTCACAAAAAGAGACAGTGAGAGCGAGAGGGAGAGAGAGAGAGAGAGAGAGAGAGGGAGAGAGAGAGACTCTACTTCTGGCACTCACGTAGGCTGGCAGGTTTTTTGTTACTACAACTGATCATCAGCAACGAACTCTTTAAATTTGGGAAATTCTGACTGCGTTTTGAAATATGCATGCAAATGTGAATAACAAATAAATATGTATATTGGGATATGCCCCACAAGCAATCAGTTAATATTGACATGAACACATCTAGAAACACGTTATTTTATATATCATTAGGAAAGGGTTTTTTTTGCACTTTATCGCGTTTACTATTTTCTATAGTAGACTTGTCTTGTTGGGTTGGGTATTTTGATTGTATAATATGTATGCAAATGCAAATACAAGCGAATTTCAATAGGTAAACAGCTGACCCTATAACTGATGTATCTTCATATATATATATATATATATTTCTTTATTTGATCAGCATTAACTATAGTTGTAACTTTGTCATTTCTCTATTCATCTTCAGGATCAGAGTGTAGTTCTTCGTGGGGTCTACTATCCTAAACTGAAAGTCATTTTACTCAACTGATAAGGTTTATTATATCATCATCAGACTGCCACGCACACACACACACACACACACACATATCCTCTCTCTTTTTATTGTATCTCTTTCGAGTCGCTCTCTTTTATTCAGCGCAAGCTCACTTTAATTGTGTGTGAGTTGAGAGCGCTCTCTTTTGGTGGGTGGCGACGCGTTGCTCGCTGTGGATGTGTTTTTCTGTGGGTGTTGAAAGATGTTTGTTGTGCTTTTTGTCCGCATAATTGTGGGTGGAGCCAGCCGTTTATTTGTTTAGTTGTTTGTGCTGCGTTGCCTTTGTTTGGCCACCATCCATCCAGCCAGCCAGCCAGCCAGCCGCAATTTATATTCGCTTTTATGTTCATTTGTTAAATGCACGCAGAGTACGCACACCGTACGAACTTCATATAAACTTCGTTGTGGGCTTATTTAGTCGATTGTGGAAGCATTTAGTAGTAGCGTCCAGTTCCAGTTCCAGTTCCAGTTTCACTCACAGATTGTGTGCTGCACTTACCACACTCACCGTACACCAGAGCGAGATGGCACACTTGTTTTTGTGTCTCATTATATTTTGGTTTGCTCGGTGTCTTTACATATACTTTTTTTTACACATATATGTATATATACTGTATGTATGCACAAGGTGTACAGCAACTATATAAATATATATATTTATACATATATACGCCCTTAAATATCGAAAGACGTGCCGAAAAAGTTATATTCAATTTTATTAAACTTTATTTTAATGAAGTTTTAAAGACTTATTCTTACTATTTGACAGCAGTTACAAATATGCTTAAGCAATAATAAGTATGAAATATGTTAATAAATAATAAATATACAAATATTTGTATTTTATTTTAATATTATTTTCAGCAATTCGCATTCATCTTGTGACAAATTATGTTTCACATATTTCAACTACGCACAAAAGTAAAGGTAAACAAAATTGTTAAATACCTGAGAATAACAATTGCAGTGTACAATATGTTTTTCAATTTTTGAGCTAAATCCAACTGGGCAATGAACACAAAAGAGATATTTAGTAATATTTACCATTTGCTTTCCTGTTCTGTTCAATTCAGGATATTTAAACACAGGCAAACTGCTCCTATAACCTGAAACTAATAAGGTGAATGTGGATTGTGTGTCATTTGTGCCTGCTGCAGCCTTGTATATATTTTACCATAAGGATAGATGATCTAGTTGCGATTTGTGTTCAATGTGCTGACAGGACCACCCGGCTGGGGGGGAACATACATACATACATACTTATATATACGTGAACAATACAGTAGCTGGCAATGGGACCGCACAAGCTACGCTCTCCGACTGACTGACTGACTAACTGACTGATGGACTGACGGACGGACTGACTGGCTGATAGAGTGACTGACTGACTGACTGACGTTGTTGATGTAGTCCGAGCTAAAGTTAATTAGCCCAGCAAAAACAATAACCTAGTGCTGAACTGAACACTAGACCACGCAACTCTGTGCTTTGGTAATTCAAGTCGCTCATCATAAACTGCTGACAAAGTTCTATGTTGCTGATGCTGCTGTTGTTGCTGCTGCTGCTGCTGCTGTTGTTGTTGTTGTTGGTGTTGCCACCGCAAGCTGATTGAATGTACATGTGAGCGATGAAAATTAAGATCAGCCCAGATGAGTTACGGTACACGTTCTGCAATAAATAGTCTACCCGAAGATGGAGCACAGACGCGACACTTGGAGGCGGCCCGAAGGGGCATGTGTGTGTGTCGTCGGGCTTCTTGTTGTCATCATCCGTTCTGTCGGTTTTGGGGGCGCATGCTTCGATTGTGGATCACCGATCGTCAAGCGTCGAGCATCGAGCATCGAGCGTCGGCGTCTTTAACGCTCGGCTTACTTGAAACATCGTACAATCGAACATCTCTATAATTAACCTGTACACAATGAAGTTCGTCCATATTATGAACTCCTGTCAAGTGGAGTAATAACTCAGATATACGATTTCGTTCATTCATTTTGTGTCTGGTTTTCCTTATACACAAGTTAAGAGAGCGCACATAAATTGAGATATTCCTGTACACAGTTATTTCTTTATATTGTTATTTATATATATATATATATATATATATTCAAAAATGGTGGTGAATATCATGTTTTTCATATGCACTTCAAAGCCAGTCTTATTTAATTTTGATAATACTTATATATACAAATTAAAAGAGGGTACATAAATAGATATATACCTGTACTTGATCTACTTGGAATGAATACCTGTATAATTGGAATTTATATATAATATAGTTATTTTCACTATAGGCAAGTCGGACTGTAGTTGTATTGGCAGCTGGCAGGCGGCAAGACTGACTAGATTTGGCTTCTCGCACTGGCTAGAGTTACCACAGTTTCTCAATTCGATACTGGAAAAGGGCTAGGTGTAGGGGTAGGGGGGAGGGGGGGGGTGTGCATTGCATAGTTTTGCAATTTAACAATTGACTGCAGTTCAGCTTTTGTTGTTGTTGCTATTGCCGCTGTTGTTGTTGTTGTTGCTGTTGTTGTTGATGCTGTTGAAGTCAAGCAAACAACAGAGAAATGTTGGCACCTTAGACCATTGAGTAAAGAAGGGTCTCGGGGGTTAGGTGTAACTGCGGCGGGGTGTTCAATTTATTTATGCCAGGCAGAAAACCGCAAAAGCTTTGCACGATCCACGAGATCCACGAGAAACACATCGAAGATGTAGTCGGAGTCGGAGTCGGAGTCGGAGTCGGAGCTCAGCCATCCAGACAATTGCAGATGGTAGTCCAAATCTAACTAGGCGAGAGAGATTTGGAGAGCTGGATTCTTCTTCTTTGTGGTGTGGTTTAATGTTGTTGCTGCAATGCCTTGGATCATAATTTAATTACACACACTTTTCATTCCAAATTCATAATTTTTGCAATTGTTAATGTTGTTGTTGTTATTTTTAATATATGCGCATAATTAACTGTTGTTGTTGCCAATGTTGCCACCATTTTTGATGTATTTTACCTGCTGTTCCCTTTGCATTTCATTCGCGTGTGGTTAACTTTTTTGCATAATATTTTACATCGCATAGCTCGTTTTTATTTTTTTTTTAAGTAATTTTATTTATGTACACACATATACGAACAACATATGTACATATTTACATATCTACAAAATGAGCTAGACTTTTGTTTTGTTTGGTTTTTCTTTCTTCGACGATGTTGCCAAATAACTCGATGAAATATTTTTAAATAAATAACTTTATTAATAGTCTTCATTCATCTTCCATATAACGCTTTTGATCTTCGGATTCAAACAAAATAACAAAAATAGCGACACACTTAATACAATAATGCATTCTAATCTAGACTTAGGATCTATTAAAAAAAAAAAAAAAAATAGAAATACATTTATTTTATATGTTAAATACATATGTATACTTATTCTAACATTCAGTGTACTATATATAAATAAGAGATAAGCGATTAATGTCAAAAATTTAAATACATATACATACATGTGCTACACATAATGGGTATTATTTACAGTCCACTTCCTTATAGGCATTATAAGTTATAAGTTATGATGGAAAAAAAAAAAAAACAAATCATAAAATAATAATGTTTCTTAAAAGTGATTTAATTTAGATGAGGCAAGAAATATGTGTTTATCTTGTTGCTGTTGGTGATATTTCCGCCTAGTTGCAGTTGTGTTTCAGTTCTATGGGTCAATAGGGGCGCCACACTTGTGTCATATCGCCCACATCCTCCTCCCTCGCCGCCTCGCTGCTTACATCACTCTGATGCTGCTGCTGCTGCTGTTGCTGTTGCTGCTGCTGCTGTTGTTGTTGTTGTTGTTGTACCTCAAGTTGGCGCTGAGCTTCGTGTTGATGCTGGTGATGATGATGATGATGCAAGTGATAGTTGTGTGCAGCACCTTCCGCCGCCTGCTCGGCAATGGCGACCGCTGCCTGCTGCTGCTCCTGCTGCTGGTCTTGCCCCATTGGTATGCCACCAGTGCCAGCGCCCAATCCAATCTCAATGCTGGAACGACTGTTGGCCAGCGAACTGATGGTCAATTGCTGATCTGTGGACAGGTACTGTTCCAGCTTCTCGCTGCTGTGCAGATGCAGATGTATCTGATTCTGGTTGACAGTCGAATACAGCTGCGGATACAGCACCACTGGCGGCGGTGGCGGTGGTGCTCCACCGTGTCCACCAGCACCACCATATTGGGCGGCCGTTGCCGAACAGCTGCCATACTGATAGTTATTATAGCCATTCGACCAGGCCGTCGCCGCATTGTTGTATGCCGTCGGTGGTGGTGGTGGTGCACCGTAGCTGGCGTTAAGCGATTCCAGATCCGATTTGCAGCCGGCGCCCCCATAGCTACCTGCTGTCTGATACGGATCCGCGGAGAAGCCATGCATCTCCGGCAGCACCGTGGACAAATGATAATTGCCAGCGTCCAATGTGGTTGTATCGTAGCCACCCATTGTGCTACCATAATGATTCATCGCTGTCGCATTGCCCACTGCCACCGGTGCGGCAGCTGGCGGTGGAGGTGGTGGCGGTAGCGCAACCTGATGTTGCAAGTGGTGCGCATGATGATGATGCCCATGCGAATGCGAGTGAGAGTGACTGTGACCGGAGTGTGCATGATGATAGGGTACACCAACGCCCATGCCAACTGGATAGGCACCGCTGCTGGTCGAGCCTGTCCATTCGGCGGCGCCTATCAGATCCGTTTCTGCGAATTAATGAACAAATAGAAAAAATGCAAGCGTTTCAGAGATGGGTTAGAGCATCAGTTCCATTTACATACGTTTAAATGCTATAGTCTATAGACAAAAAGCCAATTAACAAGCCACTCACAGCCCGCACACCCATCCAGCAAATGCCGCCCACTTGTCACAAACATACACGGGCTACTGGCAGAACGGATAATTGAAAAATAATTTCATATATGCGAGCGAGATTCACGTGTGTGTGCACCGCCCAAACCACTCAAACCACCCAAATTCCACGGCTTGGCAAGGGGTTAACAAATTGCCAAAGCAAAAGAAAATTCCAAGGCATGCCACCGTGCAACGATAACAACAGCGGGGCGTCGGCGTTCTCCCATAGACCATTCTCCCACCAACCCTCTCGTCTGCCCATCACCAATGTTTGACACAATGTCGCTCGCATATTTTGACTAATTATGTAAGTCAGCGTACCCAGAAACTGAGAAAAGTTCCAACACTCAAGCACCCCCAGATGACAAGGAGAGCAGCGCCAAGAATCCCGTTTAATTAATCAAATTTATTAAAAGCAATACGTAAAGAAAATGAGGCGCCAGGTAAAACGAGAACACAACTCATTACGCGAATAATATACTATAAATACACTGAAAGAAAATCACATCAAGTCAGTAGAAAAAAACTGTATGAAATGCATATCATCAAGTTGTGCAAATGATCTCAATTAGAGACTAGATATAGTATAAAAGTTCTCGGGTAACATATGAAGATCAAATTTATATAATTTGATATCGAATTTCAGATTTCCGTAATATCGATACAAAGTCATACTTTCGAACACATAGACATTTACAGTCTAAGTTGGCTGGAATAAACCTTGATTAATTGTAGTCATTTCAATGGGATCGTATCAGGAATACAGAATTTGTTGAGGAGATTGTTTAATTCTATTAATTCAACGATGTGTACGAATTGTAGATACCCAGTATGCAATACTTAACCTATCTTCAGTAAAGTATTGGATACAGGCTATCTCATATTCGAGCTCTTTCTCCCTCTCGACTTGTTATATTCTTTCTGGCCCGATATTCAGTACAAAAACTGAGAAAGGAATTGAATCCTAAGTCGTTTTTATTAATATGAATTCTTGATATGATCTGGGATTAGATTAATAATTATGTAATATTCTGAGCAACTGTTATCAATTGATAATAGTTTACGTGACTTTATAATAGAGAAATACCTTTACCTTTAAATAAATAAATGAGGTGCATATAATAAAACAATCTGATGCGCTCCAATCTTTTTTTTTTGTCCACGGCAATTCGCTGACCAATTTTGGTTATCATACCCGTTTCTTTGGGCCCTACCTAACCACTTAATGAGAGGGTTGGGCCGAGGGGGGAGGGGCAAATTGCATGTAAGCAACTTTTCACCCGGCACTTATCACATTTTAATGTTTCAATTAAGGCGCAAATTGCATTGCAACAGCAATAGCAAAGCTGCAACCACGCCGAGTAGTAATCACAAAATACACAACTACCGCAACTTAGCGAGGATGCAATGAAGTGAGACCGCCAGGATGAAAGCAAACCGGGCGTATAATGGCCCTAAGGGCAAGCAAGCGATGTATGTATATAAGTATATATATATATATATTTATATATGAATGCATGTATGTATTTATGTAGCTGGTTAGGGCACAATTTGCATACTCTCGGTCCGGCACGTGGAGTTATTTGCCAAAGCGAATACAATCCAAAGCTAATGACAATGGTAGGGTTGGGTCGGTATAGTGCCTGCCATAAGTTTACGTCTAGATAATGGCCTCTCATTAATGTCACTTACATTGACTATAATTAAAGGCTTTGTTGCGTATACGCAATGTACATTTTCTCGGACAGAAAATACATTGCATAACTAATGTAGGTGCGTAACTTTTCATCTGTTCAAATGCATTTAGTATACAGTGCATACGCATATGTTTCATACAAAGCTACTTTCAACTTCAATTAAGTTGATTTAATATTCTAATTGAGACTGTTAACGGTACTTCAATTCACTCTTATGAAAATTGCTTTGTGGTAATAATTTGAAACCAATATGAATTTTTGCCAATATGAAATGTTAAATTTTTAAATGGTTAATTACAATATGAAATAGTAATAGTATAAATAAGAGAGGAAGGCAGAGAAGTAGAAGCTGATTTATGTTTTTGATAAGACGGATATGTATCTCAATTGAAAATAGTAGAACATTTTATAATTGATTTATGAAATTTGGCTTCTGAATTTAGCTCAACAGTTGAATGAGGAAACTATAATAGGTCTATCCTTCGACAGCGTTTTTCTCTCCGTGTATAACATTTACAAAACTGGAATGCTTCATAAAATATTGTTGGAATTTATTAATCAGTGATTTAAATTTAAATTAGCATCCTACTGTAAAAGCTAATGTAAAAACTGAATCTGCTTTGTTGGAAGTATCGAAAGGGTTGGGGAAGTGCTGCAAGAGGAGCGGAAGGAAAAGTAGGGGAAGCGGAGTAAATTTGCTGAGCAATTAACAAAATTAGCATATCTTCACACACAAACACTCGCACACACACACACACAAACACTCGCACACACACACTTATACACACAGCCAGAGACTGGCCGGATATCTTCGATTTTCGCTGGCCATATCCCATATCCGCTTGGCGTGCGATCAAGCGTAAGGAAGAGCATGTAGAAGAGGTACATACAATGTATGCATGTATGTATGTATGTATGTATATATGTTTGTATATATAAGTATTGTACAGTGCGCATCTAAACTAATCGAAACGAGCTTGTCTGCAACCAGAAACCACAGCTGGCCAATAATCGCCGTCAGCAGGGCATTGGGCATTGAGCACAAGTTGCTGCTCAGCCCCAAATCGTCATCGACCCCATTCCCCACTTCCCACTCCCCATTCCTCGTTCCTCGTTCATCGTTCATCGTTCCTCACACCCCATACTCAATTGCCATATGCCTCATTCCAGGTTCTCACAGCTTTTGCGTTGCCGTCGCCATCTTGGGGCTCATTAAGGACTGGTGTTGCAGCAGCAGTACCCGATACCGTTGTCTCGGCTGCTTGTTGTACCAACAACTGCCAGAGTAATGTTAATTAAAGTACATACCTCTGCCTCTGCCTTTGCCTCTGCCACTGCCTCTACCTCTGCTCACTGCTTAGCCTTTGCTTTTGTATTTTTTTTTCGGGCTTGCAAAATGGCGGACGGTGAAAAAAAAGAAAATAGTAACAACAACAACAACAACAACAACATCATCATCATCATCATCGTTGTAAACAGCAAACGGCACGAAACGGAAGTGAGTTTGCGGTTTCGGTTTGGCTTTGCGTTTGCGTTTGGGGTTTGGGGTTTGGGTTTGGGTTTTGGTGGCGGACCAACTTGGCCACAGTTGGCGTTTTATGGGCCAAAAAGATTTCATTTCAATGTACAATGGTTGACATTGTTGTTATTGTTATTGTTGTTGCTTTTTTAAATTTTTTTTTTGCGTTTGCAGTGACTGCTGCTGCTGCTGCTGCTGTCGCTGTTGCTGTTCATACATATTTTTGGATGCATCTTGCAGCTTGCAGCATTTGGTTGGTGCCGTAGCAACAGCTGCGCAACCGCATTGGGATTGATTTGTGGCTTTTTGGGCTCACAGACTACGTAAAAAGTTTGACAAAAGTGCTCCCTTCCCTTAACTTCCCCTTCCTCTTCCCCTCACCCACCGTAACAGGTGTGGAACTACATATTGCACAAGTTCTCAAAAAACACAAAAAAAGCTTCCTTGAATAAAATTAAATGAATGCAATGTGTGCAAACACGAACGCAACAGTAACATGCCAAATATTGCCACATTTTAAGGCACACACACATGAAGGTGTTACCCATTCTGTTTAGCAATCAACTCTTGAAGAATTCCACATTTCATTTTATTAAGTAAATAATTGTTCACTTAATAAAATGTATAATAAAACAAACTGAAGCTTAGAGATTTGCAATATCCGCCGTTTCCCAAATCTCTAGCTATGTATTTATATATTAGCATAACAACTTCGAGCGAGAACGTATTATACGGTCAAATGAAGGCAACATTCTCAAGAAATTTTCATTAAATGCTATTGCCTTTCACTTTTATCTCAGTAACAAAATATTTATATTAAAATTCAATGTGAATATACACTTGGCTGAAGTCTTCCTTTAATTTTTTTCTTTCTTAGTTACTTCCTTTCTAAGTTACTACCTTTCTAAGTTCTTCCTTTCGAAGCTCTTTCTTTTTCTAAGTTCTTCAATCTATCAAATACAAATAATATTTAGATATATATATATATAGCATATTCAAGAGGTGTCCCTGAATTCCACTTTCGCTGTTGGTTCAATATGCAACTTGGTCTACCACTATAATTACCGACTGTATGACACTAATACAGATTGGTAGCTTGACTTCTTGGAATTTCCGAACGATTTCCGCTGAAAAAAGCGCTATGTTTTTTAGCGCGGCTCATATTTTGTGTAAATTAACAATCGAAGCGCCACATTTAAATATTTATGTCTTGGACTTTTTAAACAGTAACAAGCAAAAAATTATACATTTATATGTGTATACGTATTTGTATATGTATATAAAGAAGCGCAGTGCTGGCCACACGCACGCTCTGCGATTTAGAGTCTAATACGTTTGGGGCATTTCCGGTTTGGACTTATTTTAGAAACCAAACATACAGCTAAAAAAAAAAAACCAATTCGATTGCACTGCCAAACGCCACTAAATTGTGTGCGTTGTTGCTATTGCTTTCGACGACAACGATATCGACGATGTGTCATTTTATTAACAACATATATTAATATGCATTGTATTTTGTATTTTGTGTTTCGTATTTGGGCAGTTCGATGAGCCTCAGCTTCTGCCTCAGCCTCAGCCTCTGCTTTTGCTTTTGCGGCAGTAACGCAATGAGACAACGAAAAATGCAAAATTCATAAATTAATTAGCATAAGCGACGCTTAGTCGCTTAGCGGTATCACTGTGTTTTTTTTTTTTTTTTTTTTTTTGCTCAGTTTCGTCTAGTTTCAACAGTGACCAAACAACAACGCGCTGACTCACGATACAGTGAGTCAGTCCCATTCCCATACCCACAACCAGTGCTTCAGCTTCAGTTTTAGCTTAAGCTTGTTCTTGAGCCAGTTTACAGCTTGAATTTCAGTTCCTCAAATTGCGTTAAGCGAAAATTTGTTGGCTTCTTAACAAAGTCTTTTTATGCCTATTTTTAGCTGTTAATTAAAGGGCAACAGTCGGCAGACTCCGACTACAACATGCTTAAGCCTACAAACAGGGTATGGCCTAGTTGAGCACACTTATTAGGTTTTTTTTCTTCATAATTTTCTATGCTTGAAGAAGATCTTATAAAAATAAAGTTAGAGCTTACCATATCTATGGAAACAAAGCTAGAGTCTTTCATATATGCGAAGAAACCTACTTCGATTTGCTAATCTTATCTTTATCTAGATTCAACGATATTTTATTAAAAAATCAACTCTTTTAGATTTTTGTCTAAACTTATTGCAAGTATTGGGCCTACTTGATAGTTGATATTGAATCGATAAACTTGCGAAACTGAAGCCGCGGAGTACGCGTGCTCCCTCTAAAAAAATAAGGAGCGGCGAGAGCCTAACGACAACAATGATTAACGTCAATGGCACTGAACTATTTTTAAGCTTCGTTGAAGAAAATAAATAAATTAGCGGCCCAATGTTAAAATATATAAGTAATAAATACTAAAAATAAATCGAGACTCTCAGATTGAGATGCGGCAACGGCCAACGTTCATTAACTCAATTAAAACATTTTAGGCCGTCTAGTGCCAGTTGAATCGAATCAAATCGAATCGAACCCATGTTTTTTAACCATTACATGCAGTAAGGCACTCTTTGTAAGTGCTTCCAAAATCGATCGTAATTCCAATTATTGTTCAATTAATCTGTGCATTAATTTAGATCTGTAGAGAGCCCCAAAAATCAATGGTAATATTTTAGTTTTTTTTATATAAAAATAAACTAATAATTTTATATATAAAAAATCATTTTGTGGACCCATCGAACATTTAACTTTTCTTCAACGTCATTGGCTCTAAATGAGATGTACTTTTAAAAGTGAGCAAATTCTTTTGCATTCCTTCTATTATTGATATTGTTGACTTTCTTAATATCTCAATTTAAGATATAGAATAAGAATCGCGAGTACCGAGGCAATCATGAAGTGTATGCTTAATTTTGATTAATTCTCATCTGTAACTCTCACCAAAGTCTGCATGGTTGTTATGTCTGCATTATCTGGTAGTCATTTAATAAGCACCCACCAAAAAGGCTTCTATAAATAAACACGCACACAGAAGCAAAGACGCTCAACATTAATACTCATTGCTTCATTAAGATGCGAGATTGTTGAGAGGGAGAAAGAGAGAGAGAAATGGAGTGAACTAGATTGGATTGGAAAGAGTTCTTGGAGTGTGTAGTGCAGTTTGATTTGGGTATCTTACCTTGAATTTGTGGCGCATTGGGTTTGTAGCCCTGGCAATCCGAATTTATTGTACTATTCGACGATGAGTAATTGCTGCTCAACTGTTGAGCAATACTAGCGTTTGTGGTTAACGCATTGCTGGCCGATGCAACCGACACAGCAGCAGCCGCCGCTGCCGTCGTGGCTGCCGCAACCTTTGCGGACCGACGTAGATTTTCGAGCTCGCGAAGTGTTTTTTGGTAACCGTCAATGAATGGTGGCTGGCCCACAGTCAGGGCTCGATATTGGGGACCGCCGGGTGGGCCTGCAAATAGTTTAGAGTATTGTTTTTTTGGCGGCTATAGTCAAGGAGTCCTTATGGATTTATAATTCTTCTCAAACAATTGCTGATAACTTATCTTGTGACAATGTATCTACGTGCAGCGTCTACGCATCAACTATGTGTTTCTGTCGCTCTAAAAGTAATGCATTCTTAGACTAGTACGTCAAGATAGGTCAATTCCTGTCGGACAATTTAGACAGTCCTTGCCCCAAATGAATACACAACCCTCTTGTTAAATGTCTGTTCATATATTCGTTCCACAGATACTCTGCTGATCATCTGTAGCGATCACAAACTCAAGGTAAACTCAAACTGCAGCATATTTTAAATGTATATATGGACTACATATATGTATGTATACCGGCATACATATATAGATATGTACATATGTAAATAAACACGTATGTAGATTAAGTATTGCAGTGAAGACATAAAAATGCATAAGCGTAAAAAAAAATTGATAAAAATAAAGAAAAAATTAATTCATACTCGTATATGCATTACACAAAGTAAAAAAACACTCAATACGACAACGTTGCCGCCTTTGCAAAAAGGTTTTCTTTGAAAACCGCAAAATTTTCAGAAACCGTAGGAAGCAATGCAATTCAGTTCAGTTGAGTTGAGTTGTGTTGAGTTGAGCTCAATATGTACGTCCGTCTGGCAGCATGTCCGTCGGTGTGTTGGTCGGTGTGTTCGGGCAAACCGGCTGCACTTTTCAAACACCTTTCCTAAAAGACCCCGCTCAACAAAATGGCCGAAGTCTGTCACACGATCTGCACTGCAATTTTCAAGTCAATCTAACGAAAATATTGTGAAAGAGATCCTCTGCTCTGATGTTGTGCACACCATCCGCCAAGGGGATTATGAATGATTACCATTGTGTGCAATTGGCCTATACGGCTTAGCCATTTACATCAATTAGACACTTGCTTAATGCGGCCTAAGTGTCGTTGCCTAGTTCTCAGCTCTCAGTTCTCAGTTCTCAGCTCTCAGTTCTCAGTTACCAATTCCCAGTGCCCAGTTACCATATTGGCCACATGGCGCAACCTAAAACTCAGCGGGTGGCGCTCGTATTTCTTTAGATACACCTCGTATTTGGTGTACTGAAGAGTGTTGTTCATTGTTAAATAAAGTGTTGCTTGTGTGTATGTTGTTTAGTGTTTATTATGGCTTTTGGTATTAGTGGCTACTTACTTGTTTTGGAGCGCGGCTCCCTTGGACCGTCAACGGTCACTTTGATGGCTTTGGCATAGGTGGCAACCTGTGGTGGGCTTGTTGCAACGGTAATTGTCAGTGTAAAGCTCTTACCTGCAACAACAAGAAACAAAGAGGTCCAGAAAAAAGAGTATTAAACGTCTTTTGTTGATTTATACGACAACAAATTGGCTACCGAATCAATATTTAGCTCCTCCTCCTCTCTTAACAACAAAACCATACATTACTTCAAGCGTCTCTTTGCTACCCTTTTCACACCGAAGGTATTCGGTCTGCTCACACAACTTGAAGGTGTAACTGGACTATAAATAGTATACATAATGGATATAATCCATATATATATATATATATATAAATTATAAATGCAAAGAGCTAGAATGCTGTAGTTTCGCTTTGGAAAAGGATTTTTGCAAACCGTTTTACGCAACTTTTCGAATTTGGAAATCAATTGAGATTGCATACAAATAATTGGCTAAAATATGTTTTATTTTCCAAGTGTATCTATGCTTCGGTTAGCACATAAAAAACAAGAACATTTTAGTTTTTAACGGCGCAGTTTATTTGAACTTGTGGCATAAATTTTGTTGATCCTTCCTTGATGGTTGCCTCTAAGTGTTTACAGCCGCTAAAAATACAGCCATAAAAATGTTGAAACCTGTCCGCTGGGCAACAATGTCCTGTTTGAATGGGCTTGACCATGTTTACACTATTTATGCTCAGGTCGGACGGTTGAATGTTCGTTTGGTTACTGCCATAATAAGTTTATCGACTTGCAAACCACAGGCGTAAATCGATTATCGGGTGCGAGGAAGCTGGGTCATCTGACGACTGACTATTGCAGTTGCCGTGCTAATTGCTGTTGCCAACTATCTCCCACTAGGTTTTCATTTTGGCTGCTCTAGAAAGGGGAAAGAAGAAAGTCAGGCTAAAAACCATGGCCAGAACTGAATTGAAACCGCAGAACTTCAGTTGCATTCAGAGTGACACCCAACCCAGTCTAATAGATACCTGAGAGGTACATTGTTGGAAATAACATTTGGAATTTAATTAAGGACAGATGATAAAACAAATAAAGTAACTGCACATGAAGTGATAGATAGAAGGAGTTGACTCAAATTGGAAAAAAAAGCTGTAACTGTATTGCTGAAAGTTCATTAACCCAGCAATTTGTTAAGAGTTGCCTCAAACTTTTCACAATACATATGTATGAGCATATAGATGATCTTTAAATTGTGCTCATCAGTTAGAAAGCGTTTGTCCTCAACACAACGTGTCTATGCTACATACACAGAGATGTAGCTGCCTCCATTTGCTGACCCCTGTGCCCCCTGTCATTTAGACGTATTGGCGTGCTACGTGGTCGTTGACTATGGCTTCAAATGTCTTCATTACCCTGGGCCGAGCTTGCGTTTGAAAGTCAAATCTATCGAAATAAGAAGTCAAATTAATCAAAGTGCTACACAACTGAACAACAAAAAAAAAAATACAAAAAAAAAATAAACAAAACGAAACGAAATGAAATCTCCAAAACTCAAAAGCGAATAACCAAAAACGTCTTAAAGATACTCCTAGACATTTTGGTTTCATCTCTTTGGCAGTCATTATTCAATAGAGGCACTGTTGTGTTACCTGGAACACGCTGGGAGCAGGGCAAAATGAGGGGAAACTAGAGCAACATGCTCCCAACAATCAACCATTTGTATATACAGGTTATGGTATATATAAATATATAAATATATATAAATATATATATATATATATATATATATATATATATATATATATATAGTTACAAAAATAACAAGAGAAGTCTTTTGTTGTAATGATAAAATATCGTACTACTTACGAGTACTAAAGACTCAATGTAAATGATAATACAGAATAATAATAATAATGAGCAGCAGTCGTACTCCCGGTTCCAATCTCAATACGATAACAACAACAACAACAACAGCAACAACAACAACAAAGCATGCAATCTAAATTAGTCATCAGCTTCAACCGCATTTGAACAATGGGCACTCAAATAACAACTTCGACTTGATCTTCGATGCCGACTCCGACGACTCCGATGCCGATGCCGATGCCGACTCCGTCATTGACTTCGGGTTCGACTCCGCCTCCTAACGCTGGTAATCGCATTTGTAATCGGAGTCGGAGTAATTGACGAGTAACGACGATCGATTTAAAAATAGAGCCATTGAGCTTTGCTTCAATAAGCTATATTTCTATTTAAGTCAACATATTCCAGCTATTTTCAACTTTCAGAATGTTTGAATTAATTTCAATTGCTGCCGAAAAGTTTAGTGCTTTGTAAAAATGTACAAATTTGTATACAAATTGATTAATTTTGATATCTCTACCAGTCAACTGGTAGTAACAAATAATAAGAGACATCACTTAAGTGATAGACTCGACTCTGAGTCGCATAATACAGCCAACCATCAAACTGTGCCAATTTCTGCCAACCCTTATCTAAATCAAAATGCCACAGATAATATCACTTATGCAATGTTGAGGCAAAACTTTGACGACTTATAAATGTTTGTGGCGCGTGCCACTCATTTGTCTTGTTTGTTTGCTTGTTTGTTTTAAAGTGGAGCAGGAATCATTTAATCCTTTTGTTGAAAGATTCAAGTCCTTTGATATGATTAGAGTCGAGCTGGTCGAGCTGATGATAGGCAATATACCGATTGCGAGATTTGGATCTATATGACCTCTCTCACTCGACCATTCGCTGTTAGCATTTAAAATCCCAATCAAGCATCATTTAAAGCAAACGCGTGACATTTCCAGGCATGAATCCAACAACGCCCACAAAATGGAAAAAGAGGCAGGATTAAAAAAATGAACAAGAAAAGCATAAAAAAGTCACATACATATAGAAATATATAGCGTTTGTTTTGCTGGTGGAAATGAGCTTTGTCATTTAATCAGAAAACGCCACATGATGTCCAGGCCTGCAATTTACTTTGACTGGAGTCGCTCTTGCGAAGGGGGTGGGATTTGGGGAGTCTGTTGGGCACTTGGCGTTGTGCAGCATGGCTATTAACTGTACAACACTGGCGCTGTCGTTGACAATTTGGTCAGTGCTTATATTCTTACGTCATTAGCTTGTTATTTGCATCCCTGGTGATTGTTGTTGTTGGTGTCGTTTGCGTTGTTGTCGTTGCTCTGCTGCTGTTGCTGCTGTTGCCGCTGCTGGAGCAGTAATTATTTGCTGGCCTTTTGCGGCACGAGCCGCCAATTTGCAGGCATGCCACACGGCCAGACTGGCAGGCAGGCAGGCAAGCAGGCAGGCAACAGTTGCAGCTAATTAGCCAACTGCTGCTGCAAATTCTATGCAATATATAAATATATATATATATGTGTATATGAATGACCAGGGGGCAGGGCCAAGTGCGCATATCCCATATTAACGGTGGGTTCAGGTTCAAATCGATTATACTATTGACTGTGGCATAAGACCGAGCCTTGCGTGACGTCTGAGAAACCAGCTAAAGAATAATGCTGATATCTTCTTGAATGTGTGTGTGTGTGTGAGTGTGTGTATGTGTGTGTGTGTATGTGTGTGTGTGTGTGCGTGTGTGCATGTGCAGCAGCAGACCGACTGCAACTGAGCTTCGACTTTCGGGCTGGCTTCGCTAGGTGAGGCGAGGGTTGCCATGCAGCCAAATTATCGGGTTACACTCTTCTTGCCGGATTGCCGTGTTGCATGTTGCCCCTACAGCCAGTGGCAACTGCAGCGGCAGCAGCAGCAACAGCAGCTCCTCTAATATGACGGACCGCTGGCCTTTCATCCTCTTGATGCGTGTTGGGTGTGTGTGTATGGAAAATGATGGCACCAATATACATATGCACATGCACCTATAGGATTCGCATCGGATTTGGCCAATAAATAAAAGACTACATCACTCAATCAAAGCGCTTCCGCTCGCAATAACTTCCGCTCAGAAATGCAACAAAGTGTGAATGAATTGTGATGACTGTGGGAGATGAATGCAAATTGTATGAATTTCCTGAACTTTGCATGCAACTGATTATTCCATTCTTACACATCAAGAGTTTGGCATTTAATATGTTTCCATATAATATGCTAAACTTTTAATAACTGCTTCACATCTTCGAGCTTTTGAAATTAATCCTTTGCTGAGGATTTTGAGATTTTGAAGTTTGTTATGCTATTTGGTCATATTTGAGTAGAGGTATGAACTCAAGAGCCACGATTTGTATGATTAAAGGTGATACAAAAGCATCATATTGATTGATATTGTTGGTATGTTATCAGTTGTGCTCAATATACCAGATAACAAGATCACATCAAGTTTGGAGTGTTACTCACCTCGACCACTGCGTCCCACGAAGGCGCAAATCATTGAACTTGGCCACACCGTTCTTCATTTGGGCGGTGTAGTTGCGCAGCTCGGCGCAGCAGTTCTCATCGTTGCCCGCCCGGATGGTCACATAGGTGCCATCGCCAACGTCCGCCAATGCGACGACCTTAAAGGCCAATGGTAGCGTTTTATTTGAACGCCAGTGGGTGGGCAGGGCGGAGCAGAGAAAGTACGGATTGCTCGTACGCACTGTAAGTTAAAAAAAAAAAAACAAAAATACAAAATTTAAATTCAATCAGTGTTCGCTTTAAATTTATTTAAACTGTGCAAAATATGGTGAATAATTGATAGTTCTATGGCGGCAGTCGGAATCGCAATCATCAATCATTTGCAAAAATATTCAAGTTAAATAATTAACATAATTAATTATGCTTCATAATCAATTAGTGGGTGGCTACACCACACTGGCACCACAGCGCACCCTACCACATCGGCTCCCCTCACGTCGGCCCATCAGCTGTCAGTTGACAGTTCACCTACAGGAGCACGACAACACAACGGATAAACCCTGATGAAGGTCGCCTATCTTCAATATTGCTCGACAGGGGTCAACCAGCTGGAGATTGATTTGCTTATCAAGTGATTTTTCGATAATTTCAATTTTATTATAATTATGGGCGATTAGCCCATCGTCAAGTCACTTCATATCAGAATCATTATAACCTTTGCCGAGAGTAATGTTACTTATATATAGTCTTGAACATCATAGTCACGCGAGTCTGCCTGCGAGTGTGTCTGTCCTCATTTTGTATAGCCATTTCTAACTTGACACATATCCGTTTCTTTTTTGCTTTCGTCACAGGACTCGACATAGGAACAACCGATGTAAAGATGAGTTATAAGTTCTGAGATCGATAGACGTAAACACACATGTAATTCTTTCTGATGCAATATTACTACACAAATGTGCAATATTCGATTCTCAGTCAGTCGTGAAATAGAAAACACATACATTTGTTAACTTAAGGCGTTAGCTCAAGAGGTGGTCTAAAAGGATATGAAATCTTCTATAATCTGCCTAGGAGAACCTTGAGAATATATATACATACTTTATGGAGTCGGATATGTCTCCTACAAATATCTCAACAAAATTATTGTATAAAAATCGACCGATTGTACCTTCATTTTATAGTAGTTCCGTGTTAATTATTAAATACACATATTATTTGAATGTGGCCCGCATATCTTAGTAATCGTAAAAAATAATACATACAAGAATTCATCTCTCGACCGATTTTTCTGATGTTGATGAATATTCAACAAATGTTAAGCATAATACAAGATCTATCTACTCAGTTTACCAATATTTATAAACATCTTTGGAAACTAAGTTGAAAAATTGACGAATGTCAAAGTTTCCTTATCCTTTATCATTGCTTTTGCGTTGCAAATTATAAATTTGTTTTGAGAAAAGGGAGTCTCTCAAAAAAGTCCGTTCATTATAATTATAATTTGAATAATCTTTAGCGTTTTGTACGTCAATACTGAATGAATTTAAGTACGAAACTTTTAGTTATTTTAAGTAACAAATGCTATACAAATGTGTGAAAATTTTTGAAATTTCTCTTGAAAAATTGAAATCTACCCAAAATAATTGCTAAACCTGCCTTCTGGTGTTAATTTTGACTTGTGCGAAACGAGATTGGAACAGAAACACAACCGCGCCACATCCTTCAGATGCGAGAAAGGAAAAAAGGTTAAGGAAAAAGTGCAGGCAAAAGTGCTTCATTCAATAGTTTCCCAAAAAACTGGTTTTAACTGGCTGAGATTGCATTAGCATCAATGGGTCATTGATATGTTAAGGAATATAAATTTCAATTGAAATTTGTGCAGAAGGCGAGGACCAGCCAAAGTAGAAGACGCAACAGGAGAAGAAGCGACTCGTGCGTTAATATCAATAACCGTTGATATCATATTTACGCATAATGCGTATTGGCAGCAGTATCGAATGACTTTGGCAACCAGTTAAAGCCCCAAAAGTGCAGCTGGATGCCTTGGCCAGGCATCCATCCTGTATAATTGACACGAGCTATGTAAATCTGAGCTACTTGTCAACTGAATATGTAAAAGAATACCGAGTTCAGTTGAATTATGTTTGATGAAATCGGTGAACGAAGCTCCAAAGAATCCCAATTTGGGGTTAATACAGCTGGGCAGCTCATGGGCAAAGTTCACAGTTGTGAAATGATCGCAGTCAAAATTGAGTTCTGGAAGTTATTTGAAATAGTGATAAGATGTTTTAAACACTCGCAAAACAGTGCGTTTGCTTGAGATATCTTCGTGAAAAAGAAGTTCTTCATGTTAGAACTTATCTTCGATGGATACTACAGGATATAGTGACCTGATTCTGGCTGATTTAGGCATATGTATGTACTGCTACAACAGTTTATTTAGTTGACCAACAGACAGAGAGAAGGACGTGACTATATCGAATCAGCATCAATATACATATATGCTGGACGGGGTCGCTTGCACACATTTCTCGATAAACTTGTGTTATCCTCTAAGTTTTTATTGAAAAGTAATCATCCTGCATGCAAATGTTTTCAGTTTGAATTGAGAAGATGCATAGGGGGCAACTGTCTGAAGCTTATGGATAAAACTGGATAATCTGTTGCTATGAAATTGTCCTGTGACCAATTTGATGTCGAGGCATCTAAGACACAGCTGCCTGCTGCTCACCCAATTCTCCTGGATACTCCTGTTGTCTTTCGCGCACAAATCTTTCCATCCACAGCAGATCCTGATGCACTGCATTGTTGTTGTTGTTGTTGTTGTTGCTATTGTTTTTGTTGCCGCTGGCACTGTGTGCACTATTGGCGGTGCCATTGCTGGCGCCACCTGTTGGCGAGCTGCTGCCAACACTGGCGCTGCTAGATGGCAGCACCTCGCACATGACCGCAGCCGCTGCCACCGCAGCAGCAGCAACCGCTGTACTGGCGCTCTTATAATCGCCCGGCGACGACCAGCCCGTACCCGTTGGCGATGCTGAAGATGTGACCATGCTGCGATTGCCGGCGATGCAGACGGATGGCACGGCCTGAGCGGCTCCTGTTGATGTTGCCGTCGAGCCCGTATATAGCAAATTGTTTTTGCTGCTGCTGAAAACTGCTGCTGTTGCTGCTGCGGATGTTGCTGTTACTGCTGCTGCTGCTGCTGCTGCGGTGGCTGCCTCTTCGCTGCTCAATTGCAAATGCATTCGGCGCCAATTTGACGGATTGATCTTTTTGTTGTTTTGACTTTGTGCGGGTTGTATTTTTTTTTATATATATTTTTATTTCTTTTTTTTTTTTTTTGTTTCTCAGTGTTTTCAGTGCGTTATCACTGTGAACAACACACGTATCTTGTATGCATATATTTGTTCCTTGTTTTACACGCACACACGCAACCACCAGAGTGGTTCCTGTTTACAAGAAAGATGCCAAAAAATCGTTTATTATTATTACAATCAGACTTATTGCCTACTCTCAGGCGCTGTAACTGTAACTGCAACTGCAACAGTTGCTTTGCTGTTTTTTGTTGCTGTTGTTGCTGCTTCTTTTGTTTTACTTTATTGATTTCTTGCGTTGATGAATCAAAATTAGTCACAAATTAACACTTCTATATTATTCATTTTTTGTTTTTTGTGGAAAACGGTTTTTATTGCTATTGCGACTGTTGTTGCTGTTGCCGTTGCTGTTAAGTTTTGTTGTTTTGTCTTTTTTTTTTGTTGAATTGGGAATAACTCTCGCTTTTTAAATACAGTGGTGAATCAATTTTAAGACGAGCCTTCAATTTCGTGCTTCTTGGAGTCAACGACAACAACATTGACAGTGTTTTGAAAACAAAGTCAATGCATTAATTTGGTTTGCCGCCGTTGGTTGATTGTTATTTTGGCAACGTTTCATGTGTTTAATGCTTTCGCAGAAATACAGAACAACAACAACAACGACAACAACAACAACAATAACACAACATACCGGTTAAAAAGAAGCAAGTACGAAAATTAACAAGTATTTGTTTTTGTAGAAATGTAGCAGGGTTTATATTGCTTCGTTTTTGTTTTTACTTGTCGAAATCGAAATCCATTTAAATTTGTGTTTCATTTGTCATTTCAAAAAATGTTGATTTTGGCGCGCTTTTGTATTTTGTATTATTACCCAACTTGGCTTAGGCAAATGCATTGCGATATAATTATATATAATTATTTGAATAATTATTACACTCGCACCCACACACACACAGAGCACACACAACGCCAATATCGAGAGTATAAATGTGCATTGGGGTTTTTCTTTTAGCTATGCCCAGAAACAAAATATGTAAAAAAAAATAAACAGGTGCGTCCGCGTGTCGAACTAAATTGTTACTGACACCTAACTTGGCCACCAGCGGCGACTTAACCCATAAAACAGCCGCCAGCCGAGCCGAGCTCAAAATTCAGTCATCGTCATCACTATCGGCGACGACGCGACTGTTCTGCTGCTGCTGTGATAAGCTGTGTACGTAAGCTGGCAGCTCTCTCTCTCTCTCACTCGCTCACTCTCTCTTTGGCTGGTCTCTGTATTCAGCAATTGCCTTTTGCACAGCTGAACTCGCGCTGGCTCTCTTACCACTGGCGCTGTTGTTGCTGTTGCTACTGCGGCTGCTGCTACTGCATGAGTTTAGCTCTGCGTCGGCGTTGTCGCTGGCCAATCGGCTGTTGTTTGCCTGTGCATTGTGTGCGTACCGTTATGTTCCCGACGCCTCTTGATTGGCCAGCGAGTGTCTGCGACTCTGTGTGCGTGTGTGTGTGTGTGTGCGTGCGTCTGTCTTGGCGATTGTGTTTTGTAGGTCATGGTGGTTGAGGCGCATTTTTGCTTTTGCTTGTGTTTTTTTTGGGGAGCCCATTGCTATCTGTCATTGGGTGGAGCCTGCGCCTGTTCTCCTCGGTGCGACCAATAGGCCTGAAGCCGCTCTTTGGCCACGCTCTTGTGTGCGCTCTCCTTCTCTCTCTCTCGCTCTCGCTCTCGCTCTATCTCTCTGTTAGAGTTTTAAGAGCAACTCATATGTCGCTATCAATTGTCATTTGTTATGTTATTTTGTACTAAATAAACAAACCCTAAATTTAAATGGCACAAATGTTAAATGTTCATATTTACGTTTAATTTCAAATTCCAAGTATTGCGATAAAAGTTGTGATAAAATCCGATTTGGCTGCGGTCGCACTGCGGTCTGAATTATTTATTCATATGTGTATATTTGGTATCTAAAACTAATAACGCATGTTGAAATTATATCAAATTGACCAGCTATTATAGGTTCTTGCTGGCATGATAATTACGATAATACAATTTTAACAATGTACACTTGTAAACTAATAAATTAAAGTAAACACTCAACAAGCTGACGGCCTTAGCTGCGATTTCTCTTTAATAAGTGAGCTTTATATAAGGAAAGGCATATTAATGATATATATATATATATATTAAATACCAGGACCTTGACATGTGATTCGCATATTGACCAGTTAAAAATGACTTTTTGACATTTGTCATATGTACAAATGTGTGTCGCAAAGTTGAAAGTACAAAAACCCGTTTTCAGCAACCTGCAGTTGCACCAGTCTCATCGTTGAGTCAACAATGGGTGACCCAGCGAAATCCGAAAGGTACTCTTGCTCATATCGCATACACTTATATATATTTGTCTACATATGTATTCAGAGATGTATATAAAAAAATTTCTGGAACTATATACTTTTATCGCATATTAACAGAAATATACAAGTGCGTACTCAGGGGAGTGGTTACCAGTTGGCAGAGAGATTTAGAATTTGGGTTGAGATTTCGAATTTGGGCTGAGATTTCGAACTTGGGTTGGGATGAGTTCTTCCAAAACCTTAACGTTTAATTATTTCAATAAAATTTATGAAATATGATAAGCATTAACCGATACGACAAAAAACACAATTTCAGCCCCCCTTCCCACTCACACACATCTGGGTGCTCCCGTGATACAAAATTTAGCTTCTGGTTGTGTTATGTGCACACACACACTCTCACACACTCACACATGCATACTATCATCGCTTTATTTTGCTTTGCTGCTTAGCACTGTGGGAAACTAGCCGCTTATCAGGCAAAACGAAAAGAATAATTAAAGAATAATATAAAACATTGGATATATACGTTCACAAACGATATGTACGATATGTGCAAAAAATGGGCATATCACTTGCTGTGGGATATTGAGGGTCAAACAGCATGTTAATAATATTTTTCCCACGCCATTCCAGATAAGAAATAAATCCATACACACATGAGAAAATACATATATATATTATATACACGTATTTACTTAGGCATATCTAAAAACTCTTTTTTAATTAAGTTAAATTAATGTAGATAAACCATATAGAAATTTGTATGAACCGAGATAGAATTAAATTGATTTGAAGGATGTGCATGTGAATATAGTTCTTTATCCCTTCGATAAATATAATAATATTGATAGCCGATTTTAAAATCATTTTGAATTAAAGTGACTACCATTTCATAAATCTAATAGAGAAACAATCGGTTATCAAGGATATGCATCAATCGGCTTGCTCAAGATTGTTTTTAGTTATCATAGGCTCATTGAAAATCGGTAAAGAGGGAACAATGGTGTTGTGCAAATGTCTGTAACAGGCAAAAGGAAGCATCTCCGTCCGTATAAAGTATATATATTCTTGATCAGGATCAATAGCCGAATCGATATGGTCAAGTCCGTCCTCAGAGACTATAGGAGCTACAGACTAGTTTGGAATATAGGTTCTCGTATACCCCGTACAGATAAAGTGTGCTTATTTTTATCGATAACTGCTTCTGTTTCGCGATCATCGATACATTTCGATTTCCGATAGCGATTACAGTCACCATTTTAATAGTAGTGGCTTTTTATTGATATATAATTTACATTGACATATTGTTCAACATGCAAATCAGATAAGAAATATCTAAATTATACGTCTTCTCATATTGAACTCAAATTTTTGCAAGAATTTTTTAGTGAAATTTGGCAATAAAACTAGAGTATATTTAACAGCTGGGTTCAGTGTATATCGTGTCAAGCTCACTCAATTATAGCCTCATTATTTATGGTATATTTCTAATTAAAATCACTAGCAAAAACTTGTTTCCATGCAAACTAGTCGATTAGTTTAATAGCTTTCTTTGGGAAAATTTTTGCTGCGGCTGATAAAACTCTACGGATTGCCCTCTATTGTATGCGGTAAAAACAAGTCAATTTAGTTTAGTATGCATAGTTTACGATAGATGGCGCATTCGTGGAACACTACAAATGAAGTTTGTGGCGCCATCTGTTGAATCGTATGTGTTTCCTTAGTCAAGACACAGCTACAGGGTTGGCTTTTAACATAAACTCCTTTAGTTATTTGTCGACAATCGAACTGATTTCCACCCAATAAACAATTATGTAACCTGTACTATTTCAATATTATTATTCAAATACTTACTTCGATAATGTATATTTAATTGAAACCAAAAGACGATTTGTTAGTAGATTTATTTATTTGCATTATCTTTCTATTTTTTATTGTTGTATTTTGATTACAGGCATTTCAGTTAGCATAAATAATAATCTAGTAATAATATGTTGGATAAAGTAGCATTTTGTTTAATTAATTGATATGCTTTCAATATACTACGGTAATGAACATATAACTCGCATCATTCATTTATATGTACTTCGATACCCTTGCAGAATGAAGCATTGAAAAGAGAATTCCATTGCACATATGCCTGATCAATCCAAGATGTTTGTATTCTTTAAGTGCAGTCAAGTTCTTTTCTGTGCAATTTTATAAAATACTTTCGAAATCGGACTAATTTTATAAATAACAAACCATTTTGCTTACAAATTTAACTGCACTTAACGCGATTCTAGTACATTTCGCAGTGCAAGGGTATTTGATCTTCGGCAACCCGAAGCAAGCATTTCTTTTATGTTATTAATGTAAATAATATTATCAAATATGCATTTATCTTGGACGGATTAGTTCATATTATTCATGAAAAGCTGTAAGCGACTTTTCAACATATATCGTATATTAAAAAAAAAAAAACTAAAAAATATATCATTTATATATGTTTGAGAATCCCAAAAGCAGGAAACACTGGAAGCCACATGTACTGATTCTGTCGTAGTATGTATGTTCAATTAGGAAACATAGCATGTGCTTGCAACAATTTGAAATTTGTGCCAAGTATTGGAAATGCCATAACCCAATTATTTGCATGTACGAGTATATGTTGTGGTCCTTGATATTTTCTAGTAATACTTTAAAACCTGTGATCCATCCACAATTACTACATTAATGTGATCGAGTACAAGTCTTTTACATTTCGCCTGTCTCTTTGTGTCTTGGTGGCAGTTAGGAATGTTATAATCAAAATTGAGTTAGTTTATTTGGATCGATTTCTGATTATTGATTAGTTTTTTCATAACATAAGTACTTTTGTACATTTCATGACAAAATTAATCAAAATCGAATTGAATTCCATAATAGTTAATAGAAATAGGCAGCATATTGTCTAATGCAAATTAGAGATACATACATACATACATACATACATACATACATAGTTAATGCACTACAAAAATATATTCTATGAGCTTACGATGTTAAGCTGACTGTAGTTGAATGCGCTTTAATGTATTTGATAAAACAAAAAAAGGGCACAGGACAAAGGACTTTACAAGTGTCTTTCCATTATTTAATATCAATTTTCCTTTCAATTTTTTTTTTTTTTTTTGTTCTATTACTAACTGTGCAAACTGTGTGTGTGTGTGTGTGTGTGTGTGTGAACATTTTTTCAGGCAATTGTAATTGGCACTTTTGTTAGTATAGTATTATGTGTATATATAATTGGGGTGTTTCATTAAGTGATTCAACGCATTTTTTAATAGATAGATTGATTGGTAGCTAGAGTCTCCGAGTTGCTGTTTGTCAAGAAAAGCCATATTATTGATAAAGTTAAATCAGTTAAAGAAATTACGCCAACATCGAGAGATTTGTCAAAGCAATATCTGTGTGTATTGTATTATATTTCGAAACTAAGTATTTATAACCATTCCCCGAAGCGTTTGATCGCGCTAGTTTGTGTGTTTGTGCGTGAGCTGTGTAGTTTTAGTCGAATATTTGCAAAAAAAAAGAAATCTTGACTCGTTATACAAGGAGGATTGCGTGTAGGCGCCTACCACTTGCGCGGTGGCGGCGGGGGCAACGGTTTACCACCGGCCTGGTAGATGCTTCGATGGGTCTCCACATATTCACTTTGCGTCTGCGCCACAATACGCTCCTCAGCTGGCACCAAAGCACCGAGCTGAGCTGGCTGCTGATGAAACAGATTTGTAGTTAAGAAATCTGATTAATAACGGAGATTCTTACCTGATGACGGGCGCGGTGTGCGCGAGGTGTGCCTTCTGGTGATGAGATCTCAACATCGTCGGGTGCTGTCCAATGCTCGGTGAACTCGCTGGCGGATCGTGCCAACGATGGATGGCTAATGGAGCGATGGAACGAGCGGCGATCCTCATCATCATAGTACTGCATGCGATAATACGAGCTGGCATCGCTCACATTGTCCAAATGATCGGGCTGTGGTCGGCCAAAGTCAACCGTCACTTCGGACATCGAACGGAAGTCGTTGTGGTCCGTCTGATAGGATGTTCGGGAGCTGCGTCGCGATCTCTGCATATTAAATGCGCCCGGTACGGCACCGGCACCACCAACACCACCCACATGCAGCGGCAGTGTGGGATCGTTGCGTATGGTTCGGACGCTGGAGCCACCATCGCTATCGTACTCATACAGCGTGGGCAGGGAGCTGCGTCGGGAACGGGTATCCCATGGCTGCGGGGCGGACTTCTTGCCTCGCTTGGGTGTACGCATTTCCACATCTGTGTCTTCGTCATCGTCGCTGGGCGGAGCCAGGATGCGTATGATGACGTCCCAGGTTTGCGGCTCGAACATACGCTCATAGCGGGTGTCCTGGCGAATGCGTTCGAAGTCCTCACGGACCACTGCCTCAGTGAGCATGGTGCGTAGGGAAGATTGGGTGGTAATGATCTCCTTCCATTTGGCCCTATCGTCATAGCTGATGTTGTTGTGCACCGAGCTGACATCGTCACCAATTTCGGATAGCTCCGGCTCCTCCAGAATGCGTATGAGGACATCCCAATTGGGCACATCCTTGTCCTGGGGCGGCACCTCAATCGGTTTCATATTGCCAACCAGCTCAGGACTGGTCAACTTCAGCTTGTTGTCATGTATCTGTGCCGGCGGCTCCGCTGGTGGCGCCAAACTCAACTCGCTGCGCTCCATCTTGGGCGTCAGCGTCAGGCCGGAAGCACTGGAGATATCGGAGAAGTTCTCCCATTGCTGTTGCTCGCGCTCGCTCGGATATTTGCGTACCTTCACATCGAACTTGGGATCAACTATTGGCGGTGCCGGTGGTGGTGGCAGTGGTGCCTTCGCCTTACTCTTGTATTCGGTTACGCGTCGCTTGTGGCTCTCAATGTCCTCGATGGTCTTCTTCTCCGTCACCGTACGCAAATAGATATCGTCCACCATGTGCGATGTGACTGGCAGCGGTTGGGGCTGGGACACTACCGCATCTACTGGCACATATTCATCCTCGTAGTAGTGCATGGTGTCCACAGCACGATTGGTGTCATGTACCACTCTGTCGGATATCTCGGAAGATAGATCGGTTATCTCGCTGGGCGCGGGTCCGTCGGTGTAGTCCGACCATGTCTCCGGACGACCATCGACGACCTCGTGATGCGTTCGCGTATACACCGAAAACTTGGGCTCGGCAACCAGTGGCAAGGGTTGTGTCTGTTGTGGCATCTGCGGTGCCGGATGCAGTTCAGGCACATACGTAAACTGCGACTGCATCGTCTCCACTTGCGGCGGCAGCGAGTCCATTGTCATCACACTCTCTCGATCCTCGTACGCTTCCATGATGGTGGACAGATTATTGCGATCCGTACGCAACGTTGCCACGCTCTCCGTATCCGAGGTGACGGGCGATGGAATCGGCGGTGGTGACTTCTTGACGCGCACCTGTACATCAAACTTGGGCGAACCGGCGACCGCTTCCTGTATGGGCGTATTATGTCGCATTACGGTAGTCATCATTGCATTGGCCACTGGGATTTCCTGTGCAGGTGCATAGTGATCGCTGTAGATGCTCGACGTCTCTTGGACAAAGGCGCGATTCTCAAAGCTGCCCGCAGAGCTAAATGGCAGTGATCGTGTGTCAATCTCCTCGATCTCCGAATGCGATTCACTTGGGTAATCCGATGGTATCAACGCACCCTCGCTACCCGACGAACTGTAAACGGCCTGCAGTGCGGCATGGGCACGCGGTATTTTGACGCCCTCAAAGGCGCTAATATTACCAGCACTGCTGCCGCTCAGCTTGGTAATCTCGGAGCCGCTGCCCATGCTCATGGGCAATCTTCGTACCACTGGAATGGGTCGGCTGCGCAGACAATAGTAGGAGACGGCCAAACCCAACAACAGCAGGGTGAGGAACATTATCGCACAGATGATCATCAATATCTGTATGCCCTTCAGCGGGGGCTGAAGTACAGCACCAGTTGCAATAGGATTCAATCTGCAAGCACATCAGTAATTAATTACGAATGATATTCAGAAAGCCAATTGCATTAAAACTGCTCTAACTGAAACTTCCCAAAGTTCCTGTAATGTCGAACATAACTATTCAATGAATTTTGACCTTATGATCCCTCTCTTAAGGCACAATAATTGCTCTATCTCTCTATATGAAAGATTATAGATCTCCTGTGGAATCAGATGTTTCTGATTCCTCAGTTGCATAAGCGGACTACATTTATATCTAATAGTTCCTATGACCAAAGTTTAGTTATGACAGCTTCACAATTGGGAGGCCTGTTGATTTCTTTTCTTTTAATAAACGTTTTTCCTAATTTAAGCTTAGAGAATTTAGATGGTTGTACTTACATGGGCGCTGGCAGTGCTGGTGGCAGTGAAGGCACTGGTGGCGGGTAGCGGCAAACAATTGTGATGATCTCATCGCCATCCATCTCCAAGTTGGCATGGAAGCGCACAATGATGTTGTTGGTAAAGACGCGTGTAGGATTCTACGCAAATTAAAATTTATATACATATAATAACAAGTAAGAAGTCGAAAGAGCTCGATCTGGAAATAACCTGAACCCTAATATGAGTATATGTAAATATACACTTTATTGGTTGGGTATGATTTCCTTTTCGATGGGTTCAGGGTATAAACATTAAACATTGATTTACAGTCGATAGTCATACCTGGATTGTGCCACAACCCTTGAGCGGCAGCTCCAGGCGATAACTGAGTGCACCTTTGCCACTGACGCGGCAGGCGCTGCTGCGATCGTAGTCGGCCTGGATGATGCCATGGAACGGATCATTGAATTTGAGATCAACCTGCGTCAGGCAAAACACAAAAAACAAAACACAAAGCACAGACAACATTAGTATATGGTAATTAGTAGTTTATTTAAATCACTTAAATTAAAGGGTCTTACTTGCATTGAGCCTGCGGCACAGTTGAGTGCGGCTTTGGTTCGATTTAAAAATATCAAGGGACTGATGTCGTCCAGTTTGGTAACCTGCAAGCAGCATCAGCAAAAAAATACATACGGTTTAATAAGACAGACAATATCCAAGTGGCTGCCAATTCGAGGCGCGTGGGAAGCTTGCAATGAGACAAGCGCAAGAGCAAGATCAACAACCAACAATCAACAACCAACTACCAAAAACCAACTCACACACACACACATTCCGAATCCGGATTAGCATATTATGTAAGCTACTAGTGTGGGTTCGCAGCACATGGTAGTTGTTGCTGTAGTTGCTTGGTAGCTTCCGTTGACAGTGGCTTTGAATTTGTCCTCGATAATAAACAAACAATACTCATTCATGTGATGCATTCAAGTATCTCAATGTTCGGGCAGTGTTTGTAGTTGCTTAGTTATTGTTTTGAGATAGTTCATGAAAATCTGTAGCCCTGTTTTTCATTGTTTTGGTTTTCTTTCAAAATTCACACTCGAACTGCAAGCCTACTTCGGATGTTAGCATGTAAATATATAAGTACATAAATTTGTGTCAAAATTTCCTTCCATTTCTTCAGGCAAGTTTTTAAACTGTTTTCCTATTCCAAATATTATCTATTTCGATATGCTCTCAGTTCTAAATTTGATGCAAATTAATGGTGAAAGGTGCACCGACTTCTTGTTTCTATTGTTTATTTGCCGAAATGAGTTTTTCAAATCAAGTTTTAAGTAAAATTAGGAATTTTAATTTGAAATAATTTCAAGAAACTTGAAAGAAGTTGAATTATATAATATCTAAAGAGAACTAATCGATGTTCTACTAATTTCGTAACCATAACGGGTTTAGAGTTGAGAGTAGGTTTCTCAACAATACTTAAAATATCACATAATAGCCAATTAAAGGTTATTTAAAGAAATATACCATTTTTATGTATGTATGTATGTATGTATATATGATGTATGTACATATATGTGTTTGGTGAGAAGGCGCTACTTACTTTGCCATCCAGAGTCGCTTCCTCTGGCAGTCCGTTTGTAGAATAGTTGCCGCTATCGCCATGTTGTACGTAATTGGATTGGGCCACTGCCTGCCCGCTGCACATTAGCAGCAGCAGGAGGGGTAAGCAGGCGGTAAGCATGCAGCGCCAACTGCTGGCCCACAACTGCGGCCACGGGTCTGACTTCATTGTGCTCAAAGGTATCTGTGGAGAAAAAAAACCGCTGCAAAGGAAAAAAATGCTTGAAATTAGCGCACAGTACAAAAACAACAACAACAGCAACAGCAATAACAGCAACAACAATGCCCACATAGATCTGGCTATATAGCCAAGTATCTTTTGTACTACGGCCCCCAGTGAGTCGAGCTCCAATCGTGACGCAGTTGGGGAGACCAGGTTGCAGCTGCAGCTGCTCTTACACAGATACTGAATTGTTATCTTTTAAGCTGTTTTTTTTTTTGTTTTTTTTTTTTGTTGCTGCTGCAGATATTTGCAGCTGCATTTGAAGAACGAGCCAACCAACAAAGGCGGCGATCAGAGCAATCTACAGTCAAGTTGCCAAATTGGGAATGCGATTTTGTTCGACTTATTCAGGCTGGCTACCTACGGGCCAAATAATTGTTTGCCGCTGGCTGATGAATGAATATGAATATGGATCACTTGAGCCCGCTACAGTTGGGTGTACTTCGCTCAAAACACCAATGGAATTTCAATTGCGGATATGGATACCGTTAGTTTGTTAGTATCTCGCCAATGACCCTCTGTCAACGATCTTTGGCCCAAATAGTTGACGCACACACAAATCAGCCAAAAAAACAAACCAAAAAAACAAAAAAGTTACATACAAACATATTTTGTTCATGGTTTCTCTCTCCATTCAACAAGTGGCAGAAGAAGAACAATAAGAACTAAAAAAAACAGCACTTTTCTCATCGGCTTCTTTTCATCGCCAACATTTTGATGTTGTTTTTGCTGTTCGCTGTAAAAGGCTTTCTTAAGCTCCGTCAAATGGATACAGATACAGATACAAATAAAGATTGGACTAGAAATGGCGAGAACACTCTTTTTTTATATTATTTTTAGTTTTATTATTTTATTTTTTATGACAAAAAGTAAGTAGCGATCTTCTTGATATGATGCATACATTAATTTGAGGAATCCAGTGAAAAATCAGGAGAGTTGGTCAGTTGGGTGTGGTTCTAGCTACAGAGAACCACTCTGCCCGAATTTGAGAAACAGTTAACACCGAAAGGGTGTCTATATATATACACACTCGTATATGTGTGTGCATTGGTGTGTATTGGTAAAATAAACCGATTGCCATCCTTTAGCTGACAAACAGCCAACGATAAAAGAAAGTTTGTGTTGAAATTAAAGTGACTTACTAGGTTTCTCAAAATGCCCATTTTTGCAGAGATAAGTGAAGTTAGTGTATGGAACGTATGTATGCAGCAATTCATACTAACTTGGTATCTTGTAATCTATGTATGGTTGTATTGCATAAGACCAGATTGGCCAGACGCAACAACGAAGACTCACGCAACAGCCAATAAAACCATCAGATCGCAACTTATATACTATATACTATATATATATATATAGACTATACATCGATATGTATGATATACTCTTACCATATCGACAAAAGACAAAAAAAAAAACAACACCTACGACAGTTTTGCCATATTTGTCTCAACCAAGTCGCCTTGAGAAGTCAGCAGCAGCTGCAATGCGAGAAAATAAAAGTCAAGCAAAATTTGTGTAGAGGCAAACTTGACTTGCTGCTTTGTGGCTTAAATTCTACGTGATTTGAGCATTTGTTGTCCAAACAAGTTTTTAGCCAAGACACTCAATACTAACACAAAAAATGCCCCCTCCCCCACGCACACACACACACACACATACACACACACATACAGGTACTGCTCGTTGCAAATGTTTGCTAAAGAGCTTTTCGACTTAGGTTTGAACTGAACTGAAGCTGCTGCGCCGTGTTGTGCCCTCGGTTGACGCTGACAAAGTCTTCAACGAAAAGGACAAATAAGTTCAAGTGCATTGCGTATATAGCATAGGAGTAGTTTTAGATATATAAGTGTACACAATGTACAGCAGTGAGTCAGCTAATCCCGTGTGAAATACTTGCGAGAAAATATTTCAAAATTTGTTTCAATGCTCACCGATGCAAAGGTTTGATAAAAACTTGAAATATCTATGGAATGATTCGGCGCATATATGTATATATACTGAGCTAATTACAATAAAAGCTTTCAATAGTTTATGGGGCTATAATTTGATTTTAATTCTAAGATGAGTCAAAAGGCAAATAGAAAGATACAAATCATCAATAGTATTGAATAGCTCCGAAACAATACTATGCGAAGAGAGCTTGTAATCCACCATGAACAAAACACGAAAGCCCATCAAGAATGCACATTCATAGCTTATAAACACCACATACCCAGAGTATTTGTATGCCTGATGGCTCTTACAACTGTAGATGTGTGTACGCATTTATATGTACGAGTATGCATACCTGCACATTGAGGTAATGGCACTCGCACAAGCTCATACACACACATATATATATATATATATATATATATATATTTGTGTGTCTGGAAGTGTTAGCGCAACCATAAGCCCAGATGACGGCGATTTCGAGCAAAACTGGTATTTTGACTTGACGTTGGCTGCTTCTCTGTTCAACTTTACTCCGCTCGACTCTCCCCGACTCTTCTCGTCTCCCTCTCTCTGATTGTCCCTAACTATAAGCTCAGATTTTGCCTTGACTCAGCTCAGCGCGGCTCAGCTCGGCTCTCTGGTACACTGGCTTTAATGATTACGTGACGCCGCTGCCACTTTGGGTTTGCTTTTGCCACAGACTTGACGAAAAGCCGCTGCGAGTATAAATACCAGTATGACAGCGTCCAGTATATACATACGTACATACAGACATACAATCATACATACACAAATCCAAATCAGCATCCCTGGGGCCCATTGCTCACCGGATCCATACCCAGAGATAGAACAAAAGGCGGTGCCACAACTAACGCAAAATGTTAAGCTCCAGCAACCAGTGTCTTTCGCTGCGAAAATTGGCAATATTTCAAATGTGTGTTGCCCACGCATCTACAATTCCATGTAACTTATGTATGTACGCATATAAATATGTATATGTGCATACCCAATTGAATTTGGCTTCTAATCAGCTTTTTTAAATCTGTTGTAAGCTTCCCGTAGAACTCTATGAAATGATGTCTTGAGAATATATTTTCTATATGATTGGCATACAAACTTTACACATCTGTTGAGGTATAAGATATAATCAGATTTCATTATTAAGTTGTCCCTTGTGGCACTCATGGGTTGATTTAACTCTAGCGATTCTTCAATTTCTAAGTATTCCAATAAGAAGTTCTCAAGATAAAGAACTACGCAGTAATTTTTGGATAGAATGTGTTTTCCGTTGGGTATCTGGTATTTAGATAATGCGTATGTTTCTATGTGTGCATACATTTATGTATGTATATGTACAGAAGTATGTATAAATAAGCAGCTGCACAGATATTAAGCTTGAAGTAAGAAAGTACTTAGTCTACAAGCACTTGAGAGCTGCCACAAGATGCAATTAACTTACTCAAAGGCTTGATCACAGAATAGAGCCAAGATATATAGAAAGATTATTTCACTGGAAATGCAGAAGATTATACTCAGAAGTCTGAGTCATTGGTGACAATTGAGTTCTGCTCATAGGTGTATATATACATACAGGTGTATCATACTGATGTATGTGTATGTATGTGATCAATGCGAATCTGTTATTCTGTTATTCTGAGATTTATGGATATGTACGTATATGCTAATGTACAACATATTTACATACATGAACAAAGGTGTGTATTTCATATTAAATCGTCTGTAGTCTCGCCACGTTTCAATTCACAACATCTTATGACACATCAGTCACATATAACAATTAGTTATCCATTAAATGTATATGTGTTAGTTTTTGCATTATTTAAACACAGCGAAAAAAAACAACAACAACAAACAAACACACACAAAACAAAAAAATAAAAATTAGTAAAACGAGGCTAAAAGCCGCGATGCATGCAATATTGTGAACATAACTTCAAAAAAAAGTGTGGCATATTTTTGTATATATTTTGTGTACATAGATAGTACATATGTGTGCTAATACATATGCACTTGTATGCATTTTGTGCATTATACTTAAATAAGAAATGCTACTAACATAATGCTCACTTTTGTTGGTATGTATTTATATAGCTAACAATACATGTATACGGATAGTATACATCAAACCGTAAACAACAGAGTTTCGCAACGGTATTGCGGGAATTTGCTTCTTTTTTTTTACGAATATAGCAAATGTTTCTATTGTTTCAAATATATATATATATATATATATATATTTTTTTCTTTTGTTTAACCAATTTTTAGTGTCGCGCTTCGACGTTTTTTGCTAGCCGCGGTCGTTGGTTCGATCGTTAATTTTCTATATGTATTGAATTTTTATTGTATAGATATTTAATTTATTGTCGATTCTTTGCAAATCGTGTTCTCTACTTTGTCCGTACCCGAACGCGCTCTAGTGGATTACCTGCTTGCGACTGTTGCCACCGTTTGCCATTTGACAGCGACTCGAGCCAGTTTTTGGCGCTGCTCCACAGCGTCAGCCACTTCCGCTCATACTTCAGCTTTGGCTCTGGCTCTGGCTCTGGCTTTGCCTCTGTCTCTGTACTCCACCTTTGGCCATGTTACCCGCCTATCTGTGTGTATTTACTTGTGTGTGTGTGTGTGTGTCTGTGTGTGTCTGCTGCTCAGTCGCTCTCTGCTTACTGACGCGATGTCAGACCTGTTCACTCACCACTGCAGCTCACAGCTCCCAGCTCCCAGCTCCCAATTTCCATACCGCCTTCCCCTCACAATCAGCGGTGCGCAACGAATTTACTTTAGCCAGACAAAGCTGACCTACGCACCCCACCACCCCTGGCCACTCTAACATGATCAACTAGAGCCGAGAGCTCTCTGACGGAGTTGCTTTGATGGAGGGGTATCTCGACATCGGATTTGGTATCTCAACGAATATCTCTCGGCATGTTGCCAAACCTGTTGCGTTCATTTTAATTGCGTTGGCTCTGGCTCTGACTCTGGCTCTTACTCAGTTTGCTGGCTTTTGCCGTTTGTTGTTGTTGCCCAGACACACTGAGAGTGAGCAAAAGCGAGGCCCTCGAAAGAGTGAGCGATTACGATGTGCTGAGCGCCCGCACAGTGGTTATTAGTTACGAAAAGTAAGTAAGGAAAAGTCTATCATTTTCGTTGGAAATTTGGAAAATTTCTTGTTGAAAACGTCAGATATGTAGATACCCTGTAGTAGTTGCTCTTCGTGTACAAACACATATATACCCAGAAACCCATAAACTGCAAGCTGTGCGCTTTAGACAAAGACTATGATTCTTCTATCCAATGATAAGTTGTTGTCATACAGTAATGTCTCAAACAACTTCGAAGTAATGCCTTTTTGATTATAGTTAGGCTTCTAGATTAGTTCAGAATAAACACTCTACCATCCTATATACATACCTTACATACATGTGAGTTTGAATATCGGAATATCGAAGCCAGGGTATCGCGTAGTCGAGCTCTCTCGATTGGAGCACTCTACACTCTACAACATACGCACATTAACTTCATTTGCGTTGTTAAATATTTGATCATATATGTGTATAACTTAATAGTGTATTATGCTCGAGAAAACAATCAAAGAACAAAATAACTTTTACTAATTTAATACGGAGCTTCCCACTGTGCTCCGTTGAGGGTTGAACGCGCGCAATGCGCTCAACTTCAAGTTGATATTGACGCATGGATCCGGACAGGTTTTCTTGCTGTAGCAGAGACTAACCAGCTAACCAGCGTACTGCCCTAGCTCACATACGTAGCATGGTCACACTGGCAGCCGCCATTCACAGCAGACGGCAAAATAAACTGTTAAGCTGCTGAGAGAATATGAAATGAGAGACGATAACGCAGCCGCATTCGTACATGGATATACCCCAGGTAGTCCGGGCATTAGAAAGCATACGATTAACTCAAATAATGAAACGTATTACAACAGATCAACATTCATCCTGTCAGTGATATGCTAGCAGTGAAGTGCAAGTTGTCATTTCAATGACGTCATTGCATTTCATTGGAGACGAAAATTCTCTTTCTCAGTTATGCATCGGAAAGCTATCTTCCGGATATGGCTGTATCAATCAAGTTGCTAATGCTGATTACAACTATATATATATTTTATTAGATCAAAGATGCCTACTTCTAAAAATTTTTAATTTAAACTATCTGCAAGTGTCTAAAAAGTTATAAGATATGAAAATTCTGTTTTTATAGCCTATCCTTTTGAATCTTTGCATATATCATTGTTTTATCTGTACATATCAGTACATATGTCGGATTCGACCAGGTCACTATATATAGTACTTGCAAGTTTAAGATAGACCAATGAAATATAATAAGTAGCACTACCCAAGGTTCTAGTAATATGTCAAAACTCCAATGATTACTGTAAATATACATTGAATTTATTAAACACAAAAAAAATCAAATGGTTGAAAACATTGCATTGAGTGTACAGCAAGTAGTTTCCAGAGATAACGATGGACTTATTTCGACTTATTTACAGGCTCTCCCAGTTCTACCAATCATCTTCATCATCATCAACGACATCTGAAATCTCTAGGCGAAAGCTGGTTCTGAAATCTTTGAGTCTGTTCCGACAGAGTCTGCTCAGTGGATTGTTGCGCAGATCAACCACAGCCAGACAGTCGCTGCTAATTGATTCATCAGTGTCAATCTCTGAAATTGTCGATTGTGTCAGATTGATAAGATTGATAAGACCATATGCAGTACACATGAAGGGTACTCACCCAAAATGGCATTGTGTTGAGCATCCAAACTTGTTAGCTTCTGCAGCTTAAAGACAACTTGAGGTAGTACAATAAATGAATTGTGAGATATATTTAATGTGGTTAAAGCACTAAGATTGGCAAATTCGTCTGGCAGTTTCGTAAGCTGATTATGTGATAGATTGAGATCTGGAATGCAATGCAATATCGTTAAATACATTGAATTGTTTAAACAATCAAATATTTAATAATCACCTGTAATGGCGCTGAACTTCAGCGCAAACTTTGGTGTCACTTTCTTCAGCACATTGCCACTTAAGTTGCAAGTCTGTAGCTCTGTATTTCGCATCAAGTGATAAACTGCATCTGGTATTTGCATTAGCTCACATTTTGATAGATCTGAAAGAAGGAATGAAATGTACAATATAGTTTAGATTATGTTATAATATTAATCGAAGAATAACCATAAGAGCTAAGCAGTTGCAATCATATAATTAAACATTAAACATACAACTTACATCTATTCGTCTCACTATCAACAAGTTTAAAGTTATTTATAGATAACAAAAAAAAAGTTTGCAGTAGGTGGAACCAATTTGGAACATATTTACACTCTTTCAGATATATCTATATAGGGAAGCATACATTTAATTATATATATATGCACACAAGTGCATGAATTTATATGTATATATATATATAATATAGATATAGTAGAAGTAGTTATAGTTAAAAGATATGCGAGCGATCTGCCTTACCTAAATTAGCATTTTCGGTTGCATTTTCGCACCGCTCAATCACTTTGACCACTAAGTGCGCCATTTTCGTACTGCATTTGTATATTTTTGTTGTAGCAGTGGTTAAGTTTATAGGAATTTGGTTAAGTCAAACATTCCTAAAGAACTTTACTATATATATTATGTCTGCCCACAAGCGTGCACAGCAAAAAAACAGAACCTAACGCACTACTATTCTGTTCAACACTAAATGTATATACACACACACACACATATATATATATATATATAAATATATATATATATATAGATATAAATGTACACACGCAACGCAGACTAACCGCCTGAGAGAACAAGAGAGCAGCAATCAGCTGGTAGAAACAAAACATGTTTACGCAACATTTCTCTCTCTCTCTCTCTCTCTCTCTCTCTCTCTCTCTCTTTGTCGCTCTCTCTTTGTCTGTCTTCTCTATTTTGTGCGCTCCTCGACCAAGAAGAAACGACGACTCATAAATGCAGCGTATAAGTCATCCAAATTGTCAGTTCTATAATTTGTTTTTCAATCCAATGAAAATGTAATTTGTTGTGGTCTCTCTTATGTATGTTTTCGCAAGCAGTCGGAAGCAAAGCAGTGAGAATATCCGAAATGAATATGTATGTGTGTGTATATAAATACTTGACCAAAGAGAGAAAAGCTGATCAGAGTATTACTCACTGCTTCTCTGCGTACGATGTGTGTGTATATGTATGTGATTGTTTGCATGTTGCTGCAACCGTGCATTTATTTATCATTTCATTGAAATTACCACTGAACGAATAACCAACTAACAACTCTTTACATTCAGTCAAACTTCAACGCAATGCACCAATAATTGGCTACACAAGAATGTATTTCTATGGTTTACATCAAAGGGGTTCTCCCTTTTAGCAAGTACCTTTCTCGGTCGAAAGGTTCTCAGTGCTTCATTTTCAATTTGTTTTCCTATTTTTGTATTTTACAGCGAGCAAGTAGCTTTACGAAGTGAATCAATTTATACATTTTCAATTGAGCAATATGAATATATATTAATACGTACATACTGGAATATGTATGTAGGTACAAACTGGAGTATTTGGGTGCACACATATCTGTACATACTTGTACCTATATTTATCAGTATGTTGTCGTTTATTAATTTGAGTAATTATACATACATAATTGGTTACATTCGTCAGACACAAAGCAACGCAATATTATCAAATTCGACGATTTGTAAAAAATCTACATATAAAGTTTATATTATAAACAAAACTGTTTATATTGAAACAGAGTGCGCAATAACTGAAATTGGATGTAAGCCAATTTCTGGTCTGCTATGAAAATTCATTTTTACAAAAAACAAATGTGTAAGAGCTGCGTCGCATTATCTCAAGCAGCAGATACATATACATGTATGTATAGGTGATAATTCCGATTTGCAGCTTACCCAGTTTGTGATTCTCCTTAGCGTCTTCACAGCGTTGCACCACGCGTATAACTCCACGTCCGGCGATTGGCGAGAATGTGAGAATGCCTCCAATCCTGGCTATATGTGGCGGTATGCGTGGATCTGCTTCGGTCTCCAGTCCAACATTACTGCCGGAGGTGTCCGTCTCGGCACTGCCTCTGTTGATTTGATTGTTGTCATTGCCATTGCCATTGCCATTTGAACGATCATCGCCATTTCCGCCTCCGCTTCCAGCGTTATTGGCGATATTTGTGATGTCATTGCCAAATGGTCGCATCTTTGCTAATTATTGTTATATCCTTTCGACTTATCGTTTTCTTTATTGGTGGTCGACTGTCACCGCAACACAATTGTTTATTGTTTGTAATGCGGACTTTACTTCACTTAAACTCCACTCAAAAAAATAAATTTGAAACAAATATGTTTATATCACTATATTAGGTTTGTGTTTTTTATTATTTTGTAATACGCATTTAATTCCTTTGAATTAATTATAAATTATTCGGAAAATAAACGCGAACTTTTGAATAACCAACTGAACGTGACTCTCTTGCGCATTGAAATATTGAAAATGCTTTTTACTTGCGGTTTTTATAGCACGGAAGAAGAAAGAAAAACTGCGCATAACAAAACAAATGAAAAGTAAAATGGCAAGAAAATCAACAACAAACAGCAACAAATAATAAGCCACAAATTGGGAGTACCCCCGCTAAGAAATTTTTTTAATACTCTTTTCACATGTGTGCATGTCCAAATATTTTGCTTGCTTGTTATATTATTAAATATTCATATTGTTATATATTTATATTAATTATGTATGGTGATACAAATCAGACCAATAATTATAGCAGTAATATCTAGGATCAACTAGATATCCCTTGAAAAGAGTTACGGATTTTTTTTTTTTTTGAAAAGTAAATTGAGTCGAGAAGAATATTTTAATTACATGATAAAGTGTTTATTCTTTTTAATAAAGATTAGCAAATATTATACTGCGAATCTACCCAATAAGCAAAAGCTCGATAAATTCGAATTCGATGCCAAATAGTGTTTGTAATCTTTTTCATATCGCGAGTCGCAAAGAAAATTCTAAATCATTTGGACTGACTCGAGGAAAGGGTATAGATGCATTCTACAAAATCGTCTTGTCATCGTAAGAGCAATACCCTCAGTTATAAACAGTATTTCTCTTGGTCTGCTGTGTTCTGGCAATGGAGAAGTGTAAAAGTTCAACATATCGAGAGGAGAGCGAGAGCGAGAGAAAGGGAATCTTTCAATGAGAATTTGATGCGTACACGCTCAATATATATATATATATATATATATATATATATATATATACAATATATTTATATGTTGATCACAATTTTTACGCATCTGATAAATAGCGATGCTTAGGTACCGGAACTGCTGTAAAAATTTTCCGCACACTTGTCATACGTCGCTTGTATGTGTATATGTATGTGTACGGACATAGAACGCAATATGAATATATGTATGTATGTTATTACGCATGTGCTTGAGTGATAATAATGTATGGGTGGCATCACCTACATATACCAGTACACAATCACACAATATATCCATGCATACGAATGTATATCCATGTATCTTTTGCGTGCTCGATTGAGCAGATCATTAAAAAGAATGCAGAAAGCTTTTGCGCTTTTCCGCTTTTCATGTGCAGAAAGTTCGCCTGCTGCTTTGGGCAGCTTTTCCTTTTTGTGAAACACAGCTAGTGAAAGTCGTCGCGCAAAAGCTTTAGCTGTGCCCCACCATAAAATTGTCCAAGTCGTATTTATGAAAAGAATCTCTTCGATTTTTTTTTTTATTTACAGACAAATATCGGCTAGAGTTGAAGTGTCATAATCCTGCCCGCCTACTTGGTAGTCGCCCACTTCAGTAGGTAGCGATCAATTGGCGTTTGACTCAGTCTCAAGATTTTGTCACTGAAAAACATTGCCAGTGGATTTGAGAGTAAGTAGCAGTGGTGGCTGGTAGTAGATAGCCGATGTCTCATCAATAATTGCCTGTATCATGACGTCACAATGGTAAGTTAAACAGAAATAAAAGTCAAGCACTGCCAACTTTACATACAACCCTCTTTTCAGCTCAATGTATGTAATCGAATTTTTATTTGTTTGCATAAAATTTGTTAATCCTTAGTAAACTATTTGAATCAGAGTCTAAAATGAATATGTATGCATATTTCAATGATATCCTATGCACACACCTATATATAGAAATAGTTTTAATTTGACAATTTGTTTTTTGTTGTTTTGTAACATATGTTTATGTAAATATGTATATATATATATATCTTATTATCGGAACAAATGGCCAAATAATAAACCAATGCCATAACACAATTTTAAAATGCTCATAGTAGGTCACTAACACATTTACAGTCAAATACATAACTACATAGTATATTCATAGTACCTTAATACACCCATACACCCATTCAGCCAAACCCTCCTCTCTAAGGCATAACACTGCCCTGTGCATGCTGCAGTCCTGTGCACAAATACAGCATGATGATGCTCAGAGCTTGGACTCGCTCCTCGGACTTGTTTTCCGTGCTGACCACCGATTTCCATGGCGACTCTGATTCCATCCGATGGGTGGTCGCCTTTTCAGTATAATTTAGCATCGTGTAGCCCTCTGTTTCCGCATCTAATGCAACCTTCAGTTTTGTTAGCTACATCGATAAACGAGACACAGATGAGAGATGTGCAATTATTTGGGATTCGAAAGAAAACTGACCAGTTCATTTATTTTGGCCACTCGCTCGTTGGGGGAAAATTCCGCATAGAGTTGCTTGCTGTAGGTCTTGGCCAGGTTCATTAGGTCATCGTTTCGGGAGTGACTGACGATTGGCTCGGTGATCAGAATAACCTGCTCGAAATTTAATGCTGTACACTCCAAGGGCAGAGCCTCTAAATGCTGTGTGACCTTCTCAAAGGGATTTGATTGTGACTGATTATGTGAATGCCTACATGCCTCTTCCGATATCGATGCCGTTCTTAATTTGGACAAAACATTAAACCAACTGTTCACTGGATAGCGCCTTGGAGGCCACAAAGCTTACCGTGATGGTGTATGCTGGGGACTCGGCGGTAGGCTTTTCGAGTTCATCTGTGAACTATTGCCGGAGAGTGAGGAGACTATGCCGGGTATATCCAGATTGCTGGCTTGCCGCTTAATGCCCTGCGCCAGCATACCCGTCAGACTCGATCTGTGCACATCCAGATTTCCATGCTGAGCCTGTGTCTGTGTCTGTGTCTGTGCCTCAACGCCACTGTCCTCAGCTGGCATTGAGCTTGAGGCCTTCGGCTCCAAGATATCTATATACTCAGCCTGGGTGATTGTAAACTCTGGCTTGTTGACCATTGCTGATTGGGATGCTGGCAATGTCGACGTCGCTGGCATGGATGCGTAGCAATCCACTGGACCACATACGGTGGCATTCTGACACTTGGCAATGCACTTCTTATGACAGCACATTGTGCACTCCTTGCACTGCATGGCATCCTTTAGCCAGATTTTCTTGCCACAGAAATCGCATTGGGTGGCCCGATGGAAATGGGTACGTATAAAGTTATGGGGTTTCGATGTAGACGTCGCACTTGCACTGGCTATTAAACTATCACCCGAGATGCTTGAAGATTTCATTGACATCGTGTCTGCGCTATTCTCCTCCTGAATTTTATCACTTGCCGCAGCTGATTGACTTCTAAATATATGCAATTATCATATGCGATTGTTATGCGAAATATTGAAATAAATATATGTACCTGGCTGGAGACTGGGATTTGGGTGTACCTCTTGCTGTGCTCTCCCTTGCGGTAACATTTGGATTGCCATTCCATGAGAAACCAAATAAAATATCACCAAAACACTTCATGGGATTGAATCCAGACTGATTGGACAACGGATGCGCTTTTCTGTGGAGCCAGAAGCAAAAACATATGTATATACATATCTAATTAAGCATTATAAAGATTATGGAGAGGCGAAGTGGTACTCACACTGGCAATAGTGTTGCCGGATTCAGGGCTATCTGTCGGAGGCATTGGCTCAGGCTCGTCTCGCTGCACTCGACCAATATCTGACTGATTTGTAAATTATAGTAGCCAAGCAGTATGCTTTCACCAGAGCACTTGCCAAATACGCATACGTTCAGATAGCGACTGTTCGCATCCAGCTGGAAACTGGACAGATCGTCCATGTGTATGAGTGGGCTGAAGGAACAATCGATGGTCGAGTGCTGATAGAAATAATTGACTTCATCCAGTGGCTTCTCGTTCTCGTCAACGTTCGAACAGGTCATTTTCGAAGGTGTATCATCCAGTTTGCTTTTCTCTTTATCTTTATCTTTGTCCCTGTCTTTGTCTTTGTCTTTATCTTTGTCCTTGTCTTTGTCCTTCTGATTGTCGCCACTTTCACGGCTCATCGTCTTCTTGATGGCCTTGGCAATAATATTTGCTTTTTTGGGCGAATTTGTTGGAGTAGTGCTCTGGCTGCCCTCGCTCGAATTGCGACAGTGCGAAGCCTTGACAATCAAATGCTTGTTCATCAATATATCGGAATCATCAGCATCGGACTTCTGAGCTGTGGGAATGTCGCATAGATCATCATATTTCTCCAGATCCTCCAGTATGGCATCGTTGCGTATGATGCCGGGTATAATGCGCTCAATGCGCAAACAGCAGACGGTAGACTGCAGATTTTTCACAACCTTGGCAATCTGTTGGATAGTCGTTACCGGCTTACCCTCAATGGCGACCAGAGTATCACCGGCCATCAGGTTCGATTTGCAGGCTGGCGTGTTTGACAACACCGACTCGATCTTGACCACCTGACTGCTACTCTGCTTGAACACAATGCCAATCTGTTGATTCTTGGCCTTGTGTATAATGACATCCAATGAGATCAGCACATGACGATTATCCTTCTGATGCGCCTCAATGAACGGCACCGGCGCCAGCGTAATTGTACAATACACTTCACTAGTGCCCGGAAAAGCCATCAATCGGGACAGCTCGGCGACACGCACGGTCAGACCACCATTGGGCTGGATGTCGCATTCACTGAGCTCATCATCTGCCGCCCAGTGGAAGAAGGGTTTGTACCGCAGCTTATAGTTGGGCAAGGTATGTTTGCGACGCACCGCCTTGCGTATTTGATTCGATATTAGATTCGTGATGTTCGACTGCATTTGACGACCTTGGTATTTGGATTCGATAACCAAGTTGAGTTCCGGATCGCCCAAAAAGCTAAGTGACCAGTGGGTGTAGGGCTTTCGTGTGAACTGCAGTCGTGCCGTGCCCGATAATTGTGTTACTGTATTAATTATTAATTATTCAAACTAGCAATCATTCAAAATCAATTCAAATCGATATCCATACGCTTATGTTATGGACTCATGCTCACCTTTCAACATTATGGAGCCCTTCTTCCCCAGTACCATGTCCGCATCAATTGATGTAGAGAAATTGCCAATGTAGTTAATATCCAATAGTAGATCGAGATTCTCAATACGCTGCTCGGCATCGTCGAGTTGCACATTATGCACTGAAAGCGATCTAATGTCTGGAAACTGATCGCCCAGCTCAAGTTCTCGGATCTGAAAAAAAATATACTGTTGCATTAGTACTCTGCTGGTTGCTTGATATTTTAAGTTTATTGACTGCACCGTTAGCTTGTCCAGCAGCTTGCCGGTGGTTGTCTTTGTAATCAGCTCGTCCAGCTCAATGGAAAGCTTCCGATAGAACCATTTGCGTACACGATTCGAATTTTTGAACTCATGGAAAAGGAACTGCATGACGAAATTCAATGAAACCACGGTCGATGAGCCTTTAACATTGTTCTGAAGTATCTCGTAGTTGCTACCATCAGTCTGTGTCGTATTCAGACTTCGGGCCGTTTGTTTAATGTTCTTGAATGAAAATAAGTAAATAAAAATGAATTAAAAACATTATACGCACATGAATGAAAAATGTTTGACTTACCAGGGGTAGAGTGTATTTAGCATTCATCTGTTTCTGTTCGTCGCTCTCGCCAGGCAGATTTGAGAACTTAACAAACAGCAAATACTGAAGCAATATCATAATTACCCCGCCAATAAGCAGGAATATCAAACAGAGCAACAGTACATTGGAAATGGGTATCTCCATTTTGGGGCTATTATTGTTTAGTTCGCCTGTTTGTCCTAGTAGCAGCAACCTTTTTAGCGGGCAAACTAATACTTTGTTCAGTCTTTGCTATTACGTCGAAATATGTATACATATGCGACTGTCATCTATGCCAGACATCGTCAATCTCTTCTGAACTGGACGCGTTGATTTCGAGTGCTAGCTGATCACATCGTCCATTTGACTGTTGACGCTATTCTCTTGAAAGCAAAAATCTATTGATATCGAACTTATGCCTTACAATTACGGTTGAGGCGTCTATTGCCACCTATGATTTCTGTAATACATACATATACATACAATCATAAAAGACATAAAATCAATACTTACACTTACTACTGCGCATGCCAGGCAGCCAGCTGATTTTTGATTCGTTTGTGGATTACATAACAGTGTGACCATATTCAAGAGTAACAGCTCTAAACAGCTGTTCCCAGGATACGGCTCAAATGCACTTCGATGGAGTTGGTCCTTGCATTCCTCACGATAATCCGTATGGATTTCGTCGAGCAACAATATTTCATTTCGTTGTTTGCGTGCCCCTAAAAGTATGCCGCTGTTTTTGGCTCGAGCGCAATTTAGCCAATGCAGGAACCTAAATTGCTAAGAAAACAATGTCGAACACCATATTTGCCACCCGACAAAAGAAACTATTACGAAATGAAAGACTGTGTATATATTTTAAGTTTGTAATTTTCTGGCATTTGTTTTGTTTTTATTATTATGTAATTCCTTTACTTTGTGTAAAATAAGAAAGTATTAATAGGTTTTATTAACAAATTTGTTGAAGGCAGGTATTTATGTTATTATATGTTTGTTTGTGTATATCTTGTATATAAATTACAAGTCATTTTTATAATTATTTATTATTTATTAAATTTACTTCAGTTATCATTATCTCTAGCTTTTCTTAATGTAATATTTAATATTTAAACTGCATCATTACTTAGTGTATTCAGTTAAGATATTTATATTTATCTATACATATATATATGTATATACATATATGTATATATATGTACATGTATATATGCATATGTATTATAATTACATTTTTCTTTTTTTTGCCTTTACCATTTAAATTTATCTATTTAAAGTTTTTGTTTTTCTTGACTTCGAGTTTTACTTTTGTTGTAAAAAATTAAGAGCTATTTAGATTTCGATTTCTCATGTGACTTTCAAACCAGACACTAAGTAAACAAGTCAAATGTACAGGAAAGTCGATATAATAAAAAAAATTTAACAAGGTCAGTTGTATACAATCATTATACATAAAAAATAAAATACCGCCATCAGATGAGCAAAGACATGACGATCTCCTTTACAGTAACATGATCGACTATTAACTGCATAAATATATGTGTAAGTATAATTCAACAAGTCTCTATTAAATAACCATATGCATCCCAGTTAGGGTTAGCTTGAAATAAATTTGCGAAATTCGGAATATTGTACAGTGCATACGAATTGGTTGATTGGCTATCGATACGAAACGTTTTTTATATGTACACAATGTGAATTCTAAATACTGGAGCTTGGAAGATCTAACCGAACTCGGGGCTGATAAATATGTATGCACTTAAAAGACATTTAAGTAATAAATAGTTACATATGTTCATGGCAAATAGGTGCATGGACGTGGCGCATATGCTGGACAACCAATTTCTAGATAGTAGATAGTAGATAGTAGTAGAAGATAGAAGACCTTCCAAATGAATCGAAAATATTTCGGAAATTGGAAAATTTGTATTGAGATCTGGATTTAGAAAGCCCTATTCACTCATGAGATATTGTCGCCTAATTGATGTCAAAGTTGATCCCTACAATTGGCGTTTATCATACATATATATGTACACATACATATAAAAGAGTTCACGGCTGGCAAGTAAGCGGCTATGAGCTAGATTTCTAAAAAAAAATTATTTAGAACTAGGCCAATAGTAACTTACTTAAAATATATACGTAGTCTAAGGACATAATAAAATAATATCAAATTTTTACAATTCATTTAGGTTTTAATTTTGTACTAAATAGGTTGATCTTAATATTTTTTTTCTTTTTTCCTTTATTATTATTTTTATTATTATTTTTTTTTTTTGGCATTTAGGTGATTTAATTGGGCTAATTATGTATCATTTTGAAGCCGTTAGCGAGCGAACTGTGAACTCGGCAATAATTCTTAGCAGGATGCACATACATACATATATACATAGTACGTTGTAGATACTAAAGTACGCTTATCAAATAAACAATCGCCATATGTAAATAATAATGAAAGAAATAAATGAGCAATAACTGAAATATGTGTAAAGCGGTTATTTCGGCTAAGGTTGTAAGTAGGAATTGTTCACTGGTCATCCTTATTAAATGTACATATGTTGGTATGTTCTTAAGCATTGACGACGATGTCTAAAGTTTTGTGATTTGGTTTTTCTTACATAATGCTTGTAATTTTCAATAAAGAAGGAATCATTTAGCTATGGATTTTGACACTAGATATTGCATTTTCTTACATATGTATGTGCGTAGGTATGTATATACATATGTATGTATGTATGCATATATGCATATTTAGCGTGTATTTAACTGAATGTATGCATTGAGTTTTTTTTTTTTTCTTTCTTGCTTGCTTGCTTTTGCTTGTTAAGATTTATGCTTGATTTATGTTAATATTTGAATATTATGTTTGATAATGTAGAAGTAGTAGTATTAAGCTATCCTACATAGTACATATAAACTATACATACGTACCACGTATGCTCTATTTAAAGTGAGTCCTTATATTGGTTGGTGTTTGCTTTCATACGCCTAACATTTGCGTATATATTGCGTAAATTCGCATTGCTGCTCAGCGGTTTCAATAATTTACTTAAATTATGGATTTGTTGTTTGTTTAAATTACAATATTTGTGCGCTCTTCAATATCCATATAGTCCAACATCTACATATTGTTTCACAGATTCAACTATCTATAAGCTAACTGGTTTTGATTTAGAATGTCACTAGTGTCTATACATATGTGATCTATATGTACATATGTATATATGTATGTTAAGCTAATGATCAATTATATTATTTAGCTAGTTGCCATTGTTGTCTAAGTGAAAATCTATTTTAAGACTGGCTCAAAAATGTATCTATACACGTCATGGCTGTCTATGTAACTAATTACATACATATATACATATGTATATGCATGCATATCGTCTATGTGTGTATATACATATGTAAGTATGCGCCCATGTGTATGTGTATGCAATGCAATGCAATCAGAAAAACAATATTTCAAACTCTCCAACCAATCCTGAACAGATGTACAATTTTTGTAATACATATCTTAAGGCAACAGAACATATATATACATAGATATACATACATATATGTGTACAATAATATGATACAATAACAAATAACGAATAACAACGCAAGAATTCAACAAAAATTATATATTTCTAGACCAGCAAGATCCGTTAAAATACTTATACTATATATGCACATGGAATTGAATCTAGCTGATTTTGATGGGAAGCTAAGCTAACCCAAGGAATTGGTAAGGTTACATCCAGTCACCCAAAAATTGATTGGATCGCTGTCTTGTGACTGGCAATGACTCCTGAGATCACAAAAATGTACTTATTTACTGATCTCTCTATCCCCTCTGTCCCACTTGTGGAATAGAACTTAGCCCGAGGCAAACGGAGAGCAGCAGGGTTTATTGTTGTTCACCTTCAACTCAACGAAAATAAACTTGAAAAACAAAACACACACACACACAAACACACATACATATGCCTATATATCTAAATTTTGCTAATATACACATATTCGCATGTACAAACACATAAACATACACTTACATTACATACACAACATACATACTACGCACTCATATTCATAGTCCTATTTCTGAATCAATGTTTTTGTTTGAGTGTTGGGCGCGGGGGGAGGTGGCGGGGCGTAGTGATTGTTGGGACTCGAAATGCGTTCTCTTGTTTGCTATTATAATCGTAGTCGTAGATAAATACATTACATACAAAAATTTGATATCTACAATAATATTTGATAATATACACAATCGTATAATAATAAATTTAGTTCTGCATTTAAATGTACATAATTGAATTATTAACTTTAAATATATATATAAACAAGACAAAAACGCTTGCAAATGGATTACAGATTCATCGAGTTATGTATGTAAATATATATGTACTAGATAGCTTACGATGTATGCGTGTACCTATATATATATATATAGATACTACTATCTACTTATAGCTATGTATGTCTACAAATGTTCCAAATATTTTTAGGCATTATACGTTCCACATCATTATGACATTGAGTTATTCACTTTTTCGCTTTACATTGAAAATTATGGATATTTTGTTTTGCTTTTTTTTTTTAATTTATTTATTTTTTTTTTTGTTTTTAATTTCAGCGGGCTCTGGTTCTGCAAATTTAAAGTGTATGATACGAATACAGCTGCTGCTGATGGTCTTCTGGTGCTATATTTTCGTGATCTTGATTGGGGCTATTTTCGCGATAACGATGCGCAACTATATCACCGCCAGATAGCGCAAATCTATTATTAGCCGTGGCGGTATTATAAATTATATCGTTATCCGAATAAACCTTTGGAATATCTACGGATGTTGTTACTGTTATTGGTATTGGTATTTGTATTTGTATTGGTAATATAATTGCTTGATTTCTTGGTGTCATTGGTGTTGTTGTTGTTGTTTTTGCTGTTGTTCTTAATTTTCTGTTAAATAGTACATCCGATAGGGGCGATGTTGCTCTTGTTGCTGGTAATGACAGTGCCATTGGGACTAATGATATTGTCAACGGTGAAGCTTCGCTATGCGAGTACTCGTAGCAAGTAACTGGCTGTCGTGCTAAAAATTGTTGCGATTGCGGTTGAGTTTGCGGTTGTCGATTTGGGTCTAATGCATATGCATGTGAGCTGTCTTGAGCTAATTTGATATCGAATGCTGTTGCTGATGATGATGCTGATGCTGCCGATGCCGATGCCGATGCTAATGCTGATGCTGATGGTGTTCTTGTTGGGGTGGTTGTATTTCGAGATCTTTTGTTTCGTATCGTATCAAAATTGTGATCTAAGTTTGGTGCTGATAACGACCAATTGGCCGGATGCTATACCCAGATCTGTTCCACTCGATTACGCGATCGCAATCAAAGCCTTTGCTAGCACCAATCCTCCTCATCCGAATCGGAGTGTCGGGCATTAAGTCCGCTCTTTGGCTTAAAACCGTTAAGAACTGGAGATGGCAGTACACGACCCGTTCGGCCCATAGCCAATGCTTGTTCAAACGACAACGGTGCTATATATTCCAGTCTGCAATGAAAAAAATACACCCTTAACAATTGCCAAATACGTTTCATCAAATATGTATGACTATGATCTCACCTTTCTCTTTCCACCTCACGCTCACGATCGCGTTCACGCTCGTACAACTCCCGTTCCCGATCCCGGTACTCATAGCGCAGGTCGTACTCGTGCAATCGATCTCGATCTCTGAAGCGTTCACGATCACGCTCCCTTTCTCGACTACTATAATACACGTCTCTCGGATCCCGCAACAGGTCGCGGTGATGTGGCAGTGAGTGAACACTGTGGGGTGTTGAGTGGTGCATCTACAAGAGTTTCAATTGCATATTTAGAATAATCAACGCGAGACTAAACTTCTCATAAACATTCATTTTATCAGTGGAAATCTGACTTTAATATGAATATGTCCTAACCGATTTATACTGAATTTCAAGGTATCGATATATGCTTAGAAAAACGATAGGGTGATTGGAAATTTGACAGGATTACTGTGATGATGGTCATTTTTTTGAGCATATAGATAATTAAGTATCTTTATTACTAATACAGATTTAAATTTTGTGCCACTGATTTCTACGTACGTGTGTAGGACTTGCATTCAACTTTGGAAAATTGATGTTGGTTGGCTTGAGCTGCAGGGTCGACGGTTTGCTTGGAGTCGGTGGTAGGCGTCGTCCAATGCCAGCACGACGAGATGCTAGCGTTGGGTAGCTATGCTGCACATGCGTGCCACCTGTTGTAAATATTGGACATAAAGAAGGCGATGATTAGTTGTACTATATGGCAGATCAGATCGACTTTACTATACGATTACAAATATATTCAAGTTATGATACAAAACAATAGTATGTGGCTAATTGATCAAACAGGGACAATATTCACAAACCATACATACAATGCAAAAGTTGTTGTTTATTTGTATTTTCTATAGGAATGTTCAGTTTTTCTTTCAGTCCATAAATATCCAAGTTTAATTTAAATTTTGCAATTAATTTATGATTTATTTTCAATGAAATGGACACTTTGAAATCTGAATATTCCCATATACAAAACCCTTGTGAAAAAAGTGTGCATATGAACATTTAATACATACATGTATGCATCATTATTAATGTTGATTCAATGCAAAATTTGCATTCATTGCAAGAATAGATCAGATTTACAAACGATATATGTATTTATTAAATGTCCATATATGAGAAATAACAATAGTTGAAATTATTATTATTTTCGCATCGAGATGCACAGATAGTTATAGATGATTCAAGGTGGTCGGTAACTAATCGTGCTAGCATGCATGACTGTGAGCTGTACATACAGTTAAGTAGTATATAAGGAGTATAGAGTACGAGTAGAGTAGAATAGTATTCGAAATGGCATAGAGACAGAAAGAATGAAACTAGGATAAACGTAACAGTGCAAAATACGAAAGATATACATATTACAACTTTGGTTAGACACCCAACTGCATCCCGAATGATAACCATGAATTCAATTTGTTAACTAATTGGCTTCTGCAAAGCATAAAAACAAAAACACCGCCCATATCTTCCACTCGAAATGACGGCAATGGCAATGACAAAGGGAGTCCCTTATAGCCGGTCGCCTACGATTATTTGGAGTATTTGAAATACTTTTTTCATATTGAAGGGTGTTTTGCGATGTCAAATTATTAGAAAGGTTAAGCACATAGATTCTTGGTCAGTAAATTGGGCAGAGAATGAATTTTAGGCAAAGTTGCTATTGACTTGTATAGCGCTGTCCCGATATTTTAAAATTTAGCCTCTTGTCAAAAATCAACACACAATTTTACAAAAACTATATAGATGTAGTAGTAGTGGGTTTTTTTTTGTTTTCGAAAATGTCACCAAGCTCAAATTCAAATTCAAGTTCACGTCCTAAGATGTCGCATTCATTATCGATCCCGTGTTCCGTGCAGTCTCACATTAGTTCCTAATATATCCCCATTTGTTTTTTTTTTATTTTTTTTTTTTGTGTTTTGCTTGGGTATGCGAAATAATTAGTATTAGATTATATTCTTTTAAGTTGTGATGTATGCATATAATATCTTACAACCGCTTAGTGAAAATTTCATGTTGCCGAATTTGTCCGTGTGGTTTGATGAGGATGAATGTTTGTACATAGTATATGTAAGTAAGTGTATGGGCACTAGAGATATGAAATGAACGCTGCTAATACGAGTATTTGAGTACGAGTACAAGTACATACATACATACATACATAAGTATTGTTCAATGTGAAACGCTAACAAAACTGAGAGCTGTGTAGTTATGTAAGTGGTAATAGAAAACTATTTGATTATTGAAAGCTTATAATGGAACGTCTCATGGCATGACAATACATGTACATGTTAAGCATTTTAGCAGCTATGTACGAGTAAGCATGTCTGATTTTGATTTTGATATTGATAACTTGATTGATGTTTTTATAAGTAGAAATGTTTGAAGAAATTTGTGTAGAAGAAAGTACTAGCATATATAGTAGAAAACATGTTATTTATGTTTTTAGTTTTTGTTTTGATTTTGATTGATAGTGTTTTTTTTTTAAATTTTAATTTTTTTTTTTTTTTTTTTTTTTGATTTTGATTGAATTGTCAGCTTTAGATAACAACATGTGCTAAAGATGTACCCATATCAATCCCATAACCAAGTCTGTCTCGTTCACGCATCTCCTGAAGTCGAGCGGGACTCGGCGATCGTGATCTTTGACATAAACTTGTTGTCCCATATGTGGGATAAGGCAGTTGAGTGCGTTTACTGCGAGACAAATGACCACCATAACGAGAAGGCGAGGGCGAACGGGCCGGACTTGTCGATGCTGACCATGAACCTATATTGTACATATAACAACAATAATAAAGAAAAACGACAATAATTAAGGATGTCGGGGCACAACAGCTTACGTATTGTAAAAATCGTGTTAGAATTGCAATAATTGTCATTTTCATAATTATGTAATTTGATATTTGATATTAGAGCATAGAATAACCAATAATCAAAAATATACACATACGAAAGTATACAAATTATAAATATGTAAAAAGAAATGGAAAACAGAAATGAATAAAAGTTGTAATTTAATGCTAGTAAACTGTAGACATATAATCATATATATATGTATATGACTAGGATACTACCAAATATTAAGATAAAACTCCGGTTGCTCCGAATTCAAATGTATGCACTTTATATATAACATTCGGTTGAGTAATGACTAATATTATTCACAATAGTAATAGGGAGATTTTGTTTTTTGTTTTTATTTATTTTGTCTTTTTTGTTTTTATTAATCATATTTCATTATCAAATTTATCGTTTCTATGAACAGAATCATTAAGAAAATCAAAGTAATACATACGAAATGTATTAAATGTATTACGAATTTCGGCTAGAATTGAATATTATACAAAAAAATGGTTAAAACGCTTATCAGACATGTTTCTGTCGTAAGATTGCTTGGGGGAACTAGTGTAAGGAGCGCTTAAATATAATTATTTTTTAGCGATCAGCTCACACTTAAACTAATTGGTGCATTAAATACATACATTATAGTACATACATATGTATTAATCAATCAAAAATTATAAATATGGATAAATACCTCTTGGATACCGTGGATGACTGTTGCCATGCCTAGGATGGCGAGTCTCCTTGACCATCTCTACAACATTAGATACGGTATCGGAGAACCCGATATCATGATGTATGTATTGATGGCCGCGCCGTCTTGGACTTGGCGATCTGGCCAATGGAGAACCGTTGTGTCTGTAACAGAACAACACGATTGTTTAGTATATATATGTCAAATAGAATAAAACCAACATGGGTGGTTTGTTTGTAAAAATTAACCTCAAACTAGGCGAATGCCGATGGCCATTCATATACGAATGTCCAGGATGTAAATGGCCAGCATCGGCTCCAGTCAGCGATTCTTGTGATGGATGTCTTGATGCATCCTGCAGTTCCAGCATCTAGGCAAGAGAGTTGGACATATTGATTAGTATTTCGCCGGAATAGATATGAATGATAGCATTTGAAATCAGTCGTGATATGGTCACTCATCTAATCGATAATTAAAAGAATCTTATGCATATCTGCTTCGTTTTCTTGTGATTGGACTTTGAAGTCTGACGGATTTCAAATGAATTCATTCTATAATTGACATTTGGTATAATTGGTTTACAATAAAAGCTACAAATGTTTCCAATACTCCGTATTGGAGGGAAGGGAATTTATACGTATATATAAAAGCGACAAAAAAAATACATATACATATACTTATACATATATGTATTCATGTATATGTATATTTATACTTTTGTTGCGTAGGTATTATAAGGGATGTATATTATATATAAATATATTAATATGTAAATTAAAAACAACTATTACTTCACTGCAACAAATTACGTATTCAAATGCGGTTTTAATTGCACTAGATTGAAGTATCGAAAGGTTCACAAATGCAGGATTACCTAGTTTAGGGCGTGTAACATTTAAACAATTCCATACACTACTTATGAGTATACATATATGTATATATACTTGAACACTTTAAAGTAATTTAGATTTTTGTTATTTGGTTTTATTTCATTTACTATTTGTATTGATTTTTTTTCTATCTTATTGGGGTTATTATCTAATTTGATTCTTGATATCATATAAGCTAATTTTTTCATTCGTTTTTTTTTTTCTTATTTTTTTATTTTATTAATATGCCAATTATTTATTACCCAGATTCATCTACATAATTGTAGTTAAATGTTGTCCTATATTTATGAAAAAACCATGTGACTTATTGTCGAAATTAACAAACATAAGTAAAATATTCCAAACTTAAAATTAATGCATTCCTATATTGCTAATGATACGCAAATTTACATTACTACTCTCTACGCATGTATACATATATAAATGGTTTACTATTAAGTATGAAATGGTATCAAAAGTGAGTACAAATTATAAATCGTAAAGTTATGCAAAAGCAGCAGGCACAGTGTAAAGCAAAATCAAAAACTAAGCATATGCAATTTGTACATCATATTATCCTATTAGTTGTTAATATGTAAGTATTATTATATATATATATATATGTATATACAAATATACAAATCTTATTTACATTAATTTGCATGCATTCTACAGGTAGTCTTGTGTGTAAGTATTAACTATTTATGTGCGTTTGTGTGCGGGTTCGTATATACAGAGAAGTATTCTTTGGATCTGATTGCAGGAACTGGTGAGGGTGGTGGTGGTAGTGCAGCTGGGTGACATGTTCAAATGTCCATGATCAGGGGATGTGCCCGATTTACTTACCAAAAGATAACTAAACATAGACTCAAATGTGCCGAATTGTTTCAACCCAAGGAAATATCTCTAACCACATACACATACAGCCATTGTAAAAATATAATTACTACGTATTATATATGTATGAAGTACGCTATAAATTAGGCGGAAACCCGACTAATATTCATTCACATGAAAGGAACGATTTTCGTTGAAGTTTACAATTCTTTTCGTATAGAGATAACGGAAATGTTACATTTGTGTATAGTGCAAATGAAAGGCAATTATATTATGCCATATTTATACATAAGTTGTTAGGATTAACGTATTTCAACGTCGAAATGGAAAATAATGAGAATATTTCGATTCTACTGACTGAATCGCGATATATAGAAAGATGTGCGAAGTTGACTTGGGACATTTAGAAACAGTACGGAACCACCAAACTGTCAAGTTATATTTTTTTTATAAATAGGATAGGTGTTGTGTATGTTGGTCCCAGTTGTCATATTATACATAAGTAAGAAAAATATTGACTATCTGTTATATAATTATACAATTGAGACACAAAAGTATACTGTGAAATTAAATAAAATGCTGCTGCTTAATAATGTCCTACGCACATGACTATATATGTATGTATTTTACCACTATAGCTTCAACTGATAGCTGTGCTTTAATTCTAATCGGTGTCAGATACACGAGAAATTGCGCAATTGCTTACAAATATTTCTGCAAGTCAGCTTCGTGTTCGTGTTGTTATCAGAGTTTGCGTAGCGTGCTCAAGGGCTATTTGTGCTGGCATCAATGATGTAATTTTAAGTCTATGTACATACATGTACATATGAACACATATGTATATTATTTTTGAATTTCAAGCCACAGCTGATATCTGACAGCTCCTTTGATGCTTTGCGAGACTCTGTTATCAACTTTCAACTTGCAACTTGCTGAAGAAATGCCTACGTACGTATAAGTACTTATATACTTATATACGATCAACGATCAAATTACAACATTGAGTACGAGTACGAGTACTAAGCGAAGATTTGCTTTTCTAACTGTTCAATAAATGGCTATGCAACACATATATGTATGTATTTATTGTTCTATTGAGTAAACGCAAATTGCTTAAAATAGGATACACTTCACGCATTTACATACATATACATCATATGTATATATATCTATATGTACTTACATAAATATGCAATATGTGTACACATATATACTTATATTTTATTACATACATACATATATCGTTAGATATGTAGATGAGCGAGAGCGTACATATATTCAAAGGTAAGTAGTACTAGTGTTTTACTTCGACTTAAGTAATTGGTTTGTGAACAACATTTATATCGGAAACGGATTATGGACACAAAAAGTATTCACACATATTCATATAATACACAATTATTTATTCTTGTTTTAGTAAATTTTCGATAGTTTCTTTTTCGTTTACCGCTTGGAGTTTATCAAACTTATTCACCTTTTTGTTTCTGAAATTATTTAAAAATTAGAAAAACAATTTACTTATGTAAATGTACAAAGCACAAAAATATGTATGTGTTTGTTGAGTTGTTTCGTGAATTTACAAATTAAGAAAACAATAACAAACCAACATAAATCGATTGAGCTATGAGAGACACATACATTAAATTCTGTGAATACAGACAGTTAAAAAAATAAATATATATGTATGTATGTATGTATGTATGTATGTATGTATGCCTGTGTTTGTATTTATGTATATGAATTATGATTGGATGCCCTAACAGTAAACTTCTTTTTAATTTAATTTTTCTATATTTGGCTTTGCTTTGTTAGTTAGTATCCAAATGCCTTGGCAAATTGATATTAATATCAAGAGATAGATGTGTTTACAGAATAACTTGATACTTCACGTAAATCGAATTGGGAACATGTCCATGTAAGATTAGAAATCAACATAAAACATTTGCAAAATCGGTTATTATGGGGGAAAACACTTGAATTGTGTTGAGCTGTTCACGTTGTATCCATAAAAGGGGAAGCCAAGATATGGGCATTAGCAAATTCTGATTAATTATTAAGCTTCTGGGATACAATACGAATTATTGAGATCTTTTTCACAAGCTGATCACAAATGTACAGAAGCGAATGGAATTGTGTGCTACAATTTGAATGTATTAAAATAGTGTTGTCTATGATGATCATGACTTTGAAAATGCTGATGAAGATGATGATTGACTGATTGACTGATTGATTGTTTGACTGATTGATTGTTTGTGATAATGACGTTGGCAATACTTTGCACTTTACAAGTAAAAGTTAAAGTGATGTTTTGTAAATTACCTAACAGATCGCTTTCTGATTGTACTCCGACGTGCTATTGTTGCCAAACTGTTGTGTTCGACATTACCGTTAGCGTGATGAGTGCTCGCTAACAAATGTGTTTGTGAGTTGGCGGCTCCTTCCCCATTTGGCTCGAAACTTATGGAGCCCTGTCGCGATCCTCCTTTGTCAAGGGCGGCCATATCGAGCAGGCAATTAAAGAATGATTGTTTCTATTTTGATTTGTTTGCAGTGGGTGGATGCAGTTTGAATTGCGGTGCCAGTTTTGGTTTCGTTTCAATCATTTCATTTAATATTGTTATTCAGGTTGTAGCAGTTAATGAATAGATTTTGTGTTTTATATTGATATTGATATTGATTTGGTTTTTTTTTTTTGGTTTATATTAAGTTTTTCATTTTAGTTTTGCAGTTGGTTGCAGTTGTATGTGATTAAAGTATGCAAACCGATATGTTTTTGTTGTTGGTTATTGGTATGTAGATTTCAAACGTTGTTGCGATTGCAATTGTTGTTGTTGTAGACATTGGTGGGTGAGTGGTGAGTATTGAGAGTTATGTTTACATTGCAACGCATTAGGATTGTTTTTGGATTTTTGTTTGATTGTGTTTAAGCGTTTAGAATGGAATGTAAGAATTATTATAGAATAATTGAAAATGTAATAAGTAGGTACAAAAATTAAAATAAATAACACAAAACATTTGAATTTATATATTTATATATATATATATATGTATGTATATATATATATATATGTATATTGATTTTGTTGTTGTATATGCTAAATAGATATGTATAAGTTTACATATTATGTAAATATGTTTATATTATAATAAAGTAAGGGCAAATAGCGGTTTTCTGCAGATTTCATTGAACACGATACGTATGCTGTAGTAGTATACCATTTAGAGATGTTTGAAGCTCTACACAATTTATATAATGTGTCTGTTGTGTGAATGTGTAAATGTATTAATACTTTCGCATTGTGTAATAAATTGCTTAAAAGAGTTTTGTTTTTTTTTGGTTTTTTTTTGTTTTGGTTTTTTCTGATTTATATGGTAAAAACATGCGCAAACATTTTTACAACTCACTAGGTTTTGAAGAAAATCTAAGAAGAATCTCTATATATATTTTATTATAAGAATTATGTGTGCCAATTCGAAGAAAATGTGGACGGAACAAGTGAATAAAAATTGATTTTTGTTTGATTTAGTTTTATCTATGATTTCGTTACAAGGATTTTTTGTTTTTTTTTTTTTCGTAGCATGTATGTATTTAGGTGATAATGGTAATTGTATAGCACAAAACAAAAAAAGTCGTAAGGTTTCTAAGTTTAGGTTGCATCTTCATGACACGTTCAGCTTATTTGTATTATTTGTTTGCATGCCAACGTTTTTTTGTTTAGTTTAGTTCTGTGTTTAGATAAGAAATACAATTTATTATCATTTGTACCTAAGTTATGACTGATACAATCTGTTGCATGCCTATCATCATTAATATGGTATAGGAAACTCAACGGCACAACTTGTGAATTAAATAAAAATGTTAAATATAGGACATTTGTCATTGTTCGCACTAATTCATGTTTATTTTTATCAGCTCGTTATTGGTTTTATCATTTGTCACTTTTATTGTTATTGATATTTATATTATGATATCAGTATCGGATGCATTATCGTTACCCATATCGGCATTTATACACATTTCATTGTGAGCAATGCAGTTCAATCACTAGTTTAATCACACTACATATATAACGTTTAATATGCAATTGCCTTAGTGATTAAACTTATATATTTATATGCATGTATATGTTCTAGAATAATATATGTATAATGCATAGCAATGCCTCTCTATGGATACAAGTGTAACGGTGCAATATTTGATTTGAAAGTTGAATTAAAGGTGCGATATTAAAAAGGCTCACAATCAAAATCAGCAAAGATAATTTGTACAAAAAAATTAAAATACTATTGTTGTGTATTGTATAGAAGCACGTAGTAATAATTCTCAGCCATGATTGAAATGAGACTGGATGTAATATATTATCAATTTGGATAGAATGACATAATAGCATCAATAGCACAAATTTGCCGGATCATTTAAAATATATTTATAAGAATCTCTTTATCTCTAAGGGAGATTGTTTGTAATGATCTAAGGATTCGCTCAAATTGAAGCTAATGGAATGTAATTACAACGGTGGTTAAATATATAGAAAGTTGTCATTGAAAAAGAGCTTGGCATGGGTTCAAAATTCTTGGTTATTTGGTTGCTCGTGCTATGGCCTAGTGCATTATAAGGGGAAGGTCATAGTCTTACAACGGATTTGAAGTTAAGGCCGTAGTTTAGCTCATTGGTGAGTGGGAGAGAGATTGTGTGTGGTTGTGAGAAGCGAAAATATAACCATAGCATAGCATAGCATAGCACTTGCAAATACGTGTTGCATATATGTGTTTTTTTTTATTTTTGTACTAGATATTTAGAAATTAGTTAGGTGTCTATGGAGATTTATAAACTGGCATAATACTAGTGTTTTGTTGTTGCCTATATAGTATTTATGCACGTTCCTATGCGAGTATTTACACATGCCTCTAGCCGAATGCGGTAGATACTTGCAGAAATTGTTTAATGGCAAACACGTGAAAGAGGAGCTTATAAAAGGCAAAGTAAAGTCAAGCGAAAGATATATGTAAATAGATTATATACCGGCTCCTCGACTGCCGTTGGGCTATATTTACGATCATCATCATCTTCGGGCTTCTTCCGCTATCATTGCCCAATTATCCAATTACAAGTATTGGTCGACAATTTCAAATTAATCAATTTGTCAGTGTTAATTTATCGTTTGTTTGTGCATTAGCAAGAATAAAAACATGTTTGTCATTTAATTACATTTGGTTTTTTTTTGTTTGATTGTTTTTTGTTTTTTTTTTTTTTGGTTTAGTAGTTTAAATGGATGGGACTATGATATTTGCAATTATACTATATATTATGTGGAATCCCTTGTTAGTTCTCAACGTACGCATTGGATGGATTAGGTCAGACAAATAACAGAACAACTTTGATTTTGATCGACGAATTGTGTTTTGAAATGGATACTTGTGTGTCTATGAATCAAGACTTAAAAATGAAAGCTACTTGTACAGAAAATGAAATCAAACATAAGAGTACAATCACAAACTCGACAATTAAAATATCAACTCGTTAACTCTACCATTATTTGTACTTAGCTACTGGTCTTATTCAACTCATTGCATATAATTGATAGCAAATTATGGGTTTTGTTATTCCCGAAGAATGCACCAGTTTTGTTGATTTTTTTTGTTGTTTTTTATTTTGTTTTTTTTTTTTTGTATTTTGATGTATTTTGCCTAATTAGTCTATCTTTATTTATGTAGCTAAAGTGCATCGCTTGGGGAAAACTCCAAATATACATATAAGAGAAAAGTACACAACTTTTTCCATCACCAGCACTCATAACAAAAAAACATGTCCAATGTGGTTCTATATGACTGCAAATTCGAATGAGATTTTCTCTACAGTATGTATGTAGGGATGTTTTTAAAAGGAACAAATTATGGATCGAGATGGGTGATTTTGTTGTAAGACCTAATTATAAGATCCACAACTTAGTTGAGTAATGTCTAATTTATATAATTAGCACCTGCTGCTCGTCATTACGTAATTTATGTTGAGTCCAAATTTGAATTCGATATGATGGAAAAAGTTGTCCGGTACTCATGAATATTATTGGTTTGATTACGTATAGGTAAACGAATGTGGAGAGTATGCAGTGTATTTGTTGCACATATATACATATGTGACAAACATATATACAAATGTGTTAAGTGTGAGGTTGCATATAAATTAATTATATACCTCCTTCCAATTCTGCATTTTTATTAGTTCATAAAAATTATCATTTTTGTTGTGGTACATTTAGTTATTGGTTTAGTTTTTTTTTTTTCGAGAGTTCATTGTCAAACATATGAGAAGAAAAATCATAATATTTATTACTCACATATTTTAATTAATTGAATAGTTTAATTAATGTGTGCTTATTTGTAGTGACAAAACATGGATTTTTTTGCAATTGGATTGGATCTGCAAAACATTTGTTTCTCCTAAAAAAATGTATTTCAATTTTGCCACAATATTTGATGAGGTCTATTTGTGCCCCATCAAGTATGCTATACATTTTCGATTTTCGCTTAACTCTGTTGCGTTTTTTATTTAATTTGAATTTAGACATGTTCTGCAGAATGTATTAATTAATTAAAAATGGAACACGATAAATATATATCTCGTTGGAATCCCTCGGTTCATAAAATTTGTATTGATATTGTTTAATTAGTTTGCGTAAAATTGTCGAACTTTTTTTTTTAGCATTGCTGACAACAAGATCACTTTTAAGTTAAGGGCTAATGCAATTTATGAAAATTATTGACTATGCTTATAAGAGATCCAATCCGTGCCAAAGTGAACTCGTGTTATTAATAAATATTTTATAACAACTTGTAGGACAATCTGTATATACAGCTGTGTGTACATATATTTTTGATTTACGATAGTTAAATAGACAGGACAGTGTCTTAAATGTGTCTTTAAGTGGACACACGCACACAAGTCTTGCTCGTGTAAGTGACAAACATAAGTAAATGAGCAAACGAATAAACTGAGCAAATGAAAATCCTGTAAATTAATTTCTGAAGAGGAAGCCTTACATTTAAATAGGTATTTATAGCTATGCAGTTTGGCAGCTTTTAGATATTTTGTAGCTTGAATTTAAAATGCTATGCACTCATCCCTTTCAAATATGTGGCATAGCCAGCAAAATACATGTACTGACTTAATCAGACCCTGGGCACAATTGGCATGCCTTCAATATTGCATCGAATCGAGTATATGGCTACCCTTCGAAACTTGTCTGATCCAAACGAGACTCATCAAAACTGGTTTATTGGCTACGAATTTTACGAAATATTTTTGGGTTGCAAACTTACCGGCATGCCTGAATCAATCTGGCCAAATCTCGTATTTCGCCACGATTCCAATATAAGGAAACCTGCATAGATTTTACCAACTGACAGTTTTCCTTTGTTTAGCTGATCAATGGGTGGAACCAGTAAGTTTAACATTTTCTTGGCCTGCAATGGCCAGATGTTTGTGATGGTTTCCCTGAGTTCCATGTCCGCCTGGTCCATTTCCTCAGCTACATGAGTGCACACGAATACAAGAATAATGTGTTAAAATGCACTCAATCATCTGATGCATGTATTAATTAGTTTCAACTTACGCGCTCGCATCTTAATGCTTAGATTCTCCCGAATCAAAGCGAACAACGTTGTGGTGAATTGGACTCTCAATTCATCGTCCAATGGCATATTCATACGTATAAGTTTCTTGTAGGCAAGACGGTTGGGACACTTGTTACCGAATCCCAAAGGAGGATCCATATTTTTCAGCATGTCATACATTTCGGTATAATGTATTCTACCACTATTTTTATCATTCGACACCGGAATCAAAAAAGAAGATATCAGTTTTCAATGCCGCCACAAACTTTTAAAATCAATGGAAAACCCAAAATATTATCATTGGTATTACCAAAGCTAAATACACCAATCACAAGATATCAGCCACTTGTTTAGCATTACAGTTTGCTTTGGGGAAAGCAGATAAAAATCAAAATCTTTTAAAATAACGTTGATTTTAACAAGGAAGCAGACTATAAATTAAATATTTTTTTTTGTATACATATTGTATTTTAAGCTAGTTAACATGATTGGCACTTTATTGAATTGAAGTATCTTGTGAGGCATATGATAAAAGTGAAATAATAAATAATAAGAAAGTAAATTGTTCGTGAATGTCCCGTTATCAACTCAAAGGATAGTGTTGTTGCCTAAACCCTAGAAGAAAAAACGTTGATCGAAACTGTTTGTTGTATTTCGAGATTGCATCGGATGCACGGGTGTATGTAAGTTTATAAGAGAGTCAAGTGAGTATAAGACTTTTGAAAGCTAGCTGTGCAGGCATCGTTTGTTATTGAGTATTCGTTGATATTTTGAGTCGAGTGTATATGAAACAAATACGATCAAATAATAATCATTTAATATTGTTGCAGAGCATACGACTCTAGGAGTTGAGTTGAGCACGTCTGCATGTGCTTGCAAATAATATATAAAAACGAAATGTTCATATAATTTTGGAGAACTTAATATGTGGGAATCATTAATTATATAGGTTATATATTAAACTGATAATTACGTCGCATTTGGATCATATTCCGCCCATATGCGGACAAATTCGTCTAAGTGATGAGCACCCAATATACTGGAGTCCCTCGTGAGATAATCGAAATTATCCATGATGACGGCCACGAACAGATTCAACATGAGAAATGAACAAAAGAATATAAACGATACGAAATAGGCGTACGCCAACGTCGAACCACAGTACTCCCCGGCACCCTTCTCGGCATCATCGTCACAGGCCTTGCCCTTTAAGCAGGCCAGCATTATGTTTGGCCACGCCTCGCCCGTTGCACATCTGGGAGGTCATCATCGAGGGAGACGATGACGATAATGACAACCATATTAGATAGCGACAACAATAACGACACCGAAAGAATAAATCAGTTAATAATCACAGTAGCTAAACAACTTAACTGCCTTAATCAATTACGATCTACATACTAAATGCTGATTTACTTATAAATGTATGCATGATAGTTACGTATACATATCTAATGCTATTCATGTAAATGTAAATGTAAATGTAAATGTCAATGTATGTACATATGTATTCACAATAACTGAATCCATACACATACTTGTATGAGTTGTATGCTAATATGCAAATGGCTGAACTAATATTAAAAATACTTATATACATACTACACACAAATCAACAACATTTGTGTAAACACATACATATACATATATAAACGTTTAGGAATACTCATGTAGAGAATGCTCAACACAATGATACCCTGCACCCAATAAACAAGCACGGCATGGCTACAATTATTAAGGCTTCAATTAAATTTAATCCACATATGATTTGAGATCGCCAGATGAATGGATACTCGGACTGACAGAGAGACAAACTATCCTATAATGAATCATCTGTATATGCATATATATTCCTATAAAGAATACATATGAGTTACAGTAGTGGAAATGCATATGGGTGCCGTTTTTTTTTTTGTGTGTAGGGTTTCAAAAATACACTTGTTTACAAATTTGAAAATGTGTAGTAATTTTGATCATCTGATAGCTGTAGTAAAAATTAATTTAAAAAAATTGGTTTTAATCAAAGTGGATTTACTATATTAAGTTGGTATTGAAATTGAATTAAGTTTTTTGGATAACTTTCTCACAATATTATTTTGATATTTCAACAAATTTGGCATATTTTCAAAGAATTTCAAATTCATTTTACCATCAGATGATCGTTGGTAATGCAAATAATACAAACTATAATTACATAGGCCCACAAACAATTTACACTTTACTTAAATAGACTTGAGATGTGTTTGCGATTACATACAAAAGTGTCTGTATTAACATTTACAATTGACGGGAAGATTTTATATACACTTTATTAATGAAGTTCCGAATGTTTAACTGAGTTCACAGGGGGTACTGTCTTTATTGTATACATATATATTTATCAAAATTATTGGTCAATTATATCAGCAACTTATATATATATATATATATATACATATATATAAGTCCCCAATACAACTGGGGACAGTACAATATATGTATTAACAATAACAATGCTCAAGCCCGAGACTATTCGACTAGATGTTCTGTAGCCATTGCATATTGCAAGTATCGTAGATCCAGAATACATTCAAATTTAAATAAATATATATATGTATATATAGTTATAATGTGGTCTATTTATGTACATACATATGCATCTATCTATAAATAAGTGTATCGTCAACTTATTGCAATTATCGCTTCTGATCATACATCTACTATGCATATAAAGTACAAATACTGTGAGAACAATTGCACTTAAAAACCAAAATAATAACTTAGCTCAAACATCAACGGCAACTTCAATGGCAACAACAAAAGTGCATACCTTGACGAATCAAATGGCGTTTCATACAATATTTAATGGAAAGGCACACACACACACATATACATATATGTATATATATTACGTAGATGTATATATATTATACATGGAAATGAAAACATATATCGTATTTATATCGCACATAACTCTAGCAACGATCTACATATGTATATTGTACGAGGACAAGTCTCCTTCAAATAGTATAAGTTCTAAATTTGGTAATTGTATATCATGATCGAATGAATTGGGTTTGTTTATAGTACCCAAACTAGGTATAAGCTAATAAGTATCTTTGTAAATATATGCCTTACTCAGTGTCAAATAGTATGTAATGCACTCAATTTTGGAATACCAATTGATTCATTGTTCAATATCTTATTTAGCTACGACAAATCAAACCTACAGAAATTCACTTTTATATATTATGTGTAGTTTAATCACATCTATGGATATATGGGGGCATTTACCAGCTGCGGCGTTGAAAGAATGATCGATTTCAGGAAAGGCTTGCCTTATTCAGAAACGTCTGATAAATACCCCTATTAGATACAATATTTTGGCAACTACAATTAAAAAAAAAAATAATAATTAAACAAAAAGAAGCTGAATATGTACTCCAGCTATGTGTGTGTGCATTACATTTGCTTCATGAGATACCTCTAAATACACTGGATTTCACTAACAATCAACATTTATGCACTACGAGAATGAGTGTACTGTTACTGTACTGTTACGCACTTGCATAAAAGTTTGATGTGACTAATCATAGATTATTAAATGATCTATTGAACGTACTGAATGAACGACTGTTATTATCTTTTGTGGCTGTTGCCGACATTTTGTTGTAGCTGATGTTCACTTTTGAGCATCGCATCATGTGATGAGTTGTGGCTCTCGGACTGACTAATCAGAGGCCTTAGAATCTAAGCTAATTTATAGTAAACTAACCGCATGTTAAATTGTTTTTTTTTTGTTTGTATTTTATTTATCTAATGCTATTGTAATATGTAATCTTAGTTTCCCATTAACGAGTTTCCGAAATATCATACTAAAATACTACAGTGGTATTGGCAGGTATCGCCTCAAATCCAGTTTTAGGGCATAGTTTTATCGATATACGACTCGTATAATACGAGAACAGAAATCTATTAGTTATTATATTAGTTTAACGCTAAGGTAGCTTGTATATAATGTGGGAATATAACTATGTATATGACTATACATATAGTATATATCTATTATTTATCTTAATTATTGAAAAATCGAAACTTTGTTTAACGAACAATTTGTTTTGTATTAACTATATGCGTTTAATCGCAAATAAGCTAAAATTTACATACCTGAAAAGCAACATGACGCCTTGTATAAATGACTGGAAGTTGTTGTGTCTAGTAATAGAATTTTCCACTGTACCTAGTTTGATATTTCCGAATACCTATGCACGATTTGAATATCGGTAAATAATATAATGATTAATTTGTATTGTTAACATCAACTATAAAATGAAGAAGTCAAAAACACATAACACTTTTTCACCCAAATATCCTCACTCCGTAACGCTATAAAAGCTTTGATTATATTTACCCATTTAAATTACATCTAAAAGATCCACGAAATAGATAAGCTAAACTATTTTTATTACCCACTCCTTATCAATATTTTCGGGTTTAGTAACTAAAGATGAAGTGTTGGAAATACGGGTACTGATACTGTCTATAATAAGTACATGAAATAAATAACTTTTCTAAGGATCATTAATAATGATGCATACAAATTATAGAAAAAACGTACACGAGTATTTATTATTTAGTAACGTCTGTAAAATTACTAGAATATCTGGATGGAGTACACATGTTTATATATATGTATGTATGTAAGTACCTGCATAGGATATGAAATTATAAAAATGTATTACGATGAAAGTGCCTGACTCGCTCTCTTCAATGCAATTTAAATATTACAAGAAAATATATAGGATGGATGTAGGTACATAGGTAGGATATTTAAAGCTGAACTCTAACGCAACAATTTAATTTGACGCTATCAGATACGTATTAGTGTGAAAGCTGACTTTGTTAAATCAATGCATAAATGTAGTATTTTAGGTAATTAAGGGACGCAAACCGAACTGGTTGAGTTTTTAGCAACTGTTTTAATTAGGTGTATTATACATTTGTATTGATTGAGCTTCAAACAAATGCTTATGAGCAAAACGTTGTAACACTAAGCAAATAGTATATCTACAATAGTATATCTACTGCGCATTTACAATAGTAATTCGTTACTATAACTTTAACAGTTTCATACATACATATGTAAGTAAGTACTATAAGTATAGTTAAGTGTTTTATAGAACAACTTTTTGAACTGCCACAACTAATGCATACAATTTCTTCTTGGCAGTTCGATTGCAATTGAATTCTACATCTGATTGATTGATTGATCTATACAATTAACGAACGATTCAAACACAAGTAACAAGTTATGCTATGTACTAGTTAAGTAGTATATAAATATATGACTAAATAATGCTTCGAAACTATCCAAGTCACAAACGACGGCAGATTAACAATAGTTTGAATAAGAAATGCTAAATCATATCGTTCCCCATTTGTGATTGTGACTTAATAATCAACCGGTTTTGACTTTTAATATATATATATATATAGTGAATACAACAACGATGTCCTCACACGTCGATTTATAATCATCTCGTGTTCGGACACGCGAATTTCTGATTTTAAGAAAACTAGATACAGTTTCTCTAGCGTGAGTAATTATGTAAGCATGTCTGTTAGTGCCATCAGTTATAGCCACTAAAGATACACTAATTAACTTGATTCTTCCTTTACCGAAAGAGCAGCATGATTCCTCCAGAGAACGATTGGAAGTTATTGTGACGATTCAGTTGCGTGTCCGGATCATATTTTATGTTGCCAAAAACCTTTTATTTTGTGAGACATTATAATTGGTTTATGTTATTAGACATTTCATATCTAATTTTGAATTTCGCTACGTTATTGTGCGAAAAGCAATTATGGCCTTTCGGTTTGCTACTTTTCCATTATTTTATTAAAATTTGTTTTTTTTTTGGTTTAATCGAAATGAAAAATGTACATCTTAATGAGCACAAATTAATCTAGAACACTTTTGAGATAAGTGTTAAGCTCTTACTTTTCATTCATTGAGCTCGAAGCTTACTTAGAATAATGTGTTTTAACTAATTTGAAAAGACTAGTGGATCATTGCCCTGAAGATATGATTTGCTTTTATTATATTTACAACTCATAAAATCGTTGTTCCTTAATATCAACCGACTTATCAATTCCGAAAAGTATATGTCCAAAAGACACAAACAAGAAAAGAACGTTGAGCAAGACATCTATGAAAAAAATGCCATGATGCGAAATAGCAAAACAAATTGCAGGCCTAAGTACAAACATACATATATGACAATTTAAAGGCTCCCTTTTTTTTACAATTTTTTTCTCCGTTAAGTCCTGCTTTGATATCAAACAAAATTCCACACCTACAATTTTCTAGAATTATATCCTCTCCAAGTAAAATACAAATGATCAGTCATCTATTCATAGCTAATATATATACACTTAATAGTTTAGCCTATGAAAAAAGAGTTAATATCTTTGTTGATTTTTAAATAAGTGATTGTATGTTTCTATCAAGTATACGACCTATTGTACGTATCTTCTTCTATTGCTAAGTATATAGGTATTTATTGCACTATCTGCGGTTTTATTATGTAAATATTTGCTATTCCTCTCAAAAATATTATGAAACTTAGCATAGAACACAATAAAACAATATTTTAGAACATGATGCAATTATTGAAAATAGAAATTGATCGTATTTATACTTTGTATCTATCTGCTAAGTTTAATTCATTATACTATTAAGAACTTATAGGATTGGAAATGATATTTAAATAAGAAATGAGTAGATAGATATCCTACAAGAAATGATTATTGTTTTATTTGTTTCTTTTTTTTACTACGAATTTGTAGTTAGTAGTTTGTAGTTATCCCAAGTGTTATGTTGGTTGAATCCTGAACTTGATCGTGACAGATCAATTGCCTTATGTGTTACGTAATTTGTGTCCAACATTAATTTTTCAGTGACACCCAAAAGGTACTGTTGTTTTGGGTGAGAACGGAAACTTACCTGCATGCCAATAATGGCGTATATAAAAAATAGCATTGCAATAAGCAAACAGACATATGGAAGTGCTTTAAATGATTGTACAAATGTCCAGAGGAGAATGCGTATGTATATCCTAGCGAGCATTTATAAGACGGGCCGCACGAACAACGCAAGAAGCCGACGTGATTGAGTTCGACTGTAAAATATTATTGGTCAAAGGAGAAAAGAGAGAAACGAGAAACAGGAAATAAGGAGAAATAGTATTAGAGTGATGTTGTCCCGTGTTCCTTACAGACCAATTCAGATGTATTCAAAATTGATGCTTTTCAGCTCAGTTCGAATATTATCTCAGTTTGTTTCTCTGCTTTTCTTCTTTTTTTTTTTTTCATTAAGTTCGTTAGTACTTAGTAGTAGCAGTTATAGTAGTGGTATAGTAGTAGTAATATTAGTAGTAGGTAGTAGTGCAGTAGCAGCAGTAGTAAGTAAGTAGTAAGTAGTGGTACTAGTAGTACATAATAAAAGTACATACATATACATATTGGCATTAAGTTAGTAGTAATTTGATTGGTTAGTAATGAGCGATTCATTAAAATAATTGAATTTTAATTGGTTAGTAATGACCGATTCATTAAAATAATTTGGTTTATTTTATTTATTTTTTTTTTTTTGGATTTTCTGCTCTATATAAGATATACAAAATAATTACAGTCAAATTTGCAAAGTATTAACTCAGATATATAGAGATGAAAATGATATAAATATATAGGAAAGTTGTTTTTTTTTTTCACAAAATGCTAAATAAAAAGTGTGTTTTGAACAGTTTGTATCTTAATTAATTACAACAAATGCAATATACATAATTTGGATGTTGAATTTGATCAAAAGCTATTTAGATTTAGATAATTATTGTAACATTTTCGCTGTGTGTGTGTATGTTTGTGTGTTTGTTTGTGTGTGTGTGTGTTTATATGTATGTGTATGTGTATGTGTATGTGTGTGTGTTGACTACCACACCAATATAGCGTAACATGTGCATTTGTATTTGTTATTTCTCAGTTGCTGATACTAATTACAAAACAGTTTGAAAATGTGTCAAGTATAGGGCCTTTGGGTCTTAATAGTTGAAAATCTAAAAAACAGTTGAAGGTAAATTTTGTACTGTACTAAACTATCTCAGTGAGTTTTTTGCAATAATAAGAAAGCATAACGATACAATAAAGTACAATATACATAAAAAAAATTAACAATTACGAATAGAATAATTTGTATGCATTTGTCTGTATGTACATTTCCCTTAAGTTATTTACTGTTATTGTTGTTGATGTTGTTATTTGTACACGTATACATAACGTATGCATTTCTGAGAGTATAAGTTAGTTTGTTATGTATAGCAGTCAGAAAATAGATTGATAGGTAGTTATACGCATTGCGGTGTCGGTATCCGATTAGTTCGTAACCGATTCAAGAACTTTGACCAAAATATTTTACTCATCAGCTGTTGCATATAAAAATCAAACAGATGTTCACATAATGCAAATACGTACGAACGTATGAGTCACAGTGACAGTCACATTGATCGTGATCGTGATCGTGATCGTGACCGTGAATGTGACACACATACATAAGTAAATAGGTGCTGGGCAACCCACTGATTTTGGGACGCATACCGCCTCGACGTGGCCTCTACGTGATAATTAAGTAAATAGTTTAAATTAAATATTACGATATATTCAAAAATTACAATTGGCTTTGAATAAATAAACTTACATATATATATGTATATATATATATACAGACATATGTAAAACCTGATTTATATATATATACATATATATATCATATTCAAGTAGTAGATTACAATTATGCACTGTTGCTATTTTATAAAGCAGCTAAGGATAGTGCTATATGAAGACATTAATATACCAAATGTCAGGTTGCGACCATCTGTAACAGATTCAGATACTGTTACAGCGAGAGATACATCTACATAGTACATCGTACATATTCGAAAATCTCGCAGTTATCCCATTTGGTATGCCTACTGGGTGGGTAAATAGGGGTTCGGTTTGGTTGGTTCGGTTTGGTTTGATTTGGTTCGGTTTGGTTTGTTTCTTCACTAGCATGATATGATACACATACATACATAAGCAGTAACAATAAAGTTATTATGTACAGAGACAAAACTAATAAGAATTCGCGTTGTGGAACATTGTATTTTCAGCCAAATCGACATCAACGTGGCAATGGAAACGGGTAACAGCACTACGAAAAATATAAAAGGCAATGATACTCTTTGTTTTTAGTCTAGAAAAAGTATTTAATGAGCAGCTAAATACATATATAGTAGTATATATGTATTTCTGAAAATCAAGGCAATTGAAGAATATACTACGGAAGAAAACATCATCAATGCGATGTGAGTACAGAATAGGATATAGTATATAGTAGTAAACGTTTAGCTAAAATGCTAATAAATAGATTTGTTGTTGTTGTGGTTATTGTTTTTTTTTTTTTTGTTGATGTTGTAGTATATGTTTGTTCTCGTTTTAGTTTATTTACTTACATCCTGTTGGATAATCAGAAACCATGTTCAATTGAAATTTTTGGAATCGGTTTATGAAATTAATGTACACATAACTCATATACCGCATTGTCACCGAATTTGATGCCACAATTGTTGTGTTGGTATTCGTATTCGTATTCGTATTCGTATTCGTATTGGTATTGGTATTGGTATTTAGAATAATCAAACGGCAGATTCATTGCATGGATTTCAAACAGCAGTTGTATTCAGTTGCATTCAGTTCAAATCGACAGACAGCAGCCAAGAGATGAATTCAAAAGTTTTCAGCGATAATGAAATGTTTGTGATTGTTTGCAGTGCAGTTTAACGTTCGTTAATTTTATAAGCAATTTATTTACAAATTTTTGTTGATTTTATTGTTTTATGTTTATTTGCATAGTCATATTCATTTTCATTTTCAATTTAGTATTTATTTTGCAATTACGATTACGTATCGGTTATTTTAATCGAATTACGGATTTATTACGACGTTGGCGGCGGTAAAGATTTTCGATTTCGTTTTTTATTTTTGGTTAGAAAAAAACAAAGAAATAAATAAAGTAGAGTTGAAAATTAGTAGTAATAATTGACTTTCTTGCTGAATTCAAAGATAAATCAATTGAAATTTGTGAGAAGAATTAAGTGTAAATAATCTTGTATGTATGTATTGTATCATGTGTTAAATAGTTAATAACGATTAAAAACAATCTTTCATTTCACACTGCATTTCGATCGCTCTAAAAAGCCTTGAGTTTCTAAAGCCACATATAAGACAATACGGTATAGTTGAACATAAAAGAAGGACAGTTAAATTGTATGCAAGTTATCCTTGCCACTCAGAGTTGAGTACATACATTGAAAATTGCTAGCCAGAATATGTTATATGAAAATGCATGAATACTACTGATAGTATACAATGGAGAATGATGGTCTTTGGAGCACCAGTTTGCATCAGCTCACATTTCATTTTCTATTCTATTCAATTTAGCTTGCAAATATGTATGTACATACACAAGGTAGGCATTTGTAGATAGATGTATGTATATTCGTTAATAAATTGCTGGCACTTGAATAACTTGTTTGAGATTCACTGATGATACCAATTGATGGAATTACATTTTGATTATACCTTACATACCAGAAGAGATCACATTAACAAAGCAGTTATACAGCATACGCTTTACAGTACTGAATTGTGTTCGGTACAAGTACAATACAAGAAGAATGTATTTATTCGCAGCATGCATTTTAACATTATGCAATTTTTTTTATATAGAGTTTTTGCATTTAAACTTAATAACACTACAATCATTAACAGGGATGCAAACCGGCTTCAGTCCGGCAATTGTTTTCTGATTTTTGAAAGCAAATTTTAATGCATTTCATACAAGCAAATTTATCAAGGTTTGCATCACTATAACATCCAATGAAATATTTGGTAAAAGTTAATTTCATAGAATCTATAAGATATATGCATCTGAGGAAGATAGAGTGGGTGAAAGCTTGTTCAAAGTTAAAAGAGGTCTCTAATTAGAAAAGACTTGCAGCAATAAGGGATAGCGGAAACACTACAGTCGGTACTCCTATAGTAAGTAATAATGTATTTTTTGACCAACCGTCAGAATTTGAAAGCCCAAAACTTGGCCAGTACTACTAGCCAAGCATTCTGAAAAATCATGCGGAAGTGTAGATAGTATATACAGTTGAAAGAGAATATTTGAAAACGTTGGGTGCTTAACGGAAATTCTTTATAATACCTTTAGTTTGTATGGTTGTTCAGATATTGCCTTTGCTAACTAATATGCTTTACTTACATTTACCACTGTTCAGCTAAATCGTTTCACTTACACAATTCATTTCTTATCAGAGAATTAGTTAGTTAGAATTAGCTTATGTGCACAGATATTTGTTCAAAGTTGCTCATTCAATTATTATCAAAATTAGTTTAAGAGTTAAGTATTGTTTGTTGGACTGTTGCACTTAATGCGTGTTAATGCTAATTATGAAGTTCAAAAGTTCTTTTTAAAGTTGTCAGGTAAACATAATAAGCTTTCTTTTTCAAGTCAATTAATTAATAAATACAATTTTATAGACCAGTAAAATCAAAGCCATGCGCAAATATGAAATATTATTAAAAATTAACGCCAAACATGACAACAGTTGCATAACACCAACTTTATGTTGAAAGTCTGCATTCAGGATTATTCGTCTGAATAAAATTTCTATCAAGTAGGTTGGGTTTTATTTTCAAATTTGTATTTTTCTCGTGATTCTATATCGGTCTTATGAATTAGAAGTTTTCTAGCTATTAAAGTTATTTTTTTAACCATAAAACTTTTTTGCTGAATCTAAGAGAATTTGAAATTGAGAGAAAATGTATAATTTATTGAAAATAAGAAACAATCATTCAGTAACTAAAACGTATAATTTGAAGTCCTGCCCAACCAGCATATGAGCATAAGATCACACTTATCTCGCTTGTTATAGTATTTGGGACTTGAATAGAAGGAAAACCATTGCAAATTAAAGAAACATATTCACAGAAGCAATTTTGACATTATTAACAATCAAAAATTCAGAAGCTGTGTCGCTTATGCAAACTGTTATATATCAGCGTTAATGATTTTCTCAAAAAAAATTAATAAAACAACTTGCAAATTGACAACCCATCCAGCCGCTGTACATTTCTACCAAGTGGACTACAGAATTAGACTTAGACTTAGACTTAGACACACAACTGTTTACAAGAGAAGTAGTTACAACCGCAATGTGTCGAGTGCTATGCAAGAGAAAAATGAAGCTAACAGAAACGGATACTCGCAACGGAAACAAGCAAGATAAAAACAAGAAAGACCAACAATATTCGGAAAATACCGAAAATAAATATCTCCTCTATGACAAAAATGCCAATTCGTTATAGTCGAACTATGGTTAAAACAATCAAATTAATACATTTTGTTAAACATTGTAAAAGAGGAAACAATTTTGTAATTATTGGTAAGCTTGGATAATAAACTGTACACCAAAATGTAGCTTGAATAAAACAAGTGAATTGTAAATATCTTTGATGACTACATACGCCAGTTTTATGTGACTTACAAAAGGAAAATGATTGCCAAGAGTAATTAAACTTAGAACAGAGATACTACTTAAATTACATAGAAACTAGTTGACAGACATTGCTATATAGACTCTGATTAATTTGTATCCTGTTGGTCCTTCAATGCGCATTTGCGAACATTCCGTAACAAAATCATAATACTCTCTGCTAGGCATACAAGTTAGAGAAAATAATGCAACTTTTAATACATGTGTGTGAAATTGTATGTGTAGCAATAAAAAGAAAATAAAAGTGCTCTAGTCGACAATGGCCGACTAGTACATACCCTGTACACAGCCTGCAATTATCGAATATCATTAATAATTTTTGTGCTTATTGTTTAAGCATTGTAACGATTGCAATTAAATATGTGCATTTACCAAGCATCAAAACTACAGCTTTAATCATTTTCTCTCTATTTGAGGATGTTATGACAACACTTAAATAAATATTCTATCAATCTAAGAGATCTGCCTGCTTAAAAGTCGGTAGACTTCGGTAGAGTTTCTCGCTTTCAGTCTCTGAGATCAGCGCCTCGGGCAGACAAATAATGCGATTATTAAAAGCAATTTATTGAATCGGTGGTTACAGGGCATTACAAAAGAAAAACAAAAAGATTTACAAAGCTTATTAAGTAAGTGGAGAGGTGGTTAGCAGTAAAAGCGAAATCTATAATCATCGATTTTTACACATAGGATTTTGATAAATGCAATTCTGTGTAGATTGTGTTTCGTACTTACATCGTGCTGTTGGTGTTGAAATTTGTTGTACATGTCGATGTTGTAGATGAGATATATATGTATGCATATGTATGTGCAATATGTGTGTTGGATAACACGTACATACAATTGAAGCACATACACATGCATAATTGTTGAATGACAACATGTTTGTAATACAATTTAATTTGTTGATTGGTTGGTTTTATATTTCATTTGGTGGTAATTTTTGATTGGTATTTTTTTTTTTTTTTTTTTTAATTGATTAATTTTGTTCGGTGAATTTTGTTATTGAATACAAGTTGTGATTGTGATGAACGAGTTGATTGCATATTCATTGCATTTGGTATTGGCATTGGTGTTGGTTTTTGTAATTACATAGAACATGTGAATGTGTTTTTTTTTATATATATAAATATTTGTTTTTTTTTTTGTTTTCATTATTATTATTGATTTGGTGTTGGGCAGTGATAACGTGATGTTATTGTTTCCCGATGGCCAATTTTTTGGGGAATATTGAATCATTGAATCGAAGGCATTTGTAAGAAAATGTATGATGTTTGCATATATATACATATATGTAGACGCATATATGCATTTCCATTACATATATACATATATAAATGTGTATACATGTAAATATTTGCATTTGTTACATAAGTCATACATTAACATTTGTGAAGGGTGTGAATGGTTGGATTGCGTGAGTGTTTTATTTGATTATTATATTTTTTGCATTCATCGTTTTTTTTTCGGATTGGTTATTCCCGATTTTGAGACCACATTTCGTATTTGGTATTCGTTTTCGTACACAAATAAATATGAAAAAGGAAATCAAAAAGAAATATGATTATTAATTTCTGTATTTTGTGACACTTCTAAAATAAATATTTTTCTTCTTTTTTTTTTTTTTTGTTTGTTTGTGTTAAATCGTGTGCAAATCAAATTTCAATAATAAAGAAATCACTTTTTGTGTATATTCGTTTGAGAATTAAATATAGAATTAAAAGTGTCTTTTGTATTTATATGTACCTTAAAAACACACACTAAAAAATGAATTAAAAAACAACCTTATTAGATAAATTTATCGATCGTCAATATTACCTATGCGGAGTCTGTGTAACCCATAAAAACTGTTTTTCGACTTTCCACAAACTTTCCGTTTGTACGTTAGTAAGACTTGAGGTCAAAACGAACAAAAAACTCAATAAATATCCCTATAATTTAAACAAAATGTGTAATGACACTTGGCACCAGGGATATACATTTGTTAATGTGAGTGATAAGCAAAAGTCTATGTAGACATAAATATTTCTTAATCTGTTAGTTTAAGGGTTTCGATATAAATAATAAGTAATAAATGTCTTAAGCCAGACCTTGCTAATTATTTAGGTAATTGTCGAAATACATAGATATGTATTTATATATACTTTGTACGCATGGCAATAACGAAGATAAATGTTTCAGAAATATAAGAAAAGTTGTGAATTAAGATGCCCTGTGATACATACAAATATGTAATATCAAATCTCGATTTAAAAATTAAAAATATTAGCTGGCACATTTCAATTTCAATTTCAATGCAATTAACCCTAGAGAACCATAGATTGGTTATTTTGACATAATCCACATACTGCTTAAATATGCGTGTAAATACATATGCACGTATGTACACATAACTATGTACGTGTGTGTAAATATACATATGTGTACGTGTATATGTATGCATATTTGTGATTAGTATTAACGTGAATGTGTTATTTGACGGGTACGAGTATCTTGGCAAAACGAAACAAAAAGCTAGATACTTTGTTGTTGTTTTCTTTTTTTTTTTTGTTTTATTTATGACTTATATTGTTTGTTTGTCTTGCATAACGGCCTACATAAATCGAACACAACAATAATATGTATGCTCTGAGTTATTGTTATTGCAAGCAACAGATAATTACCCCGAATTCCATCCAGAGGGCATCCACAATGCTACCCAGCACAGTGATTAGATCGAAAATGTTCCACGGATCCTTGAAAAAGTTCTATAAAATAAATGGTTACGTGTTATTTAAATGATAATCGCTCAAATATATGCAATCTAATTTTAGTTAGTTATAGCAAAAAGAAATTTTATTCTTCTGCTTTTTTTTATTTATTTTCATGAACATGGATTATATCTTTTATACGCTGAAATTTACAATGTTACATTCTGATATCAAAAGGTTAAATGCTAATTATAAATAAATGGCCTTTCATTATTTTGCGCGTAGTTTACTACTGAAAATTATTCACTCTAAGAATGAGAAATAATAAATATTCCTTAAATAAACAGCTTTTACAAATACTTGTACATTTAAAAAGAAGCGCACATGAAAGACACATTTATCATGAATACCTACCGTACATCCAAATGCAATTAATTTAAGTATTGTCTCCATTAAGAAGAACAAGGTGAATACCAGGTTCATGTAGGTCAGTATATCACTGTGGGTGGGCGGTGCATCATGAAACTACAAAATGAGAACACGAAGACATTTGGGATCGAACGGAAGTTTATTTTAGATGATTCATGACATTTAACTAACACCAAAGTTTAAGGAACTGCGTATCAGTGTTTATAACTGGCAAGTTTAAGCCCAACCTTGAAATCTAAACAATTACATACAAAATACATATTGTATATGTATGGTATGTATAGTAAGAACTAAATAATGCTAATTAACAAATATAAAAACAAAAATTATTATGTATATTGATTATAGTATATGTAAAGTAAAAGAATTGCATCTTATGTTAATTTTCACGCTGAGTCCAAAAAGATATTAAAAATGCATATACATATTTTGTTTTGAGACAGCTGGATAAAGCTAGACATTTATTTGTTGTAAGACAATAAACAATATAAATAAAAATTTGATAAGCACTTTTATAAAGCTATTGAATACTAAGTAAAGCTCTGATTAAAAAAAAATACGTAGAAATACCCGAGAAATAGTCGATATTCTGAATTGCATAAGCATATTCCACAAAATAAATCTTCAATTGTTACGAACTTTTTAAATGTGACTTGCAGTTTAATTGTGTGCAATTAAAATATACATTTACATGTACAATACACGTATCAAATGAGTTAGAAAATTTGTCTCAATATTTCATTGTTATAACTTTGTCAAAACTGGTGCAATTTTCAAAATAAATACTATATTGGTCAATACCTCTTGATCTCAAAAACTCGATTTAGGTATTAGCTAAAAATGTCCACAGCCATAAATCTGTATCAAATCTAAAACGTTTATTTTGGCGCATAAATTTAAATTGTATTTAAATTAAATAGATTGTATAAAATTAGACCAGTAAGTTGTAAAGGAGAAATCTGAGTTATATGTGTGACACAATTAATTTTCAAATGTATTTTTTTACATTTTATTCAAGTATTTTTAAACTGCTTACGTTAAAGACAAAGACAGTGTTCGAATAGGAGTGCACTCATGCAAACTAGTTTCTCGAAAATGAAAAAGAAAAAAACAACAAAAAAAATAACAATAACAAATAGGGCACATGTGAGTTCGAGTTGGTAATGTGTGTTAATGTTGTAATATTAAAGTCCTTACATTTTCAACGCACTCGAGTAGCTTTGGCACTATACATAAAAATATGTATTTGTACTTGTATTTGTTGTAGATGTGACATTGTAAATTTCAGCACACTTAAATAATCGGACTGCGTAAAGCGAATAAGCCCGCAAATGATATGGGATGGTATATATGAAGGTGTATGTTCTTAGAGTCTGCCGATAGCTCGCTCTAACTGATATTGATTCAAAGGAACTTTATCCGATTACACTTATAGTACGTTATATTGTACAATCGTGAACTTACCTTGACACCGAATCCAATTATTTTGAGCACAGTTTCAACACTGAACATGCCTGTGAATCCCATGTTGATATATTTGAGTGACTTTTCATACATCTCACTTTGATTATGATACTGTTAAGATGTTTGTTTATGATTAGTTTAGTTCTCTCATAAAAACATCACAGAAATTATCCCTTAAACCAAAAGTACAATTCGCGAAAATGGGCCACAATTATGTACGAATTAAATAGGTGTGTATTTAAACAACGCATTTCGATTGCCTCAAACAAAATGTAATTACAAATTGCGTAATGTATTATGGTTATTCTATATTCATGGTCCATCTTAAATCATCGCCTAAAGCTACACAATTAATCCTCTTTCAGATGTACTCGCGATAAGTATGCACTCATGTTGCTCCTTATAACCAATCATGCGACATTGAGGATTCGAAATACATACCTACATACGTATGTCTTATGTGTTTGTGACAAAATGATTGTATACCGATCTTAATGACAAAATATAAAACAAATAAGAAACAAAAATATGCATGCCAGTTAGAGAAGAGCAAACATAAGTTTATATTGGCTTATATACAATACACAACATTGATTTGTACAATTCTGATGCTGATTATAATATTTGATTTATTGCTTATTGAAACCAAATTTAGAACATTAATTTGAAGTGTGTATAAGCCAAAGACAAAGGTAAAGTTAATTACAACACTGTTAAAGGACAGGTAAATACTGGTCTTTAATAGTGGTAAACTCATAAATAAAATAAATACAAAATGATATGTGGCGTATTTTTAAACTGTATGTATGTATGTAAGTATGTATGTATGTATGTATGTATGTATGTATGTAAGAATTGTACATTTAACAAAAGTCTAAACTGTGTGAATTTATTACGGTTGCTAAATACGAGGGCCGACTGATCGGTCTAACCAAGAAACTCAGTCTATTTTCACAACTAATTAGGAAACCTAAGTCTTTACCTGTCATAAATACGACATGTCGCTTATATGCTGATCTATGTATTATGTTAGTATATATTATCGATAAAATTAGATACATGGACCTATTTTATATACTTAGGTCTCCAGACCCTGTAGAGAACGGCGACTTCATACAGACAGACGAATATGATTTAATCGACTCGCTTGTCGATGTTGCTCAAGAATATATACATATATACTTATAAATTCATACTTTCTTTTGCTTTTTACATACTATTGCACAATTTAATCATATGATGATTCTATAAAATAGTTGAATACAGCTTGCTTGTTGTGAAAATAATACACCCAATAATATAGAGTTTCACACTGGGACTTTTAAGTTGGCCCTCGTATGTAGTGTCTAGAATCGTTGGCCCAAATTAAAATACGTTTCTTAATTTTCAGCCTAGTTGGTAAAGTGTTCAAGTGGAAACATAAACACAGAAACTCACCTTCATCATCAATAACAGCGTGTTAAACACAATCAGCATCATTATAAAGTATTCGAAGGGCGTAGAGACAACAATGCGCCACACTTTGTATTTGAAAGTGTTACGATTTTTGGGCATGTAACGTTCCAGTGGTCGAGCTCCGATCGTAAAATCAATACAAGATTTCTGAGGGAATAGAAAGTTATGGTACGAAATTTATTACATGGACATCGTTGGGGGTATTTGATCAATTGTATAGGAATATCTACAAGTGCAACACTTGGCTCTAGTTTATTCTTTCCATAAAATAATACACATAGTACACATACGCTAATACTGAAAAATGTTCAACTTTCTGTAAGTTAGTAGCTTAGCAAAGTTACAATAGTATTTTAAAGCGTTATATTTATATTAGTGAGCAGTTGGTTAAATTATAAGCGCTATTATATACAAATAAAAATGATATACAAATCAAATTTAGTAAGCTCTAGTCGAGGGCGCTCGAATAGCAGATACCCTATACCTATACGTTCAAGCAGCTCAGTATAAATATGAAAAGAATGTTTTGGATTTCTGCAAGCGGACAGCCAGACAAATATGAAATGATCAAATCGATTATTAAATACATTTATCATACTACACATTTACACATTTTGAAGGTACAGGGTATACAAATATAGAAACACACATATATCATATTGAAACAATAACATTTTTGATGAGTATTTATCATTACTCTAAACACACTAAAATCTGTTACAATATCCTGCCGCTATTGTGTCTTAAGTTTTATATATGTAGATTAGACATCCTAATTTAAATGAAAATCATGCCAACTAAAACAAGATCAACTAATTAGATAATATTGCATTTCTGTGCAATTGTTTTGATCGATACCAGGTGTTGGTGCAGGTGCCTCATTGTATTTTTGGAAATAATAATTGTTAATTTTTGGAATTTCCTTGAGCCAATTATTTTGAATAAAACCGAATAGAATTCAGTTAAGTTCTTCATAAATTAGATCGGCTTCTTACATTGCTGGATTCATGGTTCATGGTTCATACTTACAGTAGTTGTCAGCAACGAAATACATTGGTTTGGCAACAATGGTGACTTGACGATACCAATCGTTAAATATTCAAAACTGAATATTTAAGGACTATCGTGAATATTATGATAAATCTCTACTTTCCGGTAAATGTTCACTCTTTAGTATATCGAAGGCTAGCTAATAATTTGTATATAAAGGGTATTTCCGATCAAACCATTATCCAACGTACACCCTTAGGCCTATGGCATGATGAATTTGATGTATTTACATCTGGAGATCAATACTAATTGATACAGTATTCAACTATTTTCCGGGATACTATGAGCAATCCACATGGAAATCACAAAATGTGTTGTTCTAAACTATTCTAATAGACTATGACCATCAATTTAAATACTTTAAAGAACGTACATAAATGTATGTATGTAAAAAGTATGTAGTACATAGTATATTGTAACCAGAAACGATAGACAGGGTATTGGGTCAACGATGTTGCCCAAGATGACAGTGTGTAAGTAGTGAGTAGTAGTAGTAGTAGTAGTAGTAGTAGTAGTAAGTACTAAGTACTAAGTACCTACTTGGCATACATTCTAGAAGTTTGTGTTGTAGGAAACGTAGAAGCGATTACAGGAGGATAATGTGCAGGTAAAATGTACCTGAGCTAAAGGCGTCTGCGCAAGCGCATTTGCCGTTCTGTATTTTAATTGATTGCAAGTACTTATTGTTTGGCTAGCTTACTTAAGTAGTAGTTGTAGTAGTAGATATTTAATAGAGGAATACATGTATGGGTATCGTTGGCTTGTGTGTACATTTACGTGCAGATAGAAAATGGTTTACTTTACGACTATCGATTTTACGAGTAAGTAAGTAGTACATTACACACGAAACACACACATATAAGCATTATTTGAGTTTTTTTTGTTTTTGTTTTTTTGTTTTGTTTGAATTTTTAAAATTTTTTTGGATTTACTGGCTCACCTGATTTTTGTCAATTTCACCATCTTGCAATTCAGCTTCGCCTTGCTCTTGAAACGTTATGATTATCAAGGCCACGAATATGTTGACGAAGAAGAATGGAAATACAATAAAATATACTATATAAAAGATGGACATTTCGATCCGGAAATTTTGGATTGGACCCCTATCTTCATAAGTGGCAGCCATTGAGTGTTGCAAGACCCTATTTGATGATTATCATTAGCAACATTTAAGTGAAGAGAGCACAAAACAAAATAAAAATAAAAGTACAATTTCATTATTCACCATTCATATTGGCACGGAGCATTTGTTCTTTACACATGTGTATTAACTTAAGCGCTACAAGCAAATATCTTACTGTGGCCATCCTTCGCCGGTTTGTACAGCGAATAGCGTCAACATCGCGGCGGCAACATTATCGTAGTGGAAGCTGCGTGGCTTCCACACTCGCATCTCCTGTTTGGGCAGCAACTCGTCTTCCTCATATTTAAAATACGAACCCCTTTTTGGGTCAAGTTGTGTCGATGGTTTGATTTGATATGTTCATGTTTTGTTTATGATGTTTTTCGGGTTTAGTTATTGTTTTTTTTTTTTTTTATTTGCGGTTATACGTTGTGAAATTATTAGTAATTGCGTTTCATACATATATATTAGAAATTGAAAAAAGCTGGTACAACAAAAGTCACTACAGAAAAAATCAAATCAACATTTTTCAAAGTACAATATGGTATGAATAAAATTGAACGAAAAATCAATTAAAATCAAAATAACATTAATATTAATTTAGCTATATTTTTTGTTGTCACTTTTGTTTTTTTTTTTTTTTCATGTTGAGTGAAGAAGTTTTGAAATATGAAAATACTAGAATGTATGTTAATATGTAAGTAGTACATAAAGAGATCTAATAGATAAAAATAACGACCTATATTGATATGAGAACATCGTAAGGTCAGTTACAAGTAAATATTGCATAATTAAATGAAAATAGTGTAATATGTATGTTAACATGTATTCCTTTGGTTTATGTATTTGGATAAGTGTGTGTGATTCGATTATTTGTGTGTCTGCATTTGTATTTGTACTAGTATTTAAATTTGTCTAGCTGTAACCCAGAACAACACAAATCAACACTGTACAATCATTTATCAGAGGGCGTAAAAAAAAAGAAATGTACGAAAACCAACAAATTACATAGAGTAGCTCTGCACTTAAGTCTCAGCAGATCCATAAATATGTAAATATGTAAACAACTATTACAAAAACCATTTAAAACGAAAAAAAAAAAAAAAAAAAAAAAAAAAATCATCTGCCTAACATGTAGTAACATTCTCCAGTGCATTTAAGCATTTAAACGTAAGAAGTTCCAATGTGAATGAGAATGTGAATGAGTGCGCGAGCAACGAGTGTAACTGAGCGTGTTCCTTGTTGGTTGGTTGGTTGGTTGGTTGGTTGCCAGTACTATACTGGTACCACAAGTGCACAACTAACGTAGCAATTGTTCGGCTGGTTGTTCGTTTGGCGATGTGTAACAAGGCAGCTGCGCTTATGAAACTTATTAAGCAGTAACTCGAGCTGACTGCAAGCATAATTCAACTGGGTACTGGTACTGAATGGAGTATTGTCAAGATAATATGCGTATGTGTTCAATGAAAATTAAGCATAGCCGTTCAAAGTCGTACGTATGTTGTATGTAGAGAAAGAGATATTTTCTTTTCTTATTTTTTCTTTTTCTTTTTTGTTTTTTTTTTTTTGTATATATAAGCACAATGTACGTGTACATATGTATGTTAGATATTTTTTTTTTTTTTTTGGTTTTTGTTTCTTTAAAATTTTTGGTTATGTCAATTGGGTTTTGGGCGGCCACCGTTATTGCATACGAAGGCCAAACAGTTTAAACAAAAAGATACTCATATTGTGGATGGGTATCTGATTTTGTTTTCACTTCTCAAGTCGGTGAGTGTAAAATGCGCGTCAATTTCTTTTGTGTGCCCTTTTGATTGAAGCAATCGTTACACTCACGTCCAGTGCAATGACTCATCGAGTTGGATTCATAGTTGTTGCCAATTATTTATTAAAATATTACTACAATGCATAACGAACTGCTAATAAAGTACTACTAAGTATATGTATGTAAAAAGTAAAAAAGAGCTCATCATCTTCATATACACAACATATATGTATGTATGTACATTTTGCTATTCTACGAAGTGGCTGGCGATGACGTATTATCAGAAGTGTAAACAACATTCGAACTATTAGAACTGATTTGGATCTGCATGGTACAACTGCGTTAATATTATCGCATGTGTACAATTTGAATATGATAAAGAATTAGTCGAGATACAATGTACAAAAACTTGTTGTAAGTGGCTTGATAAGATGCAAAGGAAACAAATTATTGAATCTATAAGTATTTCCAAATAGGTCTATATCAGGAAATGAGAATACTAATTAATTACGTATTTGATGTGAGAATACGAAATCTACTTTGTCTCGTAACAAATACCTGGTTCTATCGAGTGTACGCGTATACAGACTTATTAAGAAATCTTCTGGTAGTAATATGGACTCTTTGGTATTGCAAAATACCCAATTGTAAAGAAATGAAACGGTTATTTACATGCTACACGCGAACGACAGTAGATTCTTGGATTAAATTGATTGAGTTAGCTTGTGTTTAATTGATTTTGGACACTGATTTGGTGTAGAAGGCAACACATACAAATATACATTGAGTGACTTAACGGATTAACTATATGAAATAGAAGAAAACTAGAAAGGTTTTAGGTGGCAATTGTAGTTTCGCATTTCAGTTCTATTCTATGATTTTAATACACAGACACTGATATTGTTTTTGCGCTGTTTTTTTTTTTTACTAAGTTTTTGGTTCGTTTTTTTTTTTATTTATTGATTTAAAATAATTTGTTTGTTTATGGTTGGTCTTTTTCCATTTTTTTTCCTTTTTTAAATATTTTTTTTTTTTTTAATAATTTTCGTATGTGTTTGTGGCCCGTTTACTCGCGTGATTGTTTAACACAAATCAGGCAAGAAAAACTGGGCGAGAAACTTTAAAATGCTACTCTTACATTCTGTTAAATCAGTGCACCTTTTTTGTTTTCTTATCAAAAAAAAAAACAGTAAAACAAATACAGCATACAAACAAAAAAAAAAACAGAAATCAAAAAAAAAACATTAGGCTAATTTATAAATAATATACAATAATCAATACAAAAGATATAGGTAACAAACTCATGAAAAAAGTATGTTATACTTTTTGCGCAATGCCATCATTTTACCAGGGTATCATCATGTACATGTACATATATGCCAGCATAGGAACCATTATTCATTTTTATTATATAAATAAATGTACTATTAAAGCATATATGCACATATAAGATTGTGTCTAATTATAGCTCTCAAGAGTGTAGGACACCTTAACTAATTCAAAAGTCATGAGGTTGGGTCTATGATCAAAAACTTCTCAAGATTGCCTTTATAAGGACGGGTACCCGATGCGCAGATGAATAACAAAAACCCGATTATCACATATACACATATATATATCCATATATGTTGAACCAAATCAGGCAAGAAGAGTATTAGCTCCAGAGAGAGAGAGAGAGAGAGAGAGAGAGAGAGCCTTGGCTGCAATTTGACAGATATTTGATAATTGTTGTGAATATATATTTATGAGTACCGATAGCAACCGTCGATAATGTTGTATAATTGTGTATAAAAGCGGGTAAACAAAATTAGACATACATATACAATTAGGTACTAACTAAGTACGTAGTACTTTGTACTAGCAACGCCCCAAAAAAGGGGGCATACACACATAGACACAGACATGGAAATGCAAAACTGGCTTATTTATTTAGTTAGATGACACTTAACTGATGTTTGTATGTATGTATGTATTTACATATATAAAATGTATATGTCCTGTCGCTTACAGTTTCCTAAGATGCTGATCGACAGACGTATCATATACATGTATGTATGTATGTATGCATGTATGTATGTACCTTGTGCGAAGTGACTTTAAGGCTACGCATGTACACATATGTAGGTAAGTATCTATTTATGTATGTTTGTATATAAAAGCTTTTGTAGACACATTTAAACAACTAAGGGATTGGGGCACACAGAGAGAGAGAGAGAGAGGCATCGATTGATAAGATATACATATCTACGTACATACATACATACATATGTATATGTTTATTCAATCAATCAAAATCGTATATATCAAAATATATATAAAATGTACACATATTTATATATACACGTAAAGAGAGAGAGAGAGAGAAGGGATACATAAAGACAAAATATGGAAACAGAGAGACAGACAGAGAGAGAGAGAGAGACAGAGAGAGAGAGATACAGAGATACAGAGAGAGATACAGAGATACAGAGAGACACATAGATAGGTCGAGAGTGATTGATAGAATGGGAGAGCTATAGATGTCATACCACATAGAATGTATGTGTATCGCGACTGGGGATGTAAATTATCATTGGGGAAATAGTAGTACTACAAAATGATAAGCATAAGTAATATGAACAAATTAACGCAAATTTAGCAAACAAAATTATGTCAACTTATATGATACGAAACATATAACTTAAATAAGAAGAGAGCAATAATTTCAATCTTGAATAAAAATTTTACTTACTGGCACTCTTCGGAAGTATGTTTACTTTCGTCCGTACAATAAAAAAATTTTCCATTGAACAATTGGACACCAATAACAGAAAATATAAATTGAAACAATATGTACACGATTAGAATGTTAACAACATTTTTTAATGAGTTCACGACGCAATCGAAGACGGCTTTCAATTTGGGTACGCGTTTAATGGTCTTCAATGGACGCAGTACACGCAAAACACGAAGCGATTTGATAGTTGACAAATTTTGTCCAGCGCTGCTACCGCTCATATCGAAACCGAAACTAACAGCAGCGCATATAACGACCACAGCATCCATAATATTCCAGAATTCTCTTAAATAGCTGCCAGGATGTAGTATGACACCCAAGTCTACAATTTTCAGCAACATTTCTATCGTGAATACGCCGGTAAATGCATAATCAAAATAATTTAGGATCTTGTTTCGCCTCGAGTTCTCACGAACGGGATCTTCGGCTGCTAATGCTATTGATGACATTGAGATGACGACCATTATGAAGAAATCAAAATATGGTAAATTAACGACCCAATGGGCACCACGTCGTATGCTGTATATAGGTCATTTAAATAGTTTTTACCAATATGTGGTTGGATTTGTTGTTTTTTTTTGTTATCAATTAGTATGCCATTGAATTCAGATATATATATTTATACATATATATATATTAATATATATATATATAGTTTTTGTGGTATTTTTTTTTTTGCAGTTACAATTGGAAGATTCGATTCATATTTCATTTATTACATTTTTTTTATTCAATTTTATTCGTAAGTTAATTTGATTTTTGTGGATTTTCGATTGCGATTTGCGTTTTGTTTAGTCAACCGTTTTTATTTAGTTGCAGTTGTTTTGTTTTCCAATCATTTGTTAATTTTTAGACATTATTTTTGGTTGTTATAATTTTGAGATGATTGCAGAATGTTTTTTTTTTATTAACGGTGTTCGTCGTAGTCATTGTTATTGTTGTTGTTGTTGTTGTTGTTGTAGTAGTTGTTGTTGTTGTTGTTGTTGTTGTTGAAGGTGATGATGAATTTAATAAGATGAGTTGCAGTTTCTCGTGGTGAAGGTGATTGGTATAGTAATCAAATTTAGCATTCGTTGATATTTGTAGTGCAAATATTTACAAAATTTATGATTCATTGATTTGATTAAGTATTTATGAATTAATTAATTAATTTGTTCATTTGTAGTGTGCAACATAAAATCGAAACGAATCCAAAAGGAAAAAGTAAAAGAAAAAAGTGAAAATAGTTAGTAAATTTGTTATAATATTCAATTCACGTTATCAGATATAAAGATAATTATTAGTGACACTATAATATTTTAATTACATATAATAATATATGTATAAATACTGAAAATGTTCTAAAAGGAACCCAGAACACAGAAATACCTGTACTTAAATTAACGAGTCTATGCAAGTTTTAAGCAACTGAAATCATAAACCACATTCATTAATATCCCCATAGAAATTATCATCCAAGCCCCATCCCATAGACAGTGGGCCGTTAAGTTGCTGCAAAGAAACTTGATTACATACATACAATGAACTTGCACTTTTCATTTGTTCCATCGATTTCTGATAGCCTAATGCAAAAGTTTAGCATTTTTCTTCTTTTGTTTTTTTTTTTTTTTTTTGTAATTTATGAACTTTGTAGAATAATCTCACTGACACAAATCCCTCTTAACGCTGAATATATATAGGATTGTACATGCATACATATATAATATATATATATATATATATATGTATACACATATAAATATACATACACAGTTATGTGTGTATGTATTTATAAAGATATGTGAGAATAATATTTACGGATTTGTTGGTGAAAGTATAAACATCGATGAGTATGGCAACATTGGCTTGGGGCCTTCCGTCACTTCTTCTTCATCCTTTTTCTCTTCCTCCTTCTTTTTGCCCTTTCCTTTACTGGTAACGACGGCGCCTTCACCGTTCTCCAAATGGACACCATCCCCTTGGAGTGCCTCCATCTCCTTCTCTAGCTCTTGGAGTTGTTTCTCTTTATCTTCTTCGACTTGTTCCTCTTCGGCTGCTGTAAGTTCTTGTGCATTCGCCAAGTTATCGACGGCGATAGCCAAGAACACATTTAAAAGCGTATAATTACCGAAGAGTACCAAAACGATAAAGTATCTGTGGGGAAAACCAGTTCATCAGTTCAATCCAAGCACAATACGAGCTAAAAATGTTACTATTTGATTAAAATATCGATAGTATTACGAGATATTTAAAATACACTTTTAAATGCTAAGCGAACCAATTGTCAAGAAGTTGGAGTCGAGCTTAGTTCAGACGGACGGTTTGTTTTGATTGTTAGATAAACTACTAATGCTGATCTGATTGCTAAATGTACCGCAAAGAGTCGGAATGCAAGGAGCAACCTTTCTATTTTAGTTACGGAGTCTTACAGAGTTGCATTACTATTCCAAGCAACTTCATCCAAATACATACAATGTAAATGACGACATAAACTCTTATTTTCAATTCCTGGTTAATACTTGGAATGCTGAGAGCAAGTTAAGCGATTGCTGAAAAAATAAATATAGGAATACAAAAATGGTTAAGCGGGTAAATGTGAATTGAATTAGCCAAGCTAAATGTTTTCACTTACGTAATTATGGGACGGGTGAGTATGCGGTACTTTTTTCGATAGTTCAATAGCGCCTGAGCAAATTAACAGATGGACTTGGCTTGCAGAATTTCAGAATCGAATCAAACTAAATTCTTCAAGCTTTAAAGTCCCATCGCACATGAAACCAAAACATAAACGTTTCGGATCTTGGTGGTCGATTGCACACATTAATGGTTCGACGTTCAATGACGTTCTTTTTTTTTTTTTGAATCTACGTATATAATTGTTGAATAGCATATCTGCTAGTTGAGCACATTTCATATATATTCTCCGTTACATATTTAAATACTGAATAGCAGTTTCAAAACTAAAGCTTAGGATTAATCACAAATTACATGGAACTAGCATTTGTTCCTTGCCTTAGCAGGGTTTTTTTTTTTGAGATTTGCAGTGTTTCATGGGGTATTCGGTTAATAGATTCACCAGAATATGTAAAAAAAAAAAATTTTGTTTTTTGGCTAAGCGGTTTAGCATACTCAAAAAAATGTGAAAGTAATGAAATGATATAAAATAAAACTTACATAGAGTAAATCATTCCTTTCTTTGCACCACCTTGCGATATAATACCCTGATACATAACTTCATTCCAATCTTCGCCGGTTAGGATTTGAAACACGGTCAAAAGTGCTATGGGAAATGTGTTGAAATTGGTTTCGGGCGTGCCTCCGGGCAAATTGAATTGCCCACCAAACAGCTGCATGCCGAGCAGTGCAAATATCAGTATGAACAAGAAGAGCAGGAACAGCAACGAGATAATCGATCTCATTGAATTTAGCAGGGAAATTACTAGATTGCGCAACGATGACCAATATTTGGTCACTTTGAAGATGCGCAACAGCCGCAGTGCACGCAACACAGACAGACCGAATGAGCCACCTTTGACCTCAGACCAGATCACCTCGAATATCGAACCACTAATGACGACACAATCAAAACGGTTAAACGACGACTCGAAGTAGATGCGCGGCCCCAGCGCATACATCTTGATGAACATTTCCGACATGAACAGGCCCAGGAAGATGAATTCCGCATAATCTGCAAGAAAATCAAGCGGTAATCAATCACCTAAACCTATTATATATGTACATGTGTACGGGAGCATTACAACATTTATGACAATGATAAGCAGCAATATTCTTCGAGCCATTTAAATCGGGATGATCGTAGAAATTACTTACACAGGAATTCGGTGAGAAATGTTGGCTGGCCATAGTGCTCGACAGCAACGCAAACGGTATTCAGAAAGACCAGTACTATGACGAACCAATAGAACCACTGCGTCTTTACTGTGTGTCGTATCCAGAAGCGAAATCTCTTTTCCGCCCGCCAGAATCCTGTACAGCTGCCTTGGGGTTTTGAACGGGTTTTCAGATAGCCTGTTAAATGTACACAATAGAAGAATCCATAATCGGTATTAAGTTCATTCAATTTGCTGCAAAGATCTGTCGATTTATTTCCATCGATATAGTTTGTGTATATAGCATATATGAGTACTCACACATTGTGATTTACATATAGATAGAGTCAGTGTGGTAGTTGTTAGTTCGATTTACAAAATTGATGTATATATATATATATATAATATATATATGACAAGTGGCAAATAGTACATGTAAAGACATCTACACGAGTACGAATACGAAGTACGAGTACATACATACATACATACATATATGTATATGAAATGTTGGATTTTAATACTAAGCCTATGAGACAATGTATAACATACGATTGGATTAATGTACCATCAATGTTTTATTAATGCTTCAAACCGATTGTCTAAACTACTAAATAGCATTTCTCGCAAAATTACATTTTATCAAATATAGGTTGTCGGATATTCTAGATTTGGTGGCTCTAGCTTCAATGTTCTTAAGCAAAAAAAAAAAAAAATAATAATACTGAAAGATTGGAAAAACTTAAACAAATATTGCTCATTGATCATTGCGACCCAAGCAAAATTTGCATATAGATTATCGAACTACGATTGATTTGAATGAGAATGCATTAAAAAGTGCACTTATTTTTAGCATCAATTAAAATGAATATGTCACTCGATTGACTACACAAAAGACATTTGAATATATATTCACTAAACACTAGGTGCATACATACATCATACTGATTAATCGGCTTTAGTGGCTGACACTGAGCTATATTTATTTCAAATGTGAGTATACACAAATATCTGGCGTGTATATATTTTGATGCGTATATACGTTTGTTTCCAAAGGATGGAAGAGGAGTATATACATATATTGAATTAGTGCAATGTCCGTCTGACCGTCTGTCCGTCTGTTCAGATGTAATACAATTATGTTGCTACTGTGAATAATTATTCGAATTATAATTTACTTACATTTGTAATATTTTCAATGTAAGTTATAGAATTTCATTTTGTCGATATTGAAAAATTTAAATGAAAACGGAAAATGTAATTAATTGGATTTAAGAACACATATTTAAAGCACTTTTATATATAATTTTATATTAAAACCATTATAGATTATTATTAATTAATTCAAAGCAACCAATCGATTCATGATTTCCATGAACTCACAGTCAGCTTTTCAGAGTACAATTTAACAATAAGTACTTGTCAAAGTTAACAATAACTATGCAAACATAATTCGATTTAACTCAATTCAAAATTACTTAAGTATTTGTGTATTACAATTCGTAAATAAAATCAATATGTATATATATCGACCGTTAATTGTTAATCTTATTTTAACTATTACAGAGATGTTTTCTGTACTCAACTTACGTACAATTTAAAGTCCCGGCTTATTGAAAGGACACTTTTCAAATGGCATAAGTCGAAATGAATGGCTTGCAAAGTCTTAAAACCTTCCCATATGTATGAAGTTAGACTAATTTCAATTCTTTGGAACTTCAAAAGTTTCCAAAGTAACATCAAATGTACGTACTAATTATTCCCATTACCTTACCTAATAATTTGGAATTGGGTTGATTGAGAAAGAACTCTGTATACCTCGTCATCTAGGTAATAACATACATAATCGTATTCTCGTAATTCCTAACATCACTCCCATATCTATTAAATAAGCCATATTCTTAGTAGTAGTTTGCAGTCATATCACAAGCCTTACTTATGCCAATTTCGAAACGTCCGGATCTCATAGCAATACCAAAATATTATCCTTACCGTCATCCCCATAGTCCTCCTCAGCTTCTTCCTCTTCAGTATCGGTTGATTTCGACTTTCCCAGACTTTTCAGCTTTTTCCGCTTGGCTGCATTTCGCCTTCGAGCTAAAATAGAAGAGACGTTCATCAATCAAGCGCTTTGGATGAGCTTAGATAAGAACAGACCTTCCATTATATGCATTTTCTCCTCTTCCGTTGTACGTTCTTCGGCTAAAATAACTTCCTCTGAAATAAGTGCATAATGTGAGACCGATTATCATATGTTCGATAACGATAACGATAACGTTAACGGTAACGGTAACGGTAACGACATACGATTGTATTGTAGTTCATAACAAGCAAGTGTATATAGGATTAACAAATCCATTTATTAGCTTAATATGAATGTATGTTAGTTAATTAGCTACATATACATATGCATTTGCATTTTAATGATACGAATAATAACAAATGCAAAATACATATGCCTATGTATGTGTGTGTGTGTGTGTGTGTATTTCAATGCATATATGAAGTATACTGTGTGTGTATCGGTGTCTGTGTGTCATATATCAGATCATAAAATTGTGTTCTATGGGGACTACTAGCAAAGTGCCACAAAGTGCTGCAAACAGCATTATATTATCAAATTACTGCTTTGCATTGCAATGCGAAAAACTTCAAAGACATGAACGCTGTCTATTTTAACTATTTTGGTTTCCATTGTGTGTGTAAATATGTCAATATGTACTATATACTATTCATAATTTATTTAGTATGTATGTTTTTGTATGTATGTACATATATCGTAAAAGGGGTATACATATAAGAATTTCTTTTATCATTGAACTTGTAGATATATTTTATTTATTTTTTTTTGTATTTTTTTTTTTTTTGTTGCTTTTTTTGTATCTCAGCGATAGATTTGTATAAAACATTTCATACACAAGTATTTGAAATAAGTTGATGTACTATATAATGAAGGATTTCATTTTTGGGCTATTCATGATTGCATGTATATATGTATTTATGTGTGTGTGTGTGTGTGTGTGTGTGCGCCTGTGTATATGAATGAATTTGTGTGTTATATGGGGATTGTGATTACATGTACATTAAGTATTTTAAATAGTATTACAAAAATGAAACAGGGGTAAATACTATACCAGCTTTACAAATCCATTCAACATAGCCGTTTAACTCTCTTTCTAGTTGTTGCTGCCTTCTAAGTTTAAGAAATTCTTGTCTATTTTCTACTTTTTCTCGTTCTTTTGCGAATTCACTACAAAAAATATTCAAATAGAACATGATCAAACAAAAAAACAACAAGGAACAATCAAATGCACAAATATGTATGTATTGCATTGCATAATACAATTTTCAATTTGTTACTTTTGAATATATTCGTATATATGTGTATGTGTATGTATAAGTGGCTTACAAAAATTATAACATGAATTTCATTATGTATATGTATGTATATATTTTATATAAATAATATATGACTGATGGTAAGAAACGAAACCAACTAACTCAAAACGACCATCAATTGAAATAAAATGATTAAGTATTGCTGAGTAGCATACTGTGCACAGCTCGTTGAACAGTTGAGAATTGATGCCAAGTAAAAGAAATGCGTCAATTGGACTTGCAATTTGTATTTAGTTGAGTTTTGTGAAATGGGGGTCAAATGCCATCGAGATGGATCCAGCTAAAATACATACATATATGTATCGGTATATGTAAATGTATATGTAATGTACAAATGTACATATGTATATACATAGATTGTGTCATAGTAATTATTATTATTATTATTATGTATTGTATTTGTCCAATGGAATACGCTTGCAGAGCATTCTGCAGGGTATATTCACTTAGCCCTGCATGATGTACAAAAATAGGGTTTGATATTGCTGATATAGACTATTCGATTGAAATGAGTTTACTATGATTGAGGGGATATAATTGATTTGATATCACTGTTGGTGCAATATTTGTGTCTCTGAATCTGAATCTGAATCTAACCAAAACACATCAGCGTATCGAGCACATGTAATTAATATTAATATGGTTAGACAAGCACACGATAACAGCAACTCCAAAAGGCATATTTATTTGTTGAATAATTATGTATATTGTAGAAGTGGGAATTAAACTAGATATTTGTTGTTGGGGTTTAACATGGTAGTAGTAGTAGTAGTAGTAGTAGTAGTAGTTGTTGTTGTAGTAGTAGTATATTGTGGCTAATTTGTTGTTGTTGTTGTTGTTGTGTAACATACTGCATTTTAAAAGATATATGTATGTAACATATGTAGCATATACGAACGGGGTTGCTACGAGTATACGTATTGTATGTAGTTAGTATGCATTAGTATATTATTATTGGGTTTCTTGGGTTGTTGGGCCAAACAGCAATCCGTTAATAAATAGTATTGTAATTGTTGGTTGTATTGCATCATTCGAATTAGCACTAACTGATTAATTGCTGTATTTTATTGTAGGTATTTGTAATATTTGTAGGTAAGACCAAACTGTTTTGTTGCCGGGGAATTGCTTGCGTTCTATTTAAAAATATATAAATATTGTAGTTTTTATCTAGATAGTAGTATTAGTTTCAACATGTTCGCATATAAATAGTTAAGTAGTATGCAATTTAACTGATTATTTCTATTACATACAATACTTATGTATGTAAATATATAATTTTGTAATTGCCTAGATTTTGTTGTTGTTGTTTTGTTTTTTTTTTTTTTTTTTACTTGATTTGATTTTAGTTGGTTTATTTATGTTCGTTGTGGAGGTAGTAACAGCTCTAAGTAAGTAAGTAAATAGAAGGAAGAACAGGTTGGGTGGAATCTCTGTTCGAGATACGAGTATTCTAGGGATTTGACGGTTTTGGCCAATTTGTGAGATTATACGACTATTATGGCATTTTGCTAGGTTGCATTTCATGTTCATATGTTCATATTTAAAAACCTGCTTGTGTTATCCAATCAAGATACGAGACCATTGCTGTTTGAAACATGGCACGAAAGCGGCATTTCTGAAATTCCATGCGACGCTCGACGCGGTTTCGCTCGTTTGAAAACTCTCTGAATTTTCAAGAATATCATATTTTAATAAAACATAAGCCAAAACAAATTATGCGTTAACGTAAAAGCTTAACTGGCTGATCAGTATCAATAAAATGTGTATCAAATAATAAATGTATATATATATATTAAATTCAACTATGGGACGTTAATAATTTGATTAAAATGTATACATCATCAAATTATAGATGTTGTTGTTTTTTTTTAATAATATTTATTTAAATTGGGATAAATACATATCTATAAAAATATATACATATGTATATGTATAAATTTCAGTGCACTAGTTTAGTCCGCATTTCAAGATATTAAAATATTTTATTATGTTTTTGAAATGTCTATACATCAAATGTGAAAGTCATCATCATCATTCCTTCACTCTGCCATTATGTACATCTTTGTCAAACTCTTGGGCGATCGCTTGGCATATATACATTTTTGAAGATCAAAAGGCTAAGTTATCTATATGAGCAGTTCATGAGTCTGATGTCGATGAATCTGGTCTCCATAAACTGGAACCAACCGCAGTTTCTCTTCAGTCTGCCACTAATGCCTTCGTATACTTCAATTCCCGATTAAGTTCTCAATATGTATGAAAAAATAGGTAACTGGCCTTGCTTGAATTTTAATATAATACACAATTATTTTAACGTTTTTGAAATATACATTTTGAGTATTGTTGTTGAATCTGAGTCTGAGTTCGATCTGAAGGTATATATATTTAAACTCGAATGTACATTTTTGAAGTTGACACCATTCCGAAACTAAATGAAGGTCCGTAAATATTTGAGTATGTACACCTAATTTGGATAGAATGGATTTCAACAAATACCCACTCAGAGATCAATTATTTCCTATGTTATTTGAATAAAAAAAAACAAACAAATTATTTAAGATTTCAACACCGACAGAGTCTCTGAAAATTCTCTTTTTCGTAGATACATATGTATATGTTATGGTGAAATCTTATACCCAATTCAAATCAATAATATCAAATTGAAATTAAATAATGGTAACCAGTGTGATTTCAAAAATAAAACAATAAAGTTTTCAGGTCAACTTACCCACTCAAGACACCAAGAACTAAGTTGAGCATAAAAAATGAGCCTATAACTATAAGAGGCACGAAATATATCCAATTAAATGTTGAACCTAATGCGTCGTTGGTCTGCAAATAGATGATGAAGATGTTTATATAATTGTTTCTCAGATTCTTTTCCGTCTATATACGAGTCTTACATACCCAATATAGTATTGACGTCCAGCCTTCCATTGTGATACACTGGAATACCGTCAGCATGGCAAACCCAATATTATCAAAGCTTGTTATGCCTGAATTTGGTCCATCCCATTTCTCCAGACACATGCTCGTCGTACTATTACATACAAAGGAGCCGCCCGCCTTCTCTGTGCTGTTGTCAGTGTTGCAGGGTGTCTCCGATTCACCTTCCTTCACTAGTTTGTCTAGTGGGTGGGGAGGGGCAAGGGGAAACAAATATGTTAGTTGCATAATTGATTACGAATCTATTGATATATATATATACTTGGATCTTCTAAGCTATAACAAGTCTTATGCAGTGCGCCCGAATAAAACTCGAGTCCAATGATTGCAAATATTACGATTGCAAACAACACCAAGAGACCGATTTGCAGTAAAGGTGCCATCGCCTTGATTATAGATTTTAAAACTACTTGTAAACCTATAGACGATATTTCCAAGGTAAATGTTGTTGCACAGCGTTAATCCGATCGCAAGTTTTGGTTCGGCGGTGTTGTAAAATACAAGTTGGGTTAGTAACATTGAAATGAATCGAAATCGGTTGTGTCTACGCAGTTACACCACTTTTTATAAATATATGTACATATGTATGTATCAACATATATATATATATATTTGGATATATATATGTGTGTAGGTATGCCGATATTAAACGCATAACATATATATGTACATACATATGTATGTATATTGATTCACATGTACATATCTTGAGCATGCAATCGTCTATGTTTTTATATATACATATATATATATATAAATAGCTATTACCATACGCTAAGTCGTATTGTAAGTACGTACATACACACACATATGTATGTAAATATGTATGTATGTATGTATGTATGTATGTATGCACATTGATAGAAAGTAAAAGAGGAAACGTAAGGACTACTCACTAGGAATTCCAGACACTAATTTTAAGGGCCGTAGCACACGAATGGCTCTAAGTGTTCTTAGGTCTACCTCGGGCCCCATTTGTGGGTACTGTGTCATGAATCTGTTTGCAGACGTTAAGCGATCGAAACGAGCATTTCATTAGCAATATTCAATGAATTTAAGGGTCAACAAATCATCAAATCATCAAATCATCAAATCATCAAATCATTAAATAATCAAATCGTTCAAATTCAACACTCAACAATTATTGTGCTACTAAAACTAATGAACATAAGATGTGTACATAGAATCGGGGTAATATGTGAACCAAATCAATCAAATCAAAATGAACACTTGGTAATTAACCTATAGTGCTATATATGTATTATTTATATACAATTTAAACATAAATTAGATATACAATTTCACGTTTAGCGCGCAATTAGTTCATTTATTTAGCACACACACAGTGGGACACCCTTTTAATGTACCTTTGGCTACGTAACTCTATAATCACTACCAATATGTTTATCTATCACATAAGTAAGTATAAATTTTATTTAATATTAATACATAATTAATATTAATGTATGTGAATTTTTATGGCCACTTTCTCAATAAACACAGTTGACCAACTATTTTAAAAGACTTTTAATACTCAACTGGAACTTGACAAGTGGACTGTAGTATCTAAGAACTAGCTTTAATTAGCATTGAAAAAAGAAAACAAACTAAATATATGAACTTAAAGCTATTTCAGATTATGCCGGTTACTATTTATAAAATTGTGATCGTTAACCTACGTTTCATAAATGTGTAAGTGTATTTGTTTGTTTGTTTGAATGTGAATTGAGTTGCCATTTACTCTCAGAGTAAGGCTTCTGTGGCTTCTGTATGTAATCAATAACGCTGTATATATATATAAATAAATCAAATCGAACACTAATTGTTTGTAGGTATAATCTAAATGTTTTCATTGACTATGGTCAATCATTGTATCAATAATATTTCAACTATAAAAATGTATACTACTTTAATTGTAATCTTTTATGTTTTTAGTACAGAGTTTGCTATACATTTTTTCACCACCGAATCAGCCAGGACTATGAATAAAATAAGTTTAATTTATTATTTTAAATATGTTTAATAATGTTTACGTATATCATATCTGCAACTAGATTAATTATTAATTCGTTAGAATCCTGTAATAATTTATATTATTATTACCAAACTTTACAATTGGTTCTAATCTAGTATAGAAATAGCTTCTTGACTATTAACCTAGTCATTTCGATTTTAGGTATATTAACATCATATTATATATATTATAATAGATAGATTGAATTATTTTGAGTCGTATATCATCATTAATCTCGTCATGTGCAAAACAGGTGTTTGAATCTAATGAGTTTCAAGATTAGCTAAAGTATTATTATCCAATATTAAATAAGTCGTATAGCTTATAGGTCGCAACTATTTTCGTAATTCAGACTTGATTTCAACAGATTTTTCTAGATGGTACTCTAAAAAGTTCTATACTAAAATATAACTTAAGCCTGGATACTAATACGGCTATAACTCACCAAAAAAAAAACATATAGATGTATACTTGTGAGCAGATCGAATGAAGATTGGAAGCTCCTAAGTTCTAATATGCAAAGTATTTGGCTAATGTTTGAATAGAAATGTTATCATTATAAATTGAGCTAGCTCCTAGATGCTCTATTGCTCTATATATAATATGTAATGTACACAATTACTGAAATAAATGACATTGTAGTTATGTATCTGGCCTATAGTCGCTTTAATTAAGTATACGATGTCTCCAATTACGTGGTCTTACTTGGAATTCGGGACACAAGCTTCAGTGGCCGTAATACACGAAAGGATCTCAACATGCGTAGGTCAACATCTATATTGGCCTCAGCAAATATCGTCATGGCACTGTTTGGCATTGGAGTTGCCATATAAAAGTCGGCATATACATAGGCAAATTGTTATTGATTTCAATTACAACTCAGTTACCGTATCTTAAATCTATTGTAATAATAATTTAAATACATTAAACTATAGGTTCAACATGCATCATTAAATCATCGCCCATTAATATTGTTCAACGTGTCTCAGACTCTAAACCATCTTTGAATATCCTTCATTAAGTTATCCGAGATTTTAATATTTCTTCACGAATGTGACTCGCACTTTTGGGATACCAAAGTTATGTGAATATTGTCGATTATTAGGTATTCTCAATAATTGCGAAAAAATGCAACAAAAAAAAAAATCCGTTTAATTTTGAAATCAAATTTACATCATCAAATCAAAGTTTTTTTTGTATATGAGATCGCGTGATTATAACTAGATTGGGTATGTATTACCCATTACCCTTACTGAAGGTGTTGTCCAAGTGGTGTATTCGATGTATCGCAGGATAAATATTTGTTAAAATAAATGATGAGCAACTGAAGTGTTAATTTTCAAACCATAATTTGCTGCTTATGTGCGGACAGGACATCAATGCCAAAATATTGTTGTACAAACGAAAATATTGAATTTGCAACTAAATTACATATTTACCCCGTCACTACAACGAAAAAATCCATGATGTTCCAAATATTCCTGAGATAGGAGTGTTTATGCAGAACAAGCCCTAGGGCAAGAATCTTGAGCGATGCTTCTACACAGAAAATGCATAAAAAATAGGCCTCCGTTTTTTCCTGTTGTGTAAAATAATTGGAAAAAAAAATTGGGGGGATTAAGAAATGTACATGTTATAAACACAATTTAAATTTGGTAACTTTCTCACTTGCACATTAATATTATATCGTACACGTATATACGATACATACGTATCATAATATCAACTAAGCATTTCGATTTTCATCTTTCTTACCAATTTTTGTGCCAATACTGTCTTGTCGCCCTCTGGCAAGTGCTCTTCTAGTGCCAACACAACACAGTTGGCTATGATTGTCAATAACACAGCGTACTCAAAGGGCGGCCATTCAATTATGAATCGTGTGTACTTTCTAATTGGGTTATCCTCGGTGAGGATAAACAACGAAGTCGGACCACCACCTGGTGGGTTTTCTTCTTTTTTCGGGCCACCCATTCTATCAGCTAAGCGATGGGCTCCCTTTCGACCCAAGTGCCCCCCGCCTAAGGAGTCCTGTTGATGCCCTGCTAGCACTGCTTCCTGAGCTGCTTCCAACCTATTCCGTGGACGAAAGAAATCATTCAAAATGTATACAATCGAAAAGGGGTCAGCACATTTGCTCAATGTTCGCACTTAAATCAAACGAATCTCGTGTGAAATCATCAAAAACAGCGAACATTGTACAAACTGGACGCTGTAAGTATGAATGCATATATGCATATGCATTACATATGGGATATACATATGTAATGCTTAAGTTAAAAAATATTAGCTCGTTTACTAAAAACATACCGTCACTATATCCAATTTCTGATACTTTTGTAACGACCGCTCGGCCATAATTATATTACACAAGGTGAACCACAATACGCATTTGTCGGGAGTGACACGCCGTCCGCATGGCACAAATGTGGCAACTGGACATTTAATTTGGGAGGCCAGAGGCTGCACTGTACTATTTGGCAATGGCCGGGGTATTATCCGAATCGATATGATTCCGTCCGAGGACTATTAAAATAACACTTGTGATCTATCTCTCTCTCTCTCTCTCTCTCTCTCTTTCTTTCTCTCTCTCTCTCTCTCTGTCTCTCTCTCGGTCTCACACAATTTTTCTAGTTCAGTTTGTTGGGTTCTTCTCTCTTGCTTGTTGTAATTAAATTTAATTTATTGCTTGTTTCAATTAACTGATTGGAGGATTTGTTTCTTTGATGTGTTTAATGCACAAAATGCTGTTTGTTTCTTTTTGTTTAATTATTATTATTATTATTTATTTAATTTAATTTTATTTTGTTTTATTTTTTATTTTCTTTTTGTTGGTTTTCTTGTTTGTTTTCAAACACAAAATACATTCAGATTCTTGATTCGATGAGATTAAACCGTTTGAATTTACATAGTATGTGTGCCAAATGTTGCGTTCACGATTAACGTTAATGATTAATTAGAAATGAATTCAGCCATGTCGTTTTATCACTTGTTATTATATATATTACACGTTCACATTGTTTATTAGACGCTGAGCTTATGTATGGGTTGCCGGTTTTATCACATTTATTTTTATATATATGTACATACATGTGTGCTATGTGAAACAAACGTTTGAGACTTATTAAAACAAAAATAATTGAAAAAAAAAACAAACAAACGATTTATTTATTCATTTAATTCATTCGACTTAAGCAGAATATCGCGATGCTACTTTACTTTGGAGACTGGTCTTGTTTTTGTTCGGGTCAATTCAGTTCATGACCTATCGAAATACACACACACACACACACTCACACACACACCAAGCATGCATGCATACACATCAGGCATTTGTGTGCTCTGTGTCTGTATGTGTGTGTACGAATGTGCTCACATATACGAGAACACACACACACACATATACAGACAAACATACATACATTTGGCCTATAATTGCATCTCACAAAGAGACAAATTCAAATAAGAAACATTTCTGGGGGTTATCCATCTGATATTTGTATGCTAGTAGTTTCAAATATCGGTATAACATTTTATTACTGGAGCACGCTATGAATGAAAAGTTAGGGGATGAAATGGTCTGCACTGGCACACACACACACACACACACACACAGCCCTCACACACACAGCACTCACACGCATAGCACTCACACACATAGCACTCACACGCATAGCACTCACACACATACGTACGTACGTACGTACGTAGAAACGGTCTGAAGTGTGGTCATGAAAAATTCCACCACTCTGTGGTGAATTGTGCAGCGCTAAACCAAAATTTTGCGACTTCGCTGAGCATGAGACAGCCGGACTACAAATCTCTACAGATGAAGATTATAGCGCAGCAACCATGCATGTCTCTACAGAGGCCTACAATGCATAAAAACGTATTTTTGTTTGTGCAACAAATTGATATGTTCGCTGGTAGGATATTTGGACATGTACCAGTTCTTAGTTTCTCAGTTTTAACTACCGTTTACAATCACGAACAACAATAGCTAAATTGTTTTTTGTTTGTTTTCTATTTGGGTAAAGTCTGCGAATTGTTCTATTTAGTAGATACTGGCATAGTTATATATATATATATACATACATACACATACACATATGTACATTCTGAGCGTGTGCTGGTGTGTGGTGGCTTCTGCATGCATATAGAAGTATGTGTGAAAGTAGGTGAACTTGTGCTTGTGCTTGTCAGTATGTTTCGTTCATGTAAATATTGTTGTTTACATTGGAAAAATGTTATATGTCTGCATACAAATACAAATGTACATCTCTGTCTCTGTCTATGTATCTTATTACATTAATATTTATGAGCACAATTGATTATTTGACTTAAAAGTCATAAATTTTGCGTGTCCTGAAGCACACACACGCACACACACATGCATGCATATGTCAAATGTTAACTACAATTACAAATTTGTTATCTGAGGTGCTGAATAATGCAAATGACGAGTAATCTTGTTGTGACGTCATCGAGCTGTATGCCCTTTGGTGTTTTCCCCCGATTGTCTCGGGAATCGGGATGGCATGGATTCCAAATAAATGAATATGACAAAGCAGAAGAAGAAGAAGAAGCCCGAGACAAGCCAACTTATAGCCGCTAATTTAAGTACCAACAACTGTTAATATGTATATGTATGTATATATATATATATATATATATATAGATCTTGATATGTAGTTGCATGCATGTAAAGACGTAACTTTGCCCATTTTCTCGTGCGTTCGTCCTACTTTCATTGCGAATCTTTACAAAAACATTTTACATTTCGGCTAAACAAAAACCCTTTGGACGAATTTTTGCGTGTATTCATCTATGTATGTGTGAGTGTATGTGTGTGTGTGTGTGTATGTGTATGTGCATGTGTATTTCTCTAAGTAATGCTTGCAATTGAACAAATGTGACTTTTTTAAAGCTTTCTCCTACTACTCATTGTAACTGAATTAAGTTTGTTTCCAATGCGCACACACACACACACACACACATGAATTGTATACATGTGCTATGAACTGACGTTCGTAAACATAAATGTTAGTTTAACATTCATATGTATGCATGTGTGTGTGTGTGTGTATGCACACATACGTAAGAACAAATCCCATTAGCACACACAAAACACAAAACAGTTTTCACTCCCGAGGGCAATCCAAAAAAAGACAACTCTTGTAGGTCTTGTAAACATATTGACACACATACATACATACATACATACATGCATACATATATAGACGTCAGATATATGTAAGGATTTTTTGTATGCAGAGGCATTTAAATAAATAATCCAACAATTATTTTATAAACAATTTCAAAGGAACTTAGTATTTTACGGGCTTCACTAGTGGTACACGTATGTATCTGTATGTATGTACGTATGTATGTACGCATGTATGTACGTATGTATGTATGGGGCTGTTGATGATGATGATGATGCTGCTGCTGCTGCTGCTGCTCGGTACAATTCATTCACCTTCCGACGCATACACGTCACAGCACGAAAGCCGCTGTAACCAAAACCTAAACCGAAACCAAAAATTCACTTGCCGTTGTCAGAGCTGACGCTGGCGCTGACGCTGACGCTGGCGCTGACGCTAGCTCTGACGCCGTCATCACCCACGCAACCTTCCACCCGCTAACCCGCTGACCCAATCCCAAACCCAACTCGAACACACACACACACATGCACATATATATAGACACACATACAGACACGCGCGCGCACACTGTCGCAGCCGCATTTGTAAGTAGATGTACATATGTTTGTTTGTACATACGTCAGTATATATGTACATTTATATGTACGGCAAGTGCGTTTGTATGTAAGTATTTATACGTACATGTACATTTCTATGTATATGTATATGTATATTTACATGTATATGTACATGCACATGTATATGTATATGTATATGTACACTTCTATGTATATGTACATGTATATGTATATGGATTGGGGCTAGTTAACTGCAAATGTAAGCGACAACTCAACAATTACAACAACCACACCAAGCTACACCAGCGAAGCGCGACAAAACATGTGGAAGACTAACATTAACCCGTTCGTCCGCTCGTCCGTTCGTCCGTTCGTCAGGAGAGCAGGTGCTGCTGCGAATGTTTTTTTTTCTTTTTATTTTTCTTTATTTTCTGGGCAACTAATGAGCGGCGAACAAATATTATTTGGTGCATGGTTTTCTTTTAATTCACATTTCGTAGCGTTCATTTCACTTCAAATCCATTCCTTGGGTTCTCATGCTCACACACACGCACACACACACACACTCACACACACAAACACTCACAAAAATTTCGCAATAATTCGGTAGGAAGGTTTGTAAATTTATTTTCACCACTCGACCCGATTATTTTTTTTTTTTTTTGGGGTACGTATATATGCCACCACACACAAAACTTCGAAATGTCGAGTTTTTCAGGCTCCCCAATTAGGGCGAATAGGGCCAAAATATTATCACTTGGCGAATTAAGCAGGTAAAAGCAACATTTTTTTCACATTCTCATCGTTCATCGCATGTTAGAAATTATGTGTAGATATTTAAAACACACACAAAAAGAAAAAAACACACACAGTAAAAACCGCACGGTTGGACCAGTTACCGACTTTGTCTCACCAGTTGGACGAAAAACTTAACAAACGCAAGTCGATGAAAGACTTTGTATTACACTTTACACATTACACACTACAACTACACGTACAAGCACAATCACAAGCACAAGCAGCCAACCAACCAGCTAACCAGACAGTCCTGCGCTTTAGAGTGAAAACAAAAAAGCTCAAGCTCAAGTTGAACTTGCAGGCACTGCCGCCGCGAATAAACTGCACATGTGGCCGAGTCAGTGTCTTTGCAGAGACGGTAGGCACAAGAGAGAGATGTATATATACAGTATATATCTCTTGCCGAAAATAGAGATGTTCGATGGTGCCTATTCTATTGCACACAGAGGGCATTCAATGGGGAGCTTTAAGCTTTCTCTCTCGGCCACAACGCTTTCATCCCCCAAAAACAGCAGAGCACACTTTTGGGCTCTCAGCACCCTAACAAAACAAATTGACCCCCTCAAAAAAAAAAAAAAACCTATATTGACAGCTGGCAAGCAATTATGCTTTCATTCGCCATATTGATTTATTTACCAGCTTTTGTCCAGGGATGCTAATGTTAGGGCGCCATCTGGTAGCAAAACCAGGAAGCTTACGCATACGCATACAGCTCATATTTATGGCGGGATTTGCAAAATGTGTAGGATTACACATCACATAAATATGTATAATTACATATTATTATCAACTCGAGGATTATTCAACCAATTTGAAAACAAATGCTCATTTCAATACTTTCTATTTTTTTTCACTAATGCTGTTTTCGAATTAAAAGAAAACATATGTTTGTTTCGATTTTAAAAAGAAACATTAATGTATAAAAAAAGAAAAACTCGAAAATAAAAGTATTTTCGAAAATAGTTTGTAGTTGAAGAACAAAGATATTTTCAAATAAAATCAAGGCAATCAAATTATTGGATTTACCTCATATTCTTTGCTATGTACATATGTTTGCGTATTTGGTATATTAATACTTACATAATATCACCCAACTTCAGACGGATTTGAGCTGGCGCAGCATTTTCCATTTGGGCACTAACTGTGGCGCTGGCAACGGCGGCAGCGGTTCGTCTGCGCTTATTGAACGCCTGAGGATTGGGTGGTGCACCACATCTGGTGACGCCATCTCCAATGATGGCAATGTTGTCATCCAAACTAAAGATATTCGCATTTGTTAAGCGTGCCATCGGTGATGAGCCTCTTCTGCGTCGAGCTCCCACTCCACCCAGCATCCTGACGATACAAAACACCGAAAAATAAAATCAAAACAAATCACAACCAAAAAAAAAAACAAATTGAAAACTTTTAGAGTTACAGTTGCAGATCAATTTCAGGATATATTGATACCCGAAAGGTATTCGAATATTTAACGAGTATTTATTTAAAGGTATTCAATATTTATATATGTATATATCCATACGTGAAAAAACCATGCACAGCAACGAGAGATTAACGATCTGGAGTCAATTTGCAAAGCATAACCAACAAAAACAAAAATAAAAAAAAGAAACTTAAAATCCGAGCCGCGACTGGGATGCACTCGCTGACACCGTTTGGCCAGAACTGATATCTATGTATGTGGCTCAGGCATTGGAAACTAATTCAGCTGTTGTTTCTTTCACCTGGAACCAGATGATAGACAGCGAGACAGACAGACAGACATATACCCCACACATAGCAGCCAACCTACAACACAAGTACGCTCAAGCTGATTATGATGATGACAACGATAGCAGCAGGCGATGACGTGCTCGATAGCAGCCAGCATATGCGCATTGAGTACACGTCGCAGTTAGTTTCACCGTTCCCTATACTACATATATACATACATACATACATACATAGTATTAGCTATTAGCAGGCGTCACAATATCTCCATGCACACACACACACACACAACTTGTATAGGTCAGTATTAAGCGGCTTTGCTCGTGCCAAGTTTAGTATCTTTAAATTTCTAACACGTATCAATTAATTTATTATTCAATAAAGAGCATTGCTGAAATGAGTTTCTCGCTGATCTGATTCCCAAGTTCCCAAGTGAGAACGTTCCACTTGGGCCTACCAAATTAATATCAGCTGATAGTTGGTGGGTCTGCTTAGTCAAGATATGTTATCTTAGCAATCCTTGATGGAGGTTTCTAGTAATCCGGCTTAGTTAATTTTTCCTCTTTAAACGCTGCAACTCTCAACTTTTGTGTATAATCTTTGGAGTTTCTGCAACTGTGTAAAAAACAACAGGTCTCAAACCATTTTGGTAGAAGGATCAATATTTATGTATGTGTAAATAATAACAATATTTTATTACGTTTGTATGTATTACAAATATGTATATATAGAAATATCTTATGTATTAAAGTACATTATAATGAAATTTTTAATTTTTTTTGTTTCGCTTCTTTTTTTTCACCTATTTACAATTGATTATACTGAATTATAGTCAGTGTGGGGATTTTGAGATGAGTCTAATCCAAGTCGACCTCATCGCCATAGTCCCACATATCAGTGTTTGCGTCATCTTCAAGACCAAATAAACGCTCCAGATCCTGTTCAGGATCGGCATGGACAGTGTCAGCGTCAATAAGATCCCGTTCCTCCGGACAGGCACTGCAGCGACTCTCGTTGATGCCATAATTGAGACAATGGGCACCCACACACTCGCAGCAGCCATCGTGGAACCAGCGATAGCTATTGGCACCCATGCTCTCGCACTGCTGCCTGCACTTGTTGGATCGGATGCAGGAGTTCACATAGATCACCGTACAGTTGACACTCTCGCTCGCCGTATGCCTGGCCAACAGGAGCTGGTTGGATTCACCTTCCAGTCGCTGCTTGAAGCCGGGACGCATTGGTATCCGAATGGTGGACCAATTGTCGTCGTCGTCCTCAGCCGTGAGGGTGTCAAACAATTCGGGCACACCCTCAACATCACCAATCTCCGAGCGAGGTGTAAGCGAAGTTAGCGCATCCTTGTGCTTGGGACACATGTCCAAGCAGCCGCAGCACTCAGTGTACAATTCGCCCAGACAATTCAGGCAATCCTTGCAGCAGTGGCAATCGTTCAACTTACACTGGCAGCTCTGGGTGAGCAGACACTTGGACACTACCGAACCGCAGACCATCTCATTGCAGCCATCATCGTTGGTGGCCACCAGTCCCAGGCTCAATAATAATGATAATAAAACCAACTGCAGCATTCTCGGTCAAGTCTCGACAAACAATGAGGTAATACACAATATTGCGCCTCCCCTTTATATCCATTTATATATGAGAGCAGGCGAGCAACACCTGACCAACAACAGGTAAAAACGAAAGCCACAACAAAACCCACAGGATTATCTACTTTAGGTAGCGTACGAGTCCGCCACAGGCAGGCTCGGTCTGTCATAAAAGCAATTTAAAAGATGTTAAGCCAAAGTTAATTTGTAGGTAAAAACCCGCAAAATACAAACTGCAATAAAATTAACTTATGTATGAGCTACGTACACTGAGAAAAGCAAATGGCCGATCAACAAATTTAACACAAATTTACGTAAATTATTCCAAATACCAGAAAATGCAAAGTCAAGACGAACATCTAATTATAAAAAAGTATTTTCTAATTTGAAGAAAATAAAGAAAACATTAAAACACAACATTAAATGATATATTTTTAAAATTAAAGCTGAATTCGACTTTGTCTAATGAGGAAAATATATTCCAATTAATGGGAATTTACATTAAGTTTAAAAATATTTTTGGTTAATAAAGTAATTTCTTATATTTCGAAATTTACCTTAATTTTACCATTATAGATGCGATTATAATTTTGTCAATGAAGGAGACATCCCCAACCCCATAAAGTATATATATATTCTCGATCAGCATCACTAGCTGAGTCGATCCATCTGTTCGTCCTTCCATATGACTAAATCTCAGTTTGAAAGCTATCTTGATGAATCTTAACATGTATATATATCGCATCGGACGACTATTTATATAGTTGTCATTGGAACCATTTTTTCTCATCCTAAGAAATGTATTTTTCATCAAAAAATCATCATCAGTAGAGAGTTTTAAGTTATAGGATCGAGGATTGGCCTAATTTCACTACACAAATGCTAAATATTCAGTTCATTTAAATAGAATTAGTTTAAAAGATACAAAAACATAATATTATTTCGAACTCCGGACTAAAATTTCGATGTCAGCCAATTAAGTACGGTCTACAAGGGCATGCAATCCCAGGAGTGCCTTAGATAGCCGTAGTTTGAACATAGGTTCGATTGGAGTAGCATAGTTATCACAAGAGCTGGTATTTATTTGACAGATCTCACTAACTAGATAATAAATGCCATAATCCAATCAATAAACTTTGCCACATCTGCATAAATGATATATTGACTAGCAGCAGAGACGCCACTTGGTGATCCCTCAGCCGCCGCTGCGGGTAAGGCGGCCGAAACTGTACCGCGTAGCATCCAACGATTGTTCTTACGTATAATCAGGCCCGCACCGGATATGCCCGTATAGATGCTAGTCCGGCGCAAACTGGCCGTCCTCGCATCGACCACAATTCCCGCGCAGAATGTACGATTCGAGGAGAGGCTGCGAAAGTGTGGATTCGCCGCGAAGCACACCTCGTTGGAAACAATCGGTGCTTTGACCACAATCGGTATGCTGGATTCAGTAGCAGCTGAAGCACCAGCCCACGAGAAGCCCCTTGATGGTGATTTATGCGTTGCATTCGCTCTATCGAAACTCCAGCCAATGACAATGCCATGCTCGCCCACGACATACTCCGACTTGCTGGAGCCCGACCACAAGCAAACGGGCAGTATGAATGAGTTGAAGCTGGCCAAGATTTGAGAAACGTTTCAATATTCAACTGAGATACGCGAGATACATGTCTGTATGTATATACATACATCGTATGTATGTAGTGCTTACCGGACTTCATCTTTGAGCATGATGACAGCAATGTCCGCATCGTAGTTGCTCAACTGTTGGTTGTAGTCGGAGTGTATGTAGATGCCATCGACTGGGGCCGCCAACGAGCCCTCCTCATTCCAGTTCTTCAGATTGTGCCTGCCCAAGAAGACGAGCACCTCGTTTGCCGTGTAGCGTTGATTGAACATTTGGAAGCAGTGTGCCGAACTGATGACGACACGGGCAGAGACCAAAGTGCCGCCACACTGAAAATCCAACGATGTCTGATTGTTGACGTAAATCGCTGCCAGCCAGGGCCAGGCACCCCTTGTTATCGATGGCAGGATATTGGCCGTCGTTGCATTCTGTCCATCCACCATAATTATTGAGTCGGCCGTGTCCTCGTCTACTAATTCATCGCCATCGTCTACCTCGCTCTCCACATCGAGCTCATCGCCATCGTTGTCGTATTCACCGAGCGAAACAAAAGTAGGCGGCGGATGGTGATCTTGATCGGCATTGAGACGAATCCCATCATGGGACGTAGTACTTGCTGGGGCGGGGCTGGTGGATATGATTATTGTACGTTGCCTTCGTTGAGGCAATCGAAAGTCAAAACTTTTATCGATCTTACCACAGATTTCACCGGGCGAATAGAACGGTTTTCTGCAATGGTATCAAAACTTACTTACAAAAATCATATAAACAAAATTAAAAAAAAAAAACGATGCCCATAAGAATTTTAATATAGTTTTTCAAAAGAGCGTTTAACACCGATCGGATGAAAAACGAAAAAGAAATTAGACCTTTGATGCTGGATAGGAAACTACTAAAAATGCTCGATCTTAGCACAAGCAATTTGTCATATATATATATATATATATAGTATTGTAGTGAGTACCGACCACATTCCAGATGCATACTTCTTGAACTGGATGTGCGGCAGAGGCTTCGAGCCTGGCAACTCCTTACCAACTGCCATTCCGAAACTGCCACCGTCTGGATGAGGCAACAGACCCGATGTTTTCTTATCTGGTATAAAAGTCAATTTTCGTGTATGCTCCAACTGAATTTGTGTCATGAAAATGCTGTGATCTACAAAGATACACACATACTTTATTCCTCCTCTCACATTTGACTGGCCAGTTCTACATACCGCCGGATCCAAAACAAATCACATTATTGTTAGCCGAAATGAGCACCAATTTGGGGGGAAAGTGATTTTTTGGAAATCGAATTTTGTAGAGCACTGGTGCATTGTTCGTAAATTGTCCACGTGTCAGCAACTCTATTTCGCCAAGATAATTCTGAAAGGTAAATCATACACATATATATCGATGTATGTATGTATGTATGTATGTATGAATATATGTATGTGTGTATGTATGTATGTATGTATAATAACCCACCGTCGTTGGTTTGCCTCGCATGGAGAGCGTAACGCGTATTTGTAGTGCTTGTACAGCTGGATTTCGTACGGCAATTAGACCAAACCATTCACTGCCATCGAATCTGTATTGAAAGATCTTTGGACACGGACTGACTGGCATGCCTTGGGCAATGGCCTTGGTCAATTGCTCAAAGCATATAAGTAAAATAGTTGTGAAATGCACTTTCATCATCACTTTTTGCATGTAATTATCAATCTCTTTTGTTTTTTGTTTTCGCCTAAACATATCTACATGGGTCTGCCTGTGCGTGTGTGTGAGTGAGTGTGTGTGTGTGTGAGTGTGTGTGTCTGTGTGTGTGTGTGTGTGTCTGTGTACATTGTCTGTCGATGTAATCGCGATTTGTTCTTTGTTTATGTTTTATCATCGATCATCGCAGTGGTTTAATGCTATCAAGCTTTCTTTGATATTGACGATACAATAAAAAAAAGAGAAAGAAAAACAAAACAAAATTGCAAAACTGTAAAAAAGTAAAAAATAGATAAACTATATGTGTATTAAAAATAATTTGCATAAAAGTAAATGGACGGGATGTTAGTGATACCAGACTGTCAAACACAGACTATCGGTTGGCACTGCAATATAAGTAAAAACATACATACATATATAGATATGTATATCCTAAGAACCATTTAACACTCCGATTTTTTTTTTAAATTTTTTACAGAAGCTTAAAAAAAAGAGTCATTGCTTATTCTAAGGCAAAATTGTGATTTTACTTTTCTTATTATTATTATTTTCTGCAAACTGAAAAGTTGTGACTTTTAGCTAGATAATTATTATATACATTTTTAATATTTACGTATATAGTGCAATTTGATAGGTCACTACGAATAGATAACGGTAGCAGCTGCAGTTGCAGTCGCAGTAACAGTTACAGTTGAAGAATGCATCCCGATTGAGGCAGATGATCAGCTGGTTAGCCAAAAACAACTGTTATCAGTTGACGCAGATAAATGGTTTAAAATGTATTCATTTAATTAATGTAAGACATTAAAAAAGCCAAAGTTAAATTCGCATCAAGTCCACAATTTATCATACGATATTTTACAGACTTTATTATTGTTATTAACTTGGGAATTTCGTTATAAAAGTTGAGTACAGATATGTAAATATATACAAACAGTTTGGTTAGGTGCTTCCGAGGAACTATTGGGAAACTATTCAGCTGGTGCTGATTCGGTTGGCGCTTCTGGGGCAGTTGCCTGTTCAGGAGCAGGAGCAGTCTCCGTGTTGGGTGGCTCCTGCGCCGTCGTTGTGCCTTGGACAGGTGGTACGGTTCCATCTGTTGGTGCAACAGCTGGATCTGTGGATGCTGCTGGAGCTTCAGCGTGCAGCGTTTCACCTGGTTGGGGCGGCTCCACTTCGGTACTTTCTGCAACTGTGACTGCGCTTTCCGGGGCACCTGTGAGAGCTGTGGCAGACACAATGCTTGGAAGCTGCTCTTCGACCACTTCTGGTTCCACTACAATTGTTTTCTTCTGAAGAGAGGTTGGGTCAGTAATACAATTTACTTGAAATTAAAAACAAACCGATTACTTTACCTTCGTTAACCTTTTCTGTACATCGGGCGGGACAGCTTCATCGGTCTTATAATCTTCTGGGAAGAATTTGAGTGCTTCCAAGCGTCCGGAGTTGACATTGCTACTGCAGTAGGTCGGTTCAAATTGCACCAGAGTTAGCATCGTATTAGATTGAACCTTGTTAACTTTGAGCACGATTCGATCGGTTCTAAATTCAAGAGAAGTTTGTTAGTTCACTTTTTTTTGTGTTCTGTTTTCCAATGAACGTTGAACGTACCTTGAAGGCGCCATGTCGTCATATTTATAAATCGAGTTTGTTATGAGTTTGGCCTCGCCCGCAATGTCGCTGGTGAAGATTCCATATTGAGGTATATCTTCTCTAGTCGCCTCCACAACTTCCATCACATCATCGCGTTTGGATGCCTCGAATGCCATTATGATATGTGGTGGCTCCGGTACTGGATCTGGTGGTAAAAATCCAACTGTTTGGCTACGGAAGAATACATAGACCATGGTCGCATGGGTGCGTCGATTGTTGGCAACCCATATTGGTGGAATCTTGACACGTTTTGTGCGAGTTATGGGCTTTGGTGGCGCTGCTTCTTCCTCTTCCTCAACCTCCTCTTCGCTGACGTGATCATCATCGTCGAGACCCAGATTTAGATCGAATGTCATGTCAGGGACTGCTGACTGTGCTACGGCATGTACTTCCTCCTCTTCCTCAATCGCTTCTTCCTCCCCATCATCGTCTGGTCCGTCATGATCCTTGGTGCCACGACTCTCGTCACGCGTCACAGACTTTGCCCTTTCGACCTTTAATTTAACCTCTTCTTCGGAGCTCACTTCCTCCACCCATACCTCACCCTCTGCAAAAGCAATATATGAATACAAATAAGAGGTCGGTTAGTCTATTCAAAAATGTCAAATGCCTACCTTGAACCTCAACCTCGAATTTAACCTTTAGCGGCGATATAATTGGTGGCAGTGGATGTGGTGCACTGAATTCCTCATCGGGTGGAGCAACTCGCTCCTTGGTCAGCTCATGGGCGTAAGTGGCCAGCACATGCGGTATGGGACCAGAGGATGGATCTATTTTCCAGAAGCACACGAGCAACTCTTTGCCATCGAGTACTTCGATAATATCGGCAGATAGTGGATTCTTGCAGGCATAGTTAACAACTTCGAAGTCAGCTGATGACACTTCGAGATATCTGCGATCTTTGCATTGCATTTTAAGATGATCGGCGGGCTCGGAGAGCTTCTTGAACATGTCACGCGAGACTTGTGGGCCAAATATCGTAACACCAACATCCGGCAAATTTTCCATTATCAAATCCGTACAATGATTCAGATAATCAATTCTTTTCTTATATTTCTTTTCGGTCTCAATGCGCTCGGCCTTTTCGATTGTTTCGTTTTTAATCCGCAGCGCCTCCTTCTCAACCGGTTGTAGATCTGCAATATTGTACATTGTTCGCGGTGCACTTTGGGCCATCAATTCCAGCTCTTTGATTATTAGGTTTGCCAATTTTGGAGCATCTGACCCATAGAAAATGTTAACAGCTTGACCCCTCTAAAGTGAAAGTTTGTGTGAAACAGAGAGAGACAGAGAGAGAGTGAGTTGGAAAGAGAGAAAGAAAGAGAAAACTTACAATAGCAAATAACCATGTGGGTTCACTTTTTTTATTAAAGCGCTTGAGAGCCGTTACGGTATCTGATTGACACTGAAGGGATAAATGTAGAAATTATTAAGTATCGGTTGGATTATAGAAAGTCTGCATACAATTGCCAAATGTAGATTATCGCCACCCACTTCAAGTTTGATGCGACGCAATGTGCCAACCATTCCCAGACATGGGCCACACCATTCCGAGTACACTTCCAAGACTGCAAATGCAGTGATGACAACAGATGAGATGAGTGACAGATGAAGAAATCGTTTTAGATATGTTACCAAGCAGTCCTGGACGAGCCAAGAATTTTTCCAAATCCGCGTCCGTCTTGATTTCAGCTTGCAATTGTTGAGCTACTCCTCTCCTTGCCATTGTGTCGGCTTAATTTATATGCAAATGCAATTTAAAATCCAAAAAATGTGTTCAAATTTTGCTTAATACATGCTCAAAAATTATTTGTAAACTGATGTTTTTTGTTTTTCGTTTTCGTTGTTTTTTTTTTTTGTTTAAGTTTGTCAGGGAAGTATTGATCAAACAATGTTTGCGTGTAGGTGTGCCTAGGTGCATGCATTCATGAATAGATACACTTAGTTTATCTGAATCATAATAAATTAGTTAACCACATATTTATTTAAGTAAAACATAATTTGCATTTTTAACTTAAATATTAACGAGTACTTACACATTGCATAACAAAATTGTACATTCTGATTATACATACATATTTTATATAATACATAATAATTTAAAAAAAATATATAATATATATATATAAGGAAACATGGAACGGAAATCGTGCTCTAATTTGTTTATGATTTTTGTTTTGTTTTGTTTGTTGTTTGTTTTTGTTTTTTAAGTTGCCGCTTGACTTATTTTCCATGTTGTATATATTTATATTTATAAATTTAAAAGGAGTTGTTCAAGAAATCAGTACGTGTAAGATGCCTATTTAAGTATACATCGTATGTATGTATGTATGTACAATGAACATACAAACATTAATGTTTAACATGAACATTAGGCGATTAATTGTCGTCGGAAACTACGAATATAATTCACGTCCTCTCTAAAATTACTATATACAATTTATAAACACAAGTTAACATTAATGATACTATGATGCATTTATGAATGCACATATTCAAGTACTACATACGCATCTATGTATGTACGTATGTATGTATGCATGTATGTATGGTTATTTTCATCGCACTGAGATGCCATTGATTGTGATCACATTACTGGGCACTGGCTCCGGCTCGTAGACTTCATCATTCGTCCGCATCTCGTAGGGTGCATCGTAAAATTGTTCATTTGGTATTTGGTCGTAAATATTTTCTGCAAATTGTACATATTTATTAGTCTGTCTCCTTCCCCCTCTCTCTCTCTCTCTTTCTCTCTCTCTCTCGTGCACACACACTCACCCGAGCGATTATTCATTCGTTCACCGTCCGCAGAGTTAATGTTGTTGTTGTTATTATTGTTGTTATTGGTGCTGCTATTGTTATTAGCTCCTCGGCGCGCTGCTCCACCTTGGAATGTGTTGAATGTTGCAGACGGATTGTTGTCCATATGCATTCGATTGTTAGCCTCCAGCGTTGAATACGACATTACGGCGGCATTGCGTTCATCCTTCGTTTCGGCTGCCTGAATGTTCTCAGTGTTTTTCACCGGTCTCGCCTTGTTGCGATACAAGAATATGAGCCCAAAGATGACCAGCAGCGCGACAATAACAGTGGCGCCAATGGCAACGCCAGTACCCAATTCGGAACTCTCTTGCCCCTCAACGGTGGCCAGTTCACATTTCGGCTGCTTGCCACTCCAAGCACCTTCCTCGGTGCATTTACGCAGATACTGGCCAATCCGATTGTAATTTGGTATGCAGTGATATTCCGCCGAGCCACCGTACAGTGTGGAATCATTGACCACGATGACACGACCATTGTCAATCGCTAGTGGCCGGCCGCAGTCAACAGCTGTTTTTTTTTAAACATGATTAATATGAATTAGTAGAGTTGCAAGAGGTGAGTGTTGTGTGTACTACTTACGTCGACATGTTGGACTCTTGCCCGCCCATTTGCCATTCTTTTGGCAGACGCGTGTGTCATTGCCAACCAGAATGCGACCCTTGGCACAAGTGAATATAGCGACGGCACCAACAGCCCGAGTGCCTCCCTCGACAATCAAACTGTCTGTCAAATTGGGCAAATCGCAAACAACCTCAACGCATTTGGGTGCCTCATGACTCCAGTTGCCGTGCTCTGTGCACAGGCGGCGCGAAACGCCATTCAGCTTGAAATTGGCATTGCATTCGTAAAGAACAGCAGCTCCATAGTATGTGGCATTGGTAGCCAAGGTCGCCTTACCATCGGTGATATTTTCGGGCGCTCCACACTCCACATCTCGAAAAAAAATAGCAAATAAGCATTTGATTATATATAGTTTAATAAAGCGTATATCAATATGCGTAACACTTACAGACACACTCCGGTATGGTACCGCTCCAGTGGCCATTATCCTCGCAGGTTGCCAGGGCCTCGCCAACCATTTTGTAGCCACGCTCACAACGGTATTTCGCCAGTGCACCAATTCTGCAATGCCAAAGAATCAGTTACTATATATATATTTATATATCCAAGATGTCCTGAACCAGTAATCGGTCTACAGGACATAATTGATTAGTATGGAATTACAACAGCTTCCAACCAAAGCCACAACTCAAAATTTACATTTTTGAATGATTAATATTCGAGATAAAATTTTGGAAGAAGGCAACATTTTCTCAATTTACCAATTTAGCCTCTGGTAAATGAAGAGACCCCTTCCAACTTACTTGTATGTCTGGGCTGTATTCTGTGTGGATTCGGAGGTGCGTATTAAAGTGCGTCCGTACATTCTGTCGTTGCCAGTGACGGACAGGAAGCTGTGCGCCGCCAACTGCGGTTCGTGACAGCGAATTTCTAAAATATATAATACATAATCAGTAATAGTTAATAATAAATGTGTATAAATTGTATAATTGCTAATGTTCAATTGGTGTCGCACCTTCACATTTGGGCAAGGCATCGCTCCAGGTGCCCGATTCCAGGCACTTGCGTTTGACCACACCACTCAGCTTGTGGGATTGGGTGCAGCTGAAGACCACCTCGGAGTCGACGTATGTTGTGTTTGTCACATATTTGATGCTGCCATACGGTATTGGCAATATGGTTCCACAGTCGACATCTGTACGATAATATATGGATTTGATTAAGTGGATGCTTGCCAATATGTATATATATATATATATATAGAAATGTCATTGCTAATTACATTCACAGTAGGGCGCATCGGAGCTCCAGTCGCCAGTATCCAAGCATTCGAGCACTGTGTTGCCATGCATTATGTGACCCGGATCACAGTTGTATTGTATTTTCGAGTGCACATTATAATCATAGCCAATGACAAAGGAGCCAGCGGGCACTTGGGGCGTTTCGCATGTAACCAGCTCACAGACGGGCGCCTCTCCGGACCACTTGCCATCCTTTGTACAATAGAGCTCGGACGGCCCGTCCAACCAGTGGTCCTCATCGCATTCATATTTAACAACAGAATCGACAGTTGTCGTGCCATTCAATAGTATGGATATACCCCGATCTGGTCGAGCGGGCGCACCGCAATCGACAAATCGGCACGATGGCGTCTTGCTCGACCATTCACCGCCCAGTCCACACGATATGATCTGGAATAATGTGCAACGATTGTGATTGATGATGGATAACTGGATAACTTTATAGAGTAGTTCACTTACCGCCTCACCCACGAGCACATAGCCAGGATCACACACGTACACGGCTGTCGATCCGGCGCGCTTGTCCGTGAAACGCACATTGCCGCCGGTTATGCGCTGTGGATCTGGACACCAGTCAACCAAACATTCGGGCTGCTTGCCATTCCAGCCATCCTGCATGCACGTACGATTCTCATTGCCAATTAGTGTGTAATTCTCATGGCAGCTGTAGGTGGCCACGACGCCATAGCTGGTGCGCTCCTCGGACAGATGTATCGAACCAAATTTCAATTCCGGCAATGGTCCACAGTCCACATCTTTTGAATAAAGCAAACTTTTCAAACTCATCCCGAACAAATATGCTTCGCTAGCTACTCACATTTACAGCGTGGCGCTGATCCGCTCCAGACGCCATCCGTTCGGCACTCACGCTCCGCGTGGCCCAGCAGCGTGTGTCCCTTTGGGCAATCATATTGAATTTTCTCACCCAATGTGAACACCTTGCCCAGCACAGTTGTGTTTTGCTGCGCATCCGGTGAGCCGCAGGACAAAGGCGCTAAACAGAAAAGACAAATGAGAGAGAGAGAGAGAGAGAAAGATATACATATATATATGTAGAGTGAGTGAGAGAGAGAGGGCTATACATACAGTGCTGGCATATGAAATGTAGATAGTCCAGATTGCAGCCAACATCATTCCAGAGCCAATTGCGTCCACCATCGAAGACAACGCAATTCTGCTCGCCATTGTAATTATTCGGCTGATCTTTACCCCAGGTGGGCTTCTGCACAACTTCACCTGGAGTTAGCAATCAGTGTTAACATCAATATGTGAATGTTTTTTTCTTCGATTTTTGTGTGTTATATCATACCATTTACCCACTTCCAAGTGCGGGATGTGATGCCGGGCTCTTTTTGTGCGCCAATCCAAACTAATTGCGGCTTCAATTCCGTCTTGCGACGTTCCAATTCTGATAGAATATATTGGCTGGTGGCGCCCCGAAACTCATGCACCAAGTTGCCACCTGTCGCCAACAAAATGATAAACAAACAAACAAAAACAAACAGCAACAACAAAAGAAATGAGTAAAAGCTGTTCACATATCGATTGCACATTTATCGATAGTTGCAATCGCACTTGCCTGTCTGCTTGCAAATGGCTTGAGCTTTTTCAAAGCTTTCACCTTTCGTTGTATGGAAATCGTAGCATGTTTTGGAGAATGTCGTTACGATCGTATCCACACCGATTTTGGGACTGAGGCAGCGATCGACGGAGAACTCATCGTTGGTGAATGTCTCCACCTCGCACAGGCTGAGACTGCCCTCAACGCCAACCAGCTGAATGGCCACATATTGGCCAACGAGCGGACGCGCACAGGTGAAAGTCTTCACGATGCCCTCGTCGAGGGTGCCCGGATACCAGGCACAGAGCGGATTGCGCTGCAGATCCGCACTGCTGTTGCCCACACGTATTTCCAGATCCTGCAGCGGCTGATGTCCGCAACATCCACGTGTCGTTATGCGCACCACATGGACTGCCTGCGGTGTCAAGAGATCCACACGCCACCACGGCGATGGCTCCTTTTGTGTCTCCGAGCACTCTTGTCCATCGGGATTCTGTTTTTTTATTGGATTATACTTTTCTGTAGAGATATTTGTTATTCAGCTTACCTTATTGCCCGGCTTGCCATCATTCGCATAGCTGGCTGGACCACTGCGCGTGTAAGAGCTCTGATTGACCGGTTTGCGGTAGGCGACATTAACGCCACAAAAGGGCAGATCCCGCTCCCAGCCCGCACTCGCATCGCACTTAATCTTTGGCGAGCCAAACAGCTCATATCCAGCATCACATGTATAATGTGCCTCAGATATGCCCGTCGCCTCTGCCGAAACTGTGCGCACTTTGGCATTCAGAGGCACTGCGGGCGGACCACAAACTACAAGTAAAGAAATCAATACGAGTTCGGTGTTATTATAATTTTTATTATTATCATTATTCATATATGGCATATATGGAATCGGATCAGTTTATCGTACAGCTGCCTTTCTCTTTAAGACTAGCAAATTTCACAAACCAAACCAATCTCACTAAATTCGCGTCTTTGATAGCCAACTTGCAACTACTCACTTAAATACACTTATATATTTATATTTACATCAATGTGCTCCAATTTGCGGACAGATTTTCAAAATTTTTGCCAAAAACAATTAATGAAATTAAGATACGAGTAGACTCCGGTCTGCTAAGGTCTGTGTATATGTAATCTGCGGTTTGTCTACAATTACTGGTATTTCTTGTTATTGCTTAAGCTTGTTCTTAATTGCAGTATCACGGCCAGACTTTGCCATTTGTACATATGGAGATGTATGTATGTACAGTCATACACTACATATACATATTTGAAGTAATACATTTATCCGGCGTGTTCCGATTTGCGCAAATGGAATAGCTTACCGCAAATTGGAGCACGCCTGTATATAGCATAATAAATTCCCAACTTGATGATAGATATTTTTGTGATTTCTCTTCACATTTTGTATTAACCCATTTCTGGGCTGCTAGACAACAGTTCAAGTACCGAATTCATAATCATTTTGTTCAGTGTAAACAAGTGCCTTGCCGGGAAAGCAGCTTGATCATCTTAATATTGATGTGTCATCCGTGAAAGTGGCCCATCAACTAATATAACTGAAATGCCTGGTGTGCAAAAGAAAACCTTACTTGAACATTAGTTTTTAAAAGATTAGATTGTATTGGATAGTGTCCCAGACATTGGAGGAATTCATTGGAATTATATACATAAGTTCATAAGACAATATATGAATATGTCCGCCAATTGTTATTATTTATTAGTTCAATACACACTCCATGTCATCTAGAAACTGTAGTTAAGATCATTTTCAAAAAAAGTAAAACATGAAAAGCTGAAATCATTCAAAATGGGTAAACATCAAACAAATGCCTTGATTTATTATTGTCCAAGATCGGATAAGGAACGTAGATTTTTGGCGTACCCAAGCGCATTTTAATATCGAGCAAATTAATATCAGCAGGCCTACTTTCAAAGCTGGGATTCAAGGTGTCTTCTCGTCAAGCAGTCGCGACTAGATTATTTGTTGTTTTTTTTGTGTTGTTTGTTTGTTTTCTTACCATTATTTTCCGTGCATGTAATACTCTAATTGGGTTGGTTGCGTCCATACATACATATATATATATACATACATAATGTGTACCACTTATATACATATGTATGATGTATGTGCAAACATGCAAACGGGGGCTTAACCAACTGAATAAAAGGGTTTAGTTGAGAAAGCTTGAATGTCATGTGCCATGCTGCTTGTAAAATAACAAAGTACAATTGTACGTAAGTAAATATGCACACGTACATGTATATATGTATGCGTCTTAAGCGGTATACATACATACAAACACACATTTGGTAAACAAAGCAGTCGGGGTTCAAGTTTCTTAAATAAGAATCCTACGAAATACATGCCATTTAAAAGAAACCTGTTAAAGTGTCGCGGGAATTGAGAATGCCTTATACAACAACAACAACAACAATAACAACAAACATACTTGTTTTTAGTATATATACTAAAACTATATATATATATATATGTTGTGTGTTGTGGGTGTGGTTGTTATTTCTTCTTGATTGCCCTTTGTTTGCCAGCGGCAAAGGAACACGGCCCCTAACCCCACATTTGCATATAATGTATTTAGTTGGGTTCTAGGTATTATTGTTTTTGTTTTTGTTTTTATTTTTATTTTTCTTTTTAGTTTTTCCCACTGGCAATAATTTGTAAACGAACAATTTGACTTTAGAGTTTTGTCGAGATTTTTCCCATAATGCATAGATTACAACCAAACGGGGAATGAATGGCTAAGTAATATATGCACAAATATGTATGTCTGTAAGACCAACAAAGATTCTTATTCAGATTATAGACGAAAAAAAATTGAAGAATAAAACTCTCTCATTATTGTTTAAACCTTTTCTCATAGGCACATGGGCATACTAACCTTTATGTATGCAAATAGCATGAAAATGGGCTTAAACGCGTTTAGAATGCGAACATTTAATGACTCAATTACCTAATATGGATTTTCTCTATATTTCTTTACAAAAACAATACAATTATTATAGGTGCTTGATGAATAAAAGAGAAAGGCAACTCCGACACAATATATATATATATATATATATATATTTGTACTTTGCACTGATCTATCCATCCAGTTCCCATGAGAACAATCTTGCTATGTGTATTCATTTTAAGATATAACAAGATTGTTCTCAGGGAACAGTTTAAGATAGTTTAACTTAATCAGGCATGCTCCCATTTACGGAAAACATTTCTGTTTCTGTCTTAACAAGGCTGTGTAATCTTTCTCATGCCAAAAGAGAGATCTGTTCTTTCTATTTATTTAAATATATATTGGTATTGCTGCCTTTTTTTTTTTGCCTATAATCTGACAGAGGGCGGGGCCAAAGTGTGTGCGGAAGTTTTGCATATGTTCCTTGGTGTAGTTTTTTACTTGGCTTTTTTTTTTATAGCTGTTCCGAGACATGCGCGAATCGCGATGTTTTGTGACTGTTGCAGCTGTTGTTGATGTCAGGTTTTGTTTCCCTTCTCATTTTTTTCTCTCTTATTTTTTTTTTGCAGTTGCAAAGTGTTGCTAGCTTCGATGATGTTATTTATGCCCAAGAGCCGAATGAAAAGCAGTTATTGTTGTTATGAGACTTAAATCGCATTCATCCGGTTTTACCAGTGGTATCTATACTTTGATACATGTATATACATATATATATATATATATGTATATATGTATGTATGTTTGTTTATACTTCAATGGGTGTTTTTGGCTTGTGTGAGAACAGATACTTATATATGTATTGGGAGTGTCTGACTCTGACTCTGTATGGGGGGGGGGGGGGGGAATAACTTTGTGTAACTTCATCAGAAATGCACAGAATGCAAAAATAGGAGTCGAAGAAGAAGAAGAAGAAGAAGAAGGAGAAGAAGTAGAAGTAAATGAAAATGAAGAACTACTCGAATCAGGCCAAATTGGGTAACTAGGGCGACCGAGCGACCAGGCGACCAGGCGGCTAACCTGTGCGATAGAAAGGTGGCTTGAATCTGAATTCCGTTATGACAACATCAGCAACATCAGCCACAAATAGGCGGACACAAAACGTAAACGACATTTAAGAAACATAACACGTAGGAGTGTGTGTGCAATGTTCAAAGCTCGTAACACAGCAGTGAAATGGCCAAGAGTCAATCGAATGCGGCATTTTGAAACTGGTAAGGAAAGATTGTTGATTGTTTCGATTGTTGTTTTCGATTGACTTTAGCATTTGAGTGGGACACGCAGCTAATTGAAACAGTTCTATTTTTCTTAGCTTGTTTTTCGTTCTGCTTTTGCATGCTTGTTCGATTAACAGTATTTTGCCTGGTTTACCGTTACACTGTTCTACTGTTCTTCTGTTCTACTCTTCAAAATGAAGTCCGCCTTTCGCAATCCATCGATTCTTGATCAATTGAGATTATTTTAATTTTGAAAATCATATTACAGCTTTATTTTTGCCATCGACAAACCGTTGACCAAAAATCATGTAATATAATTAGAAAAAAAATATATATATATTTATTGAATCGATTTTACAATTTATTTTATTTTTGCAATTTTATTAAATATCCATAAGCTCATAACAGGAAAACTATTTTTCGTTTATATCCATGGAGTAAACTGAACTTTGAAGTTGGTTGCGATTTACGTGCAACAATCGAAAAATGTTTTTTTTTTTTTTTTTGTTGTTTTTCTCAGTGATGATTTATGCGTTAATTTTGCTGTCGTGTCGTGTATTGAATATATAATTGGATTTTGATCTTAATTTAAATGTGATTGATAGATGAATAGATAGATATGTTGGCAAGGAAGGAACTTACTATGACAATTTCCGGATGCGATTAGCGTCATCATCATCATCATCACCATCATCATCATTATAGGCATTGTGAACGGAATGTGCGTACGACTATGTCTCGAAAAGGCCATGGCTCTTAGCCAAACGTTTTCCAGTCGAGGTGCCACCGCGTTGAACAATAACTTGCGGCAAAAGCAAAACATTGTTTGCTTTTTGCTGTTATTAGCTGTTGATTGGGTAGGTGGAGGGGGAGGGGTGGTTGGTTGGTTATATTCACAGTTGTACTCGCATCACACCAATGATGATCAACTTATGCATACACTTGTCTATTATTATGATTATTATTATTATAATTATTATTATCTTTTAAATGCATGTATTTATGTAATTTCACATACATATATAAATATATATATACATATATATATATATATATATATATATATATGTGTGTGTGTGTGTGTGTGTGTATTCAATTTATATTCACGGGCATGTATTTAGGTGCATACATATATAGCGTGAGCCGATGTCTTACGTTCACTAGATTTTCACTTTGCATTCACATTGAATTTTCACTGTATAATCATGAATGTGTGCATGCATGTTACCAACATTTATATATACATATATAAATTTATATATCTATATATATGTACATGTGTGTGTGTGTGTGAATTACTGCATAGAGATAAAAAAAAAATGCATATAATCATACAAAATCACAATAACCGGGCAATGACTTTGAAACTCCAAACTAACTGAGACTCAAAATTCATTTTATGTAAACATACATGCATTGTTATTTGTTTGTTTGTGTGTGTTCAAGTTATGTCTCTTCAGCTGTGAACATTATCCATATGCATTAAACTAAAGTTGAATGGTTAGGCAAGTTGCAAAAATTGCAATACTGCAACCAGTTTGAAAATAGCCTTCTTAATTGTGATGAAGTTGCTTAGTGACTCGATCTGTTAATTGGTATCAGTGACACTTAAACTGTGATTTCGTTGGCAAATACGACAGGATATATGTATCTTTGGGAGATATACTCATATACAGATGTGCAGCGTCAAGTCGGAAAACAAATGTCAACACAGACAGACAAGCGTTTTGCTGAAAACATATTTCTTGTTTGTAGTCTCTAATTAGCCATCATATGAAAGTAAGTGCATTATGCACAACTAGTTAACTATTCATTGTCATTGTTTTGAAACTAATACGAATACTAAGACATGGTTTGCATGTGCGTATGATATGCATGGTGTCGACTGCTTTCAAGGCTTTGTTTTGTTGTGTGGCCTGCTTAGCTAATTTGGCCTGGGGCATTTAGCTTGTATACATGTATCTACACACATACATACATACATAGATAGTTTAAGCGATCATTGGGTGTGCTATGATACATTTCAAAAATGCAAATTATGGCTTGCAAGTTTTCTGAGGTGCTGAGCCAAGCCGAGATCCGAGCGGAGCTAAACTGAGCCAAACAGTGCTGACCTGGGCTGAGCTGAGCTGAGCTGAGCTGAGAATTGAATTTGGTGGCCGGTTTCTCCAAGCCTGCTGCTGCTGCTGCATATAAGCAACTTTCGTTACAGCCGCGTATCTTTCACTAATTATAATTATCAGTGGCTTGTGGACAGTGAGCGGTGCTGTGTTTGTTGTTGTTGCTTTGATATTCTGCAGTATCTGTGCCATCGATAGCCACTGGCGGCCAAAGCTGAGTCAGAAATCTAAGCAAAATGATTTTATTTTAGCTTTTAGCCAGTGTTTTTATTAACTTGATTTACAAAGTGCTAATTGAATCCATATGAGAAAGTACAATACGTTCAAATTGAAGTATTGGGACTAAGCAAACACACACACACACACACACACACACACGCGCACACACAAGCAATCCAAAAGTTGATCCCGATCTCAGTTATTTATGTCACACACACACAGAGTCTGCAATACATACATATGTATATATTTGTATATATATGCATGAGTGTATATATTTATTTATGATTATATATGCATAAGCCATGTACAAATATGGCCAGAACTATTGATTTCGCTTTCTGGACATTTGGACATTTTCTGTTTTTACCATTCACAATATTGGGAGTGGGTGTCGAAGTTGTTCATACACTCGTGAAACAATGCACAGTAAAAACAAAAACAACAACAACAAAAACAAAACAAAAAAAAACTATATATATACATACAATGTTCAAAACAAAAGTGACTTTTTGGAATGGATTGCAAACTTTAAAATTTATGGTTATCTATGAGCGTGAAAATACCAAAACATATATATATATATATCTACGAATGTACGTATTCAGATGCAAGAGTATGTGCACATATATATATATATATATACTACATAGATATTATTAACGGTGTTCGTTGTTGCCAAACACACAACACACAATAACGCGATCCGATCCGTACGCCTGACACGTCTGCTTGGAATGAAAGTTGACTTATAACTGGTTTTCAGCTGGCGCTTTACTACTTACAGAAGTTCGCGCAGCACTGCGCGTGTGCACCGACGACCGACGACCGACAACCGACAAGCGACAACCGACAAGCGACCAGCATAAGGTTGATTGGTTACTTGGTTCGTTGGCTGCGCTCGGCTCGGTTCGGTCGGTTGGTCGGTCGGTCGGTCGGTCTGCTGGTCGGCTGGTCGGTTGGCTGTTTGTCATTGTTGTGGCATTGTTGCCGACGTGAAATACAAGCAAGCTGCGCAATCGCACAGCTTTACACAATTTGTGAGAGGGCAGTTCGATAGCATTGTACAATGTGCATTCGAAACGAATATAACAAAATATCGTAACGAATGTAACACGTCAAACATCACAGTCACCTTACGCTTATTATTCATATGAAATTCTAGATGAGCAACACACAATTGAAAATGAGCATAATTAGCACAATTTATGCTATCAGAGTCTGAAAATATAAATATATGTAAGCTGGATGGTAGCATAGCAAGCATAGTTGTAACTTTTTGGTCCACCTGTGCGCTAAAGCGCCGGCTGCGCTACTCCATTGTGGACAACGTAAAGTGGCTGTTTTTCATACTCTCATCGAGGGTTTTATAATTTTATAATAATATTTGTACTGCTTCAAAGGAGACACTTTCAACTCCATCTGCCCAGTCGAGAAGTTTCAAGTGATTGATGCCTCTTCTTTGTTTCTGTAGCTTTAATTAATCAACTCAAGTTTTCTTTTGCCCAATTTAATTATAATCAGACTACTACATAATAAAGGTATTTATGCGAATTATGCATATAAACAGCAATTAAACCGTGCTGTTTGGCTATCTGAGCAGAGTTTATGGTAATTGCGACATGGGTATAGAGTATTTTCCGGTCGGGCTGTCGCAACTAAAGCATTCTTACTTGTTTTTTTTTTTCTTCTCTTTATTATTACTGTTTGGCTGTTTGTATTTTGCTGCTGGCTAGTTCACAGAGCCAGTCTAAATGACTAAAGAAAAATAAAACCCTACTTAAACTGGAGTACAGTAAAAGCTGTGTTCTGTTTAATTCTATTAATTGGCATGGTCAATAAAGGTAAGCCGTCAACTGTGGCAAATACATACACATGTAAGTATGTACATATATACATACATACATATATCAATACGTAAGCCGAATAAAAAAGTCTTAAGTATGACCAGTAAGATTACAATTGTATATACCAATCCTACTTTGGCGTATATTGCAAAAACTTCAGCTTACAGCTAACTCTGAAAATAGTCATACCGTAAAGTTGTAGTTTCCGTTCGAAAATAGCTTTCAAATTCGTTGCGATCTGTCCAAATAACCGCCATCGATAGGAATAGGAATACTTTTTCAGTTCGATCTTCGCATTAATCACTGGTCTTCCGGTCGGAGCAAAGAAATTTACATATACATTTTTCGTTTGGTGGCGCATTTTACGTGGGAATCGACAAAATGATGGTATTGGTCAAAATAAGAACTTTCTCTTTCAAAGAAGCCACAATACCAATACATAATTCCTTATCATCCGATGAGCATGCGCTAACATCGGTGAATGCAAATCGTATGCACATCTGAATATCTATATATATATATACATTTATATGTATATATATATATATATATATATGACATATTCATTTTGCAATAGTCGTGGTTCATGCGAAGCCTAGTCACTCGATGGAAAGTGCAATGGGCCGTTACTTGGCTTTTCCATGTTGCAACATTAATATGACGATTATATGGTATAGCATTAAAGCAAAATAATATAAAAAAAATATCAAACAGCTCATAATATGTCAGAGTCGGTCGCATCAGCTCACCATATATATGATGAATTCTTGTATGAAACATTTTTTTTATTTTTTTTACCAAGCTTTACAAACCCAACTCAGCAGATATGCTAACAATTATGTTTCTCACATTTGTGCAAAAAATCATTGGAACAGAACTACTAAATCTTATAGCTGCCATAGCAATAATCGGTCCAAAAGATGAGTTCTTATATAAACAAATATTTTGTTTACCAAGTTATCTTAACGAAAATAACCAGTTTTAAGTATTTTTATAATATTAACATTTGGACCTGAAACTATCAATATCCGACTAATATATAATATATCTTCCATAGAAGACTCGGTCGATAAATGAGTTATTTTTTTTATCAAACTCATCACTTATAAGTATTATCAAGTTAATAACACAATAAAAACTTTTAACACCGGACTGTATCACATAGCTTTCATTGGAACAATCGGTCTGTTTTTCCAATTTATATAAGGTATACAAGGATATGTAATCAGTGGCGCGCCTAAGCTGTTCTCTCTTGTTTTATCTTGGTATGAATAATGCTTTAAACACAAATCACAGTCTTAGTTTGCATTCACAGATGAGCCTCTCAATCGAAGACTCGGAAATTTCACATATCAATTTAAAATAGAAATAGAATCATAAAAATATTTTCATCTTGTGTGACTAAATGCAGTAGAAATTTATCGCGTTTTGGTTACAACAAATGGGGAAACAAATACTTTTCATAGAATAGGAAAAACAAAAGGGTTCCTATAATTTCTAGCTAATTTAATTTAGCTCTGATCAGTCTAAAAAAAACGTCTAAAAAGAACAATATTTTTGTTTATACATTTACCAGTTGCTCTAGAAAAATAAGTACAAAATGCAAATAAAAGAGTTAAAATTTCCAAGATGTTGGTAGAACATTAATCGCCCATATCTGTTTCGATCTCACGCTCTCTCTCGCTCTCTCTCGCTCTCTCTGTCGCTCTCTCTTTCTCGATTTCTTTCTGGGTTTGTTGGCCATAAAGAGAATGCTGCAGGTATGCCAATGTACATTGTATTGCCACGTCTACGTGTGCAACAAGCTGGGCAACCAACTTTGTTAGTCTCTGCTCTGCACACTAATAACTATGCTCAGCCACATAACAGCGGCCAGCAGCCTCTGGCTTAAACTCGAACTGGCTGAGAGCGTGAGTCAATTGATGTGGTCTCCCTCTCCCTCTCTCTCTCGCTCTTGCTTTGGCTCTCTCTCTCTCTCTCTCTTTGAACGCTAGCTTGCTCTCGCTGTTGATCTTGCCAAGCGCTGGCAGGTAAGTGAGCGGATTCATTTTCAATTTCGGTTTCTGTGCTTGCCTCTGTCGCTGCCTCTGCCTCTGTCTCTGTCTCTGCCTCTGCATCTGTGGTTGTTAGCCAGCTAGCCAGCCAGCCAGTCAGCCAGTCAGTCAGCCGTAGAGCGCAAATGGCTCGCTTAAAGCGCTCGATCGAAGAGTGTGTTTTTGTGAGAATTATTTTTAGTTTGTTTTCACCTTTTGGTGCGTACAGTTGCAGTGAACGCGCTTCGTTTTTGTTTTTGTTTTTTTTTTTCTTTAATTTTTTACTCAGTTGCTTTTTTGTTGTTAACATTTCTGTTCACTCATTTTGACCGCTATTTGCTTGGCTCTGTTGTAAATGTGCTGTAAATGTGCATGTGTATGTAAATTGATGTGTGCCAACGAACCTTTTTGGGCAGTTTAATTCAACTTTCGTTTTTGTTGTGAATTGTTTGTTAAATATACACACAGACATACATATTAATTGGTATAGGTATGTTTATAAACTGTCTTGTTCTAAATACATTTGTTTGTTTGTTTGTTTAACACAGAGAGATGCATGCATTCGATAAATAAACAAACACAACATACAACATACAACATAGAAAAAGAAACCTTTAAATAGATCGTTGCAATGTTTTGCAATTGTAGATTCAAATTTGTGTTTCTTGTGCGAGTTCAACAGATAAAAAAAAATCAAATTAAGAACTCTACACAACATTGAGTGAAAGCATATTCAGCGGGCCAGAACGTTTCTCTCTCTCTCTCGCTCTCTCTCTCTCTCTCTCTCTTTCTCTCTCTCCCTTGCTGCCTCTCTTTGTCAGCGTTCTAAGCAAATCACAAAGTAGCTTGAAGCGTGTAGATTCAAAGAGACTTCCATGTATTGACTAAAGCTCGCATTTAAAACTCACCTCATAGCAGATTCCGAGGTGTGTGTGCCTGTGTGTGTGTGTGTTTGTGTGTGTGTGTAAAAAGCCAAAAAAAGAACTCGAATACTTTCAGGTAATGCCGCAAAATGTGTGGAAATAAAGTGGTGATATTTGCACATAGCACTTTATGCCAATTTAAGAGCAATCGATTAAGTGACTCACGTTGATGACAAAGTTAATAAAATAGCAACAGCAACAAGAATAACAACAACAGCATTAGCAATGCAACAACAACAAAACGTTCGTCCAGTGAGCACTTATGACAACCTGAGTGCCACCGCCAGCAGCAACAACACAACCAAGCCGAAGTTAAAACAACAACAGCAACAGCAACAACAACAATTGTGGACCGGAGAAAGTTCAGGACTGTCGCCAGAGGAAATCAATAATGTGAATGAGAGCTCAACTTTACAATGTGATGCCGACATGAATGGCACAACGATTATTCCACAAATACCTAAAGACGCAGCTGCATCAACAGCAGCAGCAGCAGCAGCCGCAGCAACAACAACCACACAGGATCTGAACGAAACCAGTCACAGCATCGCAGCTGTTCGAGCGGCACTCAGTGATGCAAAGTCCAAATTTTTTGGCATCAACATCAATGAGAGAATTTTGTGTACACCAACCGCAATGGCCGCAATGGATTCAATTGGGCCGGACACCAATTACCCGAGTGCACCACAATCCGCACGTACAATTATGCCCCAAATGACGAAATCGAGCGATCTGGTGCAGCCAATGAAAACGCCAATAGTTCAATCGCAGCGCTTTGGCGCCACCTATGAGCAGATTCCATTAGCTGATCTAGATGCGCCATCGCCGTCACAGGTGTGTACTAACAATAACCATTGTCTAATTTGTCTTTGAACCAACTCACAATCGAATCGATCTCAATTCAGGCAGTCTACATGAGCACAACGGTGCCACAGAATATAAAGGGCATGAAGATCGCTGGACGACATACCCCAACACGAAATAGTCTCAGACACAGTCGCATGATTGTTGTCAATCACACGAACCACGACAGTAAGTACAAAAGCCCAATGTCAAAATCAAATGTGTGTGTCTCTCTCTCTCTCTCTCTCTCTGTTTTTGTCTCTCTCTCTCTTTCTCTCGCTCTCGCTCTCACTCTCTGACACTATCACATTGTTCTGAATGCTACTCGTAGGTATCCAGGAATCATATTCAACGCACATTCGTAATTTGAATTTTTCACGCCAGCTCCTAATATTGCAAATGGCAATTGGCCTGCTGATTGTTGGTCTCGCTATCTGGATACTTATTCTGGCACCGAGTGCCTCAATACTGATAAATCCGTACCTAAGTGGCTTATCCGTAAGTAATAAATCGTCTATCTACCTTAGAAATTCCAAGTATGAACTGCTTGATTTAACTATGAATCGAAATTCTCAAATTAAGCCTGTTTTTCAACTTAATCAAATTGAATTGAATTTCTTCAACATCTGAACTCCTTTTAAACAGTTAGGGATTGATTATAGATATTGAAGACACTTTTGCTTTGTTTTGCTCTTAAAATGAGTAAGAAAACAAACATTTTTGCATTTCAAATTTAAGAATTAACTTTTAATTGAATTTGACGTGCAAACCAGGTGTAAATTGAAATTGGTTTTCAGTTAAAATTTATGAGAATTTCGCACTTGTCTCCAATTAAGAGTTTTCAACTTGAAATGACATTTCTTTAATTTGTGTGTACAGCTTCTGCTTGCCAGTATTGCCGGTCTAATACTGCTGGGACGGGATCGGCGAGCCGAATCGCATCGAACACCTAAAAACAACTGCTACAAGGTGTTGCTTGCTGAATCATATGTGTTTTCTGGCCTGGCGCTCATCTTCTGCTGCCTGGCTCTGGCCTGTGCCGCAAATGAGTTTGCCCAGCTGCAAGCCACAGCTGGGCCCACCGATGGCTCCTGCGGGCCAGCGACGAGCTCACTGCTGAGTTATCGCAACTGCAGCTGCTTCACGTACGACGAGCAGACAGCGACCACAGATCAGGAGATTGGAGATCTGCCGGATCGCATGGAGGCTGTGTAAGTTGAGTTGTTGAGAATTATAATAATAATAATAATAATCCAATCCACTCATTAGCATCGATCGGAATAACAACATGGAAACGTGCGAGGCGATCCGTGGCGAATGGCGATATCTGTTGGGATTCTCGATGGCTCTCAATACAGTGGGCATTTTTGCAACACTCTTATACATTACAATATTCATTTGTTGTCTCAATAGCAGTCGAAAACATTTCAATGCATCTGTCTAAGAAACTTTGTACCTACAACTAGATAAGTACTTGCTAACCTAACCTATGCATACCTATGCACATAAAATAATTATTTAAATATCTACAAACATCAAGCACAAAATAAACTATATATAAATATTTATATAAATACATATTTCGAATTGAACTCAAATCTAAAGTGTTGGCCACTTGCCAGAGCTTCCACCTTAGGAATATAGCCATATGCAGGTTGGAATCGGCTGGATCGGATCGGATCACTGTCAAAGGAAGACAATGGATAAAGTTATGGCAACTTTGTCCAAACTGAAGCGGTTTAAATAGCAATCAATTTTGTTATCCTTATTTTGCCTTTGGATTAATGCTGCATTTCAATTTGGAAACTTCGGCATAATTTGTGCTTGTCAAAAATCAAATTGCGTTCAATTTAAAAAATATTCAATCAATTTTTGTAGTTATTGTCTTAAAATATTTCAATTGGTTTGGGGATGTATTTATTGAATTTCGTTTTTGAATTGCTTTTACAATCTTTAATTTGTTGTAACGGTTGTTTTTTGTTTCATTTTTTATTTTTATTTATTATGCTTTTATTATTTAAGTACAGTTGAATAAATAAATTGCGGTGGTTTTTGTTGTTGTTGCTTTTGGGTATGCTTTTTTTTTTTTTTTTTTGTTTGTTTCATTTCTTCATTTGTTGATTATTATACATAAAAAAAAATTATAGATTATTTTTGGATTATGTTTGTCACTTAACGTTAATGGATTTCTTAAAAAAAAAACAATTTATTCAATAATTGTAATCGTAAAAACTGCAGAAAAAGAACTTAGCATATTATATAGTTAGTGTATATGTATATTTATATGTATGCGTATGTGTGTGTGTGTGTATGAATTGTGTCCGTGTGTGTGTGTGTGTGTGTGTCTGTGTCTGGGTCTGGGTCTGTGTGTCTCTGTGTGTGTGTACATATGTATGTAGCATACATGTATGTGTGTGCATATGGAGATATATGCACAAGTCACATAAATTGCTCAGCGAATGCAAATCAAGAGAATAACCAAATCGGAGATCGCTCCGAATCTTACATCTTACATTTTTCATTCAGTCCAATTAGATTAGTCAACGCTGCTGGCTGCTGCTGCTGGCTGCTGCTGTCTGTCTGTCAGATGCTGCCATTGCCTTTGGTGCCCGCATCCAGCACCGCCTCCGATTTTGAGCTCTGCAAACGCTTCTCGCAATACAAACTGCCCACCGGCTTGGCAATGGATGCAGCCAGGCTCTTGGTGACTTTTGAGTAATCAGTGCCACTCAGTGTGGTGATGCCATCCGTGTTGGTATCCGCACTAATTTGCCGCATTAATAGCGGCAACATTTCCGGCGGATTGCCACCTTCTTGTTCCGTCGTCTTTGTGGCCGCTGTCGTTGCTCGATTGCGATCGGTAATGGGAAACTTGTTCTTCGTACAGCTCAGATCCAGTTCCAGCGTATAGAAACGTCCGCGCGTATATTGACGATTATCATTTTCCATTTTGCTAGCAGCGGGCGCTGCTGCTCCCGCTCCTGTTCCCGCTACAGTTCCGGCAGTTGACAACGAGGTCGATGGTGTTTGCTGTGGTTGACTGCTGATGGTGCCGATGCTGCTGCGATTGCTGTGGGCGGCGGGTAGGGCGGTGTTTGCCGTTGTGACGCTGCTGGCCTGGGTGCTGCCCGCACCGCTGCCACCATCGCAGACATCGTCACCGGCATCATCATCATCATCGTTATCATCGTTGTCGTCGTTATCATCAGCATCGTCACTAAATAGATCATCCTCATCATCATCGTTGCCATTGCCATCACCATCATCATCATCATCATCATGGATGTGCAGCTCAATGTGTGTCGCCTCCGCCTTCGGCAACGTCGACAGCTGCAACGCTGATCGTGCTTGCACCGGCGTTACATAGACACCTTGACGCGGTGACTGATCCATCAGTAGATTCTCCCAGCTCGTCTCATAGACGCTCGCCAGCTGGGCCGTCTGCTTCGATTTCAGCTGTGCCTTGTGCGACATCAATGTGGGATTTGTCGTTGTTACTCCTACTCCTGCTCCTACTCCTACTGCTGCTCCTGCTCCTGCTGCTACTCCTACTCCTACTGATGATGTTGTATTTGGTGCTGCTGATGCTGCTGCTGCTGCTGCTGCTGCTGCTACTGCTGCTGATGATGTTGATGATGACGATGATGATGATAATGTTGAGCTTGTTGTTGCTGTTGATAATGTTGTCGATGTGGTTAATAGTAAGTTTGCCGCCACAGAGGCAAGTGTGGATTCCATTGGCTCATCGCCGGGCTGCTTGCGAGCGCCAATTATCAGCTGCGGCTCCACATAGAACGTATCAAAGTTCAGGTCAAGGAACAGCTCCTGGAGGAAGCGTCGCGCACTCATCCGATAGCTGCTGCGTCCCAGAGCCTTGCACGATTCCGAATACAGGCAGATATCCTGAAAGGCCGGCGGATGCTTCTGTTTGAGCTCCAGCAATGCCATCTTTGATTGTTTCGCACTGACCGGATTCGCCAGTCGCTGCACATTGTACAGTATGGAAGCGGTTAGCTTGTCCGGCAGACTCTCGTCACTCAATATGCTCTCCGGCGAATGGAAGCTCATATCCGCCAGCTGTATGGAACTGACAACGCTGCCCTTGCCCGCCGACGAGCTCTTGCGCGCCAGTGCCGGACCAGCCTGAATGCCAGCGGCGACCAGTGCAGCAGCGGCGCTGCTATAAAGCTCACAGGGTGCCACCATTGTGCTGTTGCCACCATTTATGGTGCTGGTTTCTTGCGGCTGTAATCGTTGCTGTTGCTGTTGCTGCTGCTGCTGCTGCTGTTGGCGACGTGAGCGCGTACAATGAAGGCACTGGCTGCGCGCATGCTTGGCGCCCTGCTGCCATTTGGACGGTCGTCGACTGGCCGATGATGAGACATCGGATAGCGAGGAGATTACCGAGGATTCGTCGCCGCCCTCGTTGTTGATGGAATCGTTGAGAAATGTGGAGAACTGCGGTCGCACATTCAACAGATTGAGCCCCATCAGATCCTGATCGATGATATCACATGAGACATAAGTACGGCTCAGATTGCGCGTTGGAAACAAATCGAGCGCATTCTTCGGCAAACAGATGCCCGCATAGCAAGGACCCTGTAGATCATTTGACGGCAGAAATTTGGGCACATTTAATGTTGGTATCGGCACCTGCAACTCCTCCGACGAGAGACGTCTGCAAGTCAACAAGAAAAATAAAGAGAAGAACCAAGAAATAATTACATATTGAACGATATTGATATCAATACACTATATACATACATAGGTATGTATGCATTTAAATTAGTCAACTATCGAAACTGCTTGTTCCTTGAATAACAATCTAATTAAATTCTAATTAAAGCAGTCTAAAGTTGACGAATATAAATGCAGATAAAATATGTAAAAAGAGTAGCAAAACCCAGGCGATGTTTGTGGTTATATAAATAAATACAAATAAACAAATAACAACAAGTCGGAGTGCTGTAGTCGGGTGAGCTCGACTACGATATACCCTGAATATATTCTAGTTTAATTGGCAAATTTCCCTCTAAAAAGTTTGACATCAAAATGTCAGCAGATCTGCAAACGTTCTCCGCCGACAAACCCGTGAATATACATAAATACATACATATATACGCAATCGTAGCGGGGTAACGGGGCTTTGCAGACTGAACACGAAGACATATTGACGCTCGTGTCGATTATCATGCCATCTCTGTCTCACACATGCGCTCGCATATTGATGATATGATAATATATTTTCGACAATAACTTGGGTCTTTCTTATCCGATCTTGATGAAATTTGTTCAGTTGATCAACAATTTGCATATGTCTCTATGTCTATGTCTATCTGTATAAATTAAAATATTCTGCCTTTAAAATTGTCGTTTTTATTGCTATCGGAAATTTATATGCATCGATAATCGAGAAACCGAGGCAGTTATCGATCAAATAAAGCAAACTCGATCTGCGCCTGGTATACGAGAACCAAAATTCCAAATTTGAATTCTCTGCCTCTTACAGTCTCTGAGATGCTTCCTTCTGCCTGTTACATACATTTGCACAAAGCCATTATACCCTTTTTACCCATTTTTAATGGGTACAGGGTATAAGAAACAAATGAATGATGTATGTATGTTGACCACAGAAGAGCTGTTGTTGAATTGTTGTAGTACACAACACTTACGTGAAGACATTGAACATCGTTTGTCGATCGAGGCTGCGCACCTTCATCCGTCGGCTCGATTCGCCCCAGGAGTATTTGCGTGGCTGCACCTCGCCTCGATCAGCTATTTCGATGAAGTCATACAGCTCGGCCGTCGAGGCGAACACGGGACGGCTGTGGGCGCGCAGGGAGCGCAACTGGGCATAGCCCTTCATGTCCAGGGCACTGAGAGCTGGCGGCAGAAAACTGTTGCCCATCAGGGATGTGCGATAGAGCAGTTTGACCGCTTGCATTGTCGGCAGCTCCATCAGATTGGACATGCTTGGTATGGGACTCAGCGGGAACTGTTGAAAGTCACCCATGTTGACAGCAGCAGCAGCAGCGGCCAAGGCAGCCGTTCGCCCCGTAACCGACTCACAGCTGCTGACGCCGGATGTGTTCGAGTCCGTGCATGAATTGTAACGTATGCGATGCTGATGTTGATGCTGATGCAGCGTGTGCATTGGACAGAATCCAACGAGCGGAGTGGGACCGACAACGCCGCCGCCGACACCACCAACGACACCGCCGCCGCCGCCACCAACACCACCGCCGCCCAGCAGGCTGATGACATCCGTTGTCTTGGATTCGGATAGCGAACGCTGATGCTTGCCCTGACGCACATTGCTGCCTTCTGGCAGCGTTTTCGACTTAGCCGCAACTGCGCCAATGTTTAGCGGCCTGCTAAACTGTAGCTGCAAATTGTTGAAATTGAATCAAAGATTTCGCAAACAGTTCAAAACAAAATGTACCTCGTCGGCAGTGGTGCGAACACTGTCCGTCGTCGTCGTTGTGGTGGTGTTTGCATCCTGCAGATTCCAGCAACTGCCCGTCTCGTAGGAAGCATCGATTTGATCCTCGATGCCAGTGTAATTATACGGCGGCATATCCTCATAGTGATGACGAACCGGTGTGAACTGACTGGACATCCAATCCTCTGGCTGATGCACCGGCCACATTGTGTTCCGGTCGTGACGCACACTGAGCCAATCTATAAATGAATAGTAACACGTAACACATATTACACATTTGCTTCTATCTCTGTCTCTGTCTCTCCGTCTCAGTCTGTCTGTCTGTTATGGAACCATTTGGAACTTACTCAGCTTGAAGAGAACGTTGGCGCCTGCCTGAGTGCCAGCAATTAGGCCCAATGCACTGAAGCAAGTGGCACGCAGCGAATACACCTCGCACTTGGTCACCATCAGTATTAACTTCTCATATAGCCTACAACACAAAGCAGAGAAACTATGCACAAAATGAAAGATTGAAATATATCGCATAGATATTCACCTGGAGCCGAGCTCTTCAAAGTATTCAATGCCATTGGAGTGCGTCGAGGCGTGACTAAGTGCCCAAATGGCCGCTTTAAGCTCCAGGCATTCGAGATCGTCATTGGTCTTGCCTCGCGTCAGCACATCGAGCAGCTTGGTGAGATCGGCGTGATTGCGTAATGCTGTCATGCCCTGTGTGGTCTGCACCATCTGGCCATAGAGATGCGGCGCTATATTCGGCGGCACCAACTGTGCCCGCTGATTGCAATTGCGTCGCGAGTAGTAGCCATCCTCGTTGCGGACGTGCAGCGTCAGGCTGGCGTGTGTATCGGCCTCGACAAGGAGGACATAGCGCTTGTTGTAGCCATTGCGCCAATACTTGATCTCATCCTCGATGTGCGCCTCGCTGCTGTTGAGGCCGCGTGACAGCGAATAGAAGCGTGACATTAACAGACGGCCGACATCGCCCAGCTGCTTCAGATTTGGCCAGAGACTGACAATCTCCTCCAGATAGTATTTGTCGTGGCATGCCTCCTCGAGCACATCCATGGCGGCCAGCACAACACTCCGATCCGCATCCTTGGTCTGCTGTATGATCAACGGTATGCCCCAAACTTCAAAATTTGGCAAACGGGCACGCAGCAGCACAGCCAAAAATTGTGTGGCATACAAGCGACCACTGCGCGTCTTGGCCAGCGTTAGCGCCTTCTCCAGCACCTGTTGCGGCAGCTTCTGACAGCTGTAGTTGAGTCCCGAGACAATCAGCTTCACATAGCAAACGTGATCCGTATGACGTACCAATGTGATCAGACTTCAGAGTGAGAGTGAGAGATAATAAATGATGAATACAAAACATGAATAACGAATATTCAAATGGGATGTGATGGGATGGGGTACTACTCATACTACTCACTATTCGAATACGGTTGTGTTCTTAAGAACCTCGATACCCTTGCTGCTGCGGCACATCCGTCCAATGTAAAGGAAATACTGCTGGCACATTGTGTTGTTCATATGCTGTGGACTAAACAGGCAATCATGAGCACGACTTGAAGTCGTCACCGCCAACAGATGCTGACTAATGTCCGAGAAATAATCCGTTATGTATCGCATGCATTCCAACTGCAACAACAACAAATACATACTTATATATATCTATATATATATAATCATTGAGAAATGCTTACCTCACTGCTGCTGAGGAGCACATCGATAAGGTCGAGGCCAGTGCTCACATACGCTGGCAGTGCCTGGCCGGGCACAAGATCCTGATGCGAGAAACGATTGTTGCTTGGCTTGAAAAAGTCCACCAGACGTTTTAGCAGCTTATTTAGGAATTTGCCCTGAGTGTAGTCCAGTTTGCGTATTAAATTCGACTGAAAACGGATATGGTTTAGTCACAAAATTGAACATAAATCGATTCGTTACTTACTCTCAGCAGCGTGCTAATCACTTCCCAATCCCAGTCCTTGGCGTCCGCCTGGCTTAGCACATTTGATTCGTCCAGCATTCGATTGAAGGCACGAATATTATCGATATTGAATACCTGCGGCAGAAACTTGCGCTTCAATCGAAAGCTGGAGCGCAGCGAGCTCGATGCCTGCGAATTGGACTCATCACTAGAGGAGACCGAGTCCAGACGCTGTCTGTCCAGTGTGCCCCGATAAACGCCAGCGGATGATGATGCAACGGCCACGGCGGCAGCGGCTGCCCCAGCCGTATCCTGCAGCTGTAGCGCAATGCTCGACTCCTGGGCATTGATGTTGCGGCGAAAGAGACGCGTCTGTATTAGCGCACCGCCCTGTATAATACTATCGAGAAATAGACTGCACGACGCCGGACGCTGGCGGAGCATTTTCTGATAGTTTTGGAGGGCGGCGACAGCCGCATTCGCCTGCTGATTGCCTTGGGTGGCATATGCGATGAGCGTCGGCAGCGCTGGACTCGTGCTGCATATATCCGCCGGCAAATGTGTATGCATTAATTGAACGATTTTGCCAATTAATACGGTGGCGCGCACCGATACAAACTGATCGGTGCCAACGGCCACCTCAACGAGTGCGTTGAGCAGTCCCGTCTCTAGGAAACAGTAAAGCAGCAGCGCCAAATGCTGTTCAACCACATTGGGCGCCCGTGCGGCCAGACTAGGCAAGATGGAGCGTCCCTCGGCGGACACGAAGCCATTGCTAAGCAGCCACGAGTCCTGAAAATCGGACGGATCAACCGTTTGCAATGCGACCGCATAATCATCAGTCCAACTCGGTTGGGGCACCGATAACAGCTCGTAAAGCAAGTCCAATATTGCTTTCTGTGTGGAGATGCCAATCAGTTAGATATATATACATATATATATACATAGATAGTTTTTGTACATACTCGAACTTCAATTTGATTTAAATATAAAGCGTCCACTATTGCTTTCAAACCCGAAGGTTTGCTTGGATCACAGAATTCGAGTGTGCCCGTCCAGCTGCGCAGCACGGAAAGCAACGCCAGTCGGCAGCTGGTGTAACGCAACTCTCGAGCATCTCTGCAATCAAGTGAGATGATCAATGAAATTCAATAATAAAAATGAACAATTCAAATGAGAAATTACTTGTTTTTGTCCATGATGCCTAATCGATAAGTAAAGTCACAATATGGCGCCGCCAGGCAATCGAGTCGGACACCGCAAATGTTGCGCGTCTGGGGCCATTCGAGCAGATAGAGCAGCACACCGCACAGACTTTCGGCGATGCGTGGATTGTGGCACTCGAGTACGTTGCGGGTGATTGATGTAACGCCACCGCACACAATCAGCAGCGCCGGATTGAGTACAGCGATTTCGGCGAGCGTTGCAAGGCAGGCACGCAACAGATTATCGCTCTCCTCAATGCCGCTGTCGGCCAGCGATACTAGGCATCTGATCACCACTGGACTGATATCCTCCGGCGCAATCGCAAGCATTTTGCGTACCAATTTCAATGCCTGAACGCGCTCATCATCGTTCTTGAGCATCAGATCAATGGAGCGGCATAACAAATGCTGCAACTGCAGCGAATTGAATGCCTTGATATCCTTTGACGATCTCAGCGTATACCGAATCGTGCGCAATGCAGCCGCACGCACCTGCGTGAATGTGTGCACCAACGAGGCGCTCAGGCTGCAACAACAACAAAAACAACAACAACGATAATATAATAATTATAATAAATATATATATAGCAATTGTCACCAGTAGAGCAGCTCCTCGGTGCTAAAGCGTAGATTATTGTGCGGTGAGCCCGTGTTGGCCGCCAGGCAGAGCGAGGCCAGCGCATTGAGCAGGAACAGACGCTTTGTGTCTCGGGTCTTCTCCACACTGAGCATCGCGTATATGTCATAGGCATTTTCTGCCGCCGATTTTTTTGAGTCCAAACGATAAAAGTCTTCCGGATCCTGCGAGTCTGAAAACAACAACAAAATTATGTTCATATTTTCTCATTACACACATCTTAAAAATATATATTACAATTTCAACAACGAATATCAAATATTTAAAACTAAAAAAGATATTTATAAATTTGGGATTTATAATGTTTTAATTAAATAATACATATATATAAAAAATTATTAATAGGAATCATTCGCAAACCACTGTATATATCCCAGTCTAAAAAATTATAAGACCTCAACCATATTTAATCTCTTCCGCGACAAGATTAAAAACTATCAACAAAAATATTTATATATATATATATATATAAAAATGGAGCTAATAGTTTTTTATCGTGTTGCTTGATATAATTTGTTTTTATCATGGTACAAAGTTATGGCAATGATCGTCAAAAGGAATAAAATGGAAATTATTTGTGTTTAATTTTGATTTTTTCTTTCGTGAATTGAATATTTTAAAAATTTCAAGTGTAATTCGGCATCAAATTTGCATAGTTATAGACAGAGAATAAGCACATATATAATATCAATAATATAATAAAATAGTAGTCAAGGTGAAATTGCTACACCATCGAAATTAATCAGCGCCAACTGCTGTCGTCAACAGCGCTGCCGGCGCACGTGAAATTCTTGTTGTTGTTTTTGTTGTGATTGCAGTCCAGCGAAACCTTACTGTACATGAACGACAAGAAGCAACATACACACACAGACACAGACAGACACACACACACACACAGACACACACACACTCAGAAATAAAAAGAAATTAACAACAAATGTGTGTTTTTGTTTTTGATGTTGCTTTTGTGTTTGTTTTAGCTTGCTGCGTCATCGTTGGGGCCTCTAATAATAGAAACCAAATATGTCGAAAAATATTTGGCCAAACGAAACATAAATATACATATATGTATATATATATATATATATATATGTATATGTTCATATGCGTTTACATATACAAACATATCAAATAAATTTAAGTATGTACAATGCGGGAATGTCAAAAAGAATGGTGCCAAGCGGCGGCGGCTGCTGCTGCTGTAACTTTGATACCGTTATGCGCAATCGACTTTGCCTGCGAGTGAGTGGATTACGCGAGGCTCTGCTAAAAACAACAATAACGTCGTCGCTGCTGCGTTAGCAGTTGATGCTTTAACAGTAATGTAAACAAATATTCTCAGGTCGATGAAGTATATACACTCTCACACATACATAGATATACAAATGCATGCGCATGCATAGCATAGACATGTATGCTAGCGATGGATGACGAAAAAAGAAGACATGCGCCTGTCGCCTGTTAGCAATACAGTTACATGTGCCTCCGTGCATGCATGAGAATATAGCTAAACCACATGCTATTGGGCATGCTAGAAATAACACTAACATATCGCAGTATGTTATGTATATTTACATGGCTGCATCTGTATGGCATGCACATATGTAAACAGTTGCGTTGCCGATACATAAATATGTTAATTAACATTTGTAGTTAGCCTAGACATCACATTATGTAGTACCTTTAATGCGTAATTGCTTCATTCTTTTCTTGCCAAAACGCCAACTGGAATGTAGGGAGGCCATAATCTCAGGGCAACGGCGAAGATGGCGGTTGTGGTGGCAGCGGCGCCCATTCGCCGCCGATGCCAAATCAAAATAATAAGATCACACGAGAAAATAAAAATATATTGCTTTAAATTTCACTTGAGGTGCCACTGTTTACTTTCTACATTTTATTTGCATTTCATGGCACTGTTTGCACTGTTGTTGATATTGATAGCGATGTTAATCTCCAGCTGGTCAACATTTGCATATTATAACATTAAATCACGTTTCAAATCACTTTCAAATATATTTTTGGCTCGTATACGTGTGTTTTGATAACATGCACTTTGGCTTTCATTAATATCAATATTTTATTTGCAAAGGGAACCAAACGCAAAGTTGACTAGCGGACGCGTTGTTTTTTTTTGTTTTTTTTTTTTGTAGAAAAATAGCAGCAATGAGAACAATCGATAACTGGCAGGGCTGCATTTTGTAACGCTCACCCATCCCTAGTTTACTTAAAAAGCATAAGACCGCGATTTTTTGAGCAGTTGGCAGCACTGCTAATGATGTAAATTGTCTTAAAACGATTAAACCAATTTAAAATCAGAAATTACTTTCTATGGGTTTTGCTGCCAATTTTGTATGTCATATTTTCAGTGGAAATTTTTAATCGTAATGGTGGAGTACAAAAATTCGAAATATATTCGGTATTTAAACTAAATCTATCGATGTATGTGCGATGAAACTGCATATCGGATAGGGTCGATACCAAAGTATAATGAAATGCGACATCGATAGCATCGATACTTTTACAATATCTCCTGTATCTCGAGTTGCTTGGTTTTTGAAATATCACGCCAAAACCAATCATTATGATTTTCATGGAGTAAACCAATTCTGAAGTAATTTATTTTTATTAGTGTAGCCAAGTAAAGTCGGAGAGCCAGCTGCCCCACTATATCTAAGCCTCATATATATTCAACGTGGTTTTGAGTACTGTTTCCTTTAGGAAATGGCCAAACTGAGGTTTAAAAACAATCCAAAATATGTCAGCCAAATAAAGTTTTCGGAGGCGAATCCCAATGTTAATAGAAATTTACAGCTCTCCACATCCATTTGAATTAGTAAATGAATTCAGGATAAAGGATTAATTTGCAGGCGCTGTAATTGCCGGCTGTTTAGTTCTGAGCGTTAAGACTAAGTGTCTTGTATTGGTTCTGTTCTTCTAGTCAATAAACGGCTGTGGGTTCGAATCCCGCGATGAGCATGGTTGTTGCATGACTTGTGATTGTTTTGCTCAAAATATACCCATACTATGGTCGCTCGTCTCTCTCTCTCTGTCTTGTCTGTGTTTCTATGCAAAAACTAGTCCATCGGCAGCTAATCTTGGTCGTCAACCCTTGGAAACTAAAAGTGATAAAAGAAATATGCAACATCTTCCTGAAAACTCAACCATTCGTTCTAGTCGTCTAGTCTAGTCTAGTTCCCTTTCTAAGGTTCTAGTCTCTCACGTACAACTAATTCTAATTCAAATTCTAAATTTGATAAACTATCTGAAATTGTTGTGTATTAACATTTTTAAATTAATAATTGGAGTAAGAAAAGAAAGTGATGTTATAATTCGGGGAACCCATAAAAAAAAAGGAGAATTAGGCATCTATTCTCTAAATTTAAGATAAATCGATCCTGGTATTAAGTAAATATAAGTTTTGGTTCTTAGAAACAGGCAAACTTACGCTTTGAAAATATGCTTTCTGAGCAATAAGTTGAGCCAAAAGTATGAAGATTTTCTAGGATCAAAAAGTCAGCTTTTTAATTTATAAAAATGGGCAGCTTGACTCCGGTCTGGAAGAGTTTATATATAATATATATATGTATACTTTATTTAAATTATTATTATTATTTATAGACAAATGGAGACTATGTCTATGATGTACCCAAGGCGGGTGCCCATCTAACCCTGCTGGGTTGCCTTAGTCTACATTCTTCAGATGTATTCCAAACATTACATCTACAAAGTAGAAATGGTGGACAACTAAATATATTCATAGTCTACACAGTCCAGGATGACGTCGCGCATTCGTTGCTTGTAGAGCGACTCGTTGCCAACGCCCAGAAATCCCGATGTGCTGGCGCCGCCTTCGACCAGGTCGCTAATCACCTGCAGATCGGGCACATCTTCGCCACGCATGGTCACTATTGGTAATACCATCATGGCTAACAGCAATCCCACAGCGCCCTTTTCGCGCAATTGTTGCTCGAATGCGTCAAATGGAAATAATGTGGCTGCTGTTTCGCCCAATCTGTCAGAGAATTCAGAAATTGAGAACTGTTCCGAGTTCAATTTCAAAAGCAAGCACTCACCTGGCCAGCTGTTGGCCCAATTCCTTGTAGTACAGTTGCAACATCGGCCTGAAGTGTTGCTGTCGAAATTGTCGTGTCGTGCAGCTAAACAGAAAGTAGACCAAATCGGTTATCGGCGAGGCATATCGCATCAGTTGCCAATCAATTAGGCACACATCCAATGGCTGCTTTGTCGCCACATCGCATTTGTACAGAAAATTATTGTTCCAACTGTCGCCGTGGCAAACGACAGCATATGGCTCACAGTTCATGCCACTGAGCAGTGGCAGCAGTAGCTCAAAATAGCTGCCACGCCCAAAGTATGCCTGCAAACGTTGCACATAGTGTGCATCTTGCTGCTGATGCAGTGCATCCAGTGCGTTCTGCTTCAGCTGCTCGAAGTAGGCACCCAAAGCGGCATCATTGCGGCGCTGTTCAAATATGTCCACAAGTGTCTGAAATGGCAACAGCAGCCGCTGCTGCTGCTGCTGCGACTTACATTTTGCTTTCAGTGCCAAGGATGTGGCATGCAACTTGGCATATGCGCCCATCACGAGTGAGACGTGTGCGGGCGTTAAGTCCGTGAAACGATCATGCAGCTGATAGTGGCGACGGCACAAATCCTCCAGTACAATGCACTCGTTGGGCTCATCCTGGCGGGTAACCAAGCAGCGGGCATGTTGGCGAAAACGCTCCGTTTTGCTCAGCTTTTGATCGGCCTGAAAACGTTGAATCAGCGGCAAAAACTCTTCGTATGCAAGCGACTCGCGTGTAAAGCATGGCCGGGCAAAAAACTGTTTGCGCCTAACCGTATTTTGTGGCGGCAACTTAAGGATTAGACTCCTTTGCCCCTCGACCTCCTGCTCTACCTCAACCGCCAGTTGCCCCTGCTCCTTTGGCACGTGTATGCGCCACACAATGCCCAAATAGTTATCGCCCTTGGCACAAGCCAACTCCAGCCCATAATCCTTGCATCCCAGCAACTGCTCGAGTGTCTGACGCACACTGGCATTGGGCAGATCCTCCTGCTGCTCCTGCTTCTCCTGCTGCTGGGCCATCGCGGCAGACTCTGCGTACTGTGTGCAGCTGGCTTTAACCGGCAATTGCTTTTATAGCCATATGCACCATGTATATATGTATTCGCCTACATATATATGTATCAGTGATGTCATTTTGGAGGGATCGCCACCAGAGTCCGTGATTGTAATTTTTTTTTTTTTTGTTAAATATTTTTGTTTATTGATTTAAATATTATTTATATATTATACTGATTAATAATTTTTATATTTTTAAATATATATCATTTTCTATGTTTTTTTTTTTTTAATTGATTTTCTTTCGATCATTGCCAACACAGTTTGGTTTATATATGTGCATATATACATATATACATACATAGCTATATATTTATAGTCAGACCGCAACCGCAAATTCGTAACTCAAATTTCAATGCTTATTATTGCAGCACCCAACCAATAAAAATTGTAATAATAATAGTAAGTTCACCATTGGTTACCTAAAGAAACTGCTGCCCAGTTCAAAGGTCCTCAAATAGCAGCTTGGATCCAGTAATATTCAATTGGAACAACATCATATCAAGCAGGTCAAGCAAGAACATTTAATCGATGACATCTGCTTTTTTTTTTATTAATGTAGTTCTCCTTTTTTTCTAAAAACTGAAGAGGAAGTCTTCAACTTAAAGCTGTATCTGCATTTAGTTTATGGTATAAGTTGTTAGTAAAAAATTGTCTGCTAGGAAACATCCTTTCCAAATAATATTCGGATATTATTTCGCAGTAAAATAGTACAAAAAAAATGATAAATATCTAATACGAGTATTTTTAAAGGTTTGACTAAAGTAGGCTATGAAAAATGTAGAAACATCTGCATACATACATATATATATATATATATATAGATTTATATACGTAAGAACAACTGAAAGCTTTTCCCGCTCTTCTTTGTTTAGCTTTCACTCGATTTGCAAACCCAGGCGATGTAATTTCAACATCAACATCTACATATGTATGTATATGCATGCGTATGTACAGATATATGTATATTTATAAATGTTTAAGCATTAAATTTAATGTAATGAGTTGGCTCTGTTCAGAATTCATGCCTACAAATATTCAAATTGGCCGCAACATCCTCGATAGTATAGTGGTTAGTATCCCCGCCTGTCACGCGGGAGACCGGGGTTCAATTCCCCGTCGGGGAGAGAAGGGTAGTTCCTTCCTTCTTTTTTTATCAAACATATTTTCTATTTTAATTAATATAATATACAACTATCAAATATGTATATATGTATGTAGATTCTTAAGATTTGAATCATTTGCCTTTGTCCCTTCACCTTCGTAATTACTATCAATATTTCTCTGTCTCACTCCCTCTCGTTTGTCTCTATGACCATCCCTCGCTTTCACACTTTCTCAACTTGTAATTTAATTTGCGGTTTTCACTTGGATTTGATTTTGTGCCACCTGTCATTTAAGGCCACTAATGCACCTCATATTTAATGATTTTTTGTTATATTTATTATGTTTAAAGATACAACAACTTAATAACCAAGTCAAAGAAGCCGGCCGCTGTTTCTGCCTGCTATCAGCAGCAAAAACAACAGCGCACTGACCGATATTGTCTGGTAATATTGTTGCATGTGTGTGTGTTCGCTGGTAAACAAGATAACGGGTAGTGCAGGAAAATATATATGTATATATAAGTACATACATATGTATGTGTGTATTTGCTCCAAAATTAGAACATATGTATGAATGTATTTGTATGTACGATGTGTGTGATTGCAAATCGCTAATAGATAAGGCGTACATTTTATATATTTTTTTTTTGTTTTGATCTAAATACATACATGTATGTACGTAGGTATGTACATACAGGTACATGCCGCAGAAACGATCACAACAACAATGGAAGAAGCAACACTATTGCGGTTTGTGCGAAGTACAAAGTGTAATCGTGGATAATCAAAGATCGAACAAAAACAAAACAAAAAATAAACAACAGCAGCAGAAACCGGCTAGCAAAAAGCCAAGCGCAAGAAATCAACACATAAGCAATGAACGACAAACAAAACAGAAAAGAAGATTAGCAAACAAGAACTATAATTTTCGGTGGGGCGAAGATTAAATACCCTTGGAGACAAAGTTTCATTTGCATGAAAGGTCAATTATAGTTTATTATCCTGTATAATATACGGATGTCCGGTCGGATAGCGAAAAAAGGCGATAGATTCAAATGAAACTGGTTGATGAATTGAGTTTAAGTTTAACTAAACAGCTGGATATAGCATAAATTGAAGCCGATATGTTGTATATTTTATATTGTACTAAAATTCGATTTGATATTATTTTTTTTAAGAAAAATTCATTTAAATTGAATTGATAATTCATTTCAAACTAATAAAAAAGTTTAAGCTTATCAGATAGACAACATGCCACACCCTTCTACATTATGTGTATGAAAGTCAATCGAGCCGATTTTAAATTTTTATAGGGTGCACAAAATCGTCTATTAAATGCGCCGCAAAAACAAACCAGCAAACGAAATAACAACACAAACACCATTACCAACAACAATAATAATAATAATCATTTAAAAAATAGTAATAATACAAATTGATAACCAGTTAAAGAGCTGATCAAGAAATCTCAATCAGAAGATACCCAGTACACAATTAATTGCCCCAAAATACGGACTGCAAATCAAATAATAATGAATGCAAATATATATATATTTTTTTTAATTGTGAGTTGTAGATAAAATGTAATAAGCTTCAACTGCTTTTGAAGTTTGATTTTTGTATCTGGCAAATTGGCATACGCATTTATATATACCCTTTATATCAATGCTCAATGGGTGCAAGTCATAAGCACAGCAGCAAAAACAGCGAACGCAAGAAAATGCCAAACGAAATCAAACAAGTGTGATTCAAAATGTTCGGCGAGAAAATACCCTGCGATTACGAACCTGTATACAAATCATGCTTATGCATTAACATTACTGATCATATGTATACAAACATTCTTATGTATATCCCTTTTACCTATCCTGATACGTATAGGGTATAAAAACAGGCAAGCACCGAACAGCTTCTTTTATTTTTCTTGCATTGCTGATACTACAAGCAAAAGAAGCAAATCGACGACGCGTCATCAGCAGCAGCGGCACGCATGTGTACATTTAAACGCCCCGCTGCTTTTCCCCCCTCTACGTAAAATACACACATACACGCATACATATGCATAATTCGAATGCGGCGCAGGCGCAGTGGACAGACAGACGGTGGAGGCTTTGCCTATGCAGTGCTGCGACGCCGGCGCTGGCGTTGGCAGCGTTCGTCACTGCGAATGCGTCGCAGTTTAAAATGTCGCATTCGGCGACGCTTTCAGCTCAGTCTAAAAGCAGCACTCAGAGCGATCGAACAGAAGGCAACTGTCCTTGTTACTAAGTCTAGTTGCAGTCGATTGTTTTTGTTATTATTATTGTGATATTGTTGTCATTGTTTTTGATTGCAATACCGATTAATTTGATTTGATTTCCCGTTTTGTGGAAATAAAAACAATATCGTAAAACTTCAACAAAATTAATTAAGTTCAAAACGGTGGACAAACGAGAACAAAATGACGCAACCGTTGAAATTCTATTTTGATTTGCTGAATCAATCCAGCCGCGCCCTCTACATATTTCTGGAGGCATCCAAAATCCCATTCGAGGCGATACCTATTTCAATGGTCAAAGGTATGTCCACATATTGATATTTTGAGTACGTGCCGAAATGTGTCTAACTAACCCAAATGTTGATCAACCTGCATCAGCCCATGGACAAACACACAGACATACACATATATACATACACACATGCACATACATACATACACATGTACTTTGGTCTATTCGTTTTTATGTGATATTTTTGTAGTGTTTTCAAAAATTTTCCACTTTGGTCAACATTCCGATTATCAAGTTTTCGGAGGGGAAAGTGCAATACGTATGTATGTATTGTATTGTATGTATGAATGTATGTACATAAATGTGTATGCAAACGCCTTGACAATGGATTAGGTAATATAGTTTAGTGGCACATCTAAACAATATTGTAACCCAATCTATACGTGCCTCTTCCAATTTCACGATCTTATGACTTATAACTAGATGATACATGCACATATATATATATATATTTATATATGCACCAATTTGAATAATACAATAATAAAAAAATTGTCTGCCAAAAAAAAAAAAAAAAAAACACTTAATGGGATTATCTATGGGCCTGGAATCTGGCGTTGTGTATTGAACACACATAGAATATACAATGAAATTACTTCACACGCAGTTGCAAAGTTTGCTCTTTTGGTGTAGAGTCGGTGTCTAAAGCGCTTGCAACAATGTCAACACGTTAACAACAATACAAATAACGAACAACAGCAGAAAAGACAGAAAGAAAGGAAAAAAAAAATAGAACAAGCTTTTGTTAGCAGCGCGTGCGTCTTACCATATATTATTTAGCATCTAGCCAATTTGATAGCCATTTGAAAGCCAGCTCAAGCATGGCTCAGCCGAGCCTCGGCGCTCGTATGTCTGTAGTTGTGAACTTGGTCAAGGTTAAGTGCCATCGCACCACCGTCCAAAACAAAGCTATTTGAATGCAAAAACTTGTCATCAGTTATGCATATACATATATGTATATATTTTTATATATGTATATATGTATATTTTACATTTTGGCCATAACTCGTATCCGCATCTGTGAAACACAAATTGCAGATTTGATCAGAGCTTCCTTGTTGCCACAGTTTAATGCAAGTGATACACAAAACTTGCTCATTGCTGGACTTTAAACCCAATCGAAATCGAAATCGCAATGCAACTATTGTTGTTCAGTTGTTGCATGTATATATATTTATATTTTTGGCCTCGAGGCAGTGCATTGAGCCCAGGTGTAAACAGTAAATAGTCAATAGACATATATGTATATACTATTCTATTACAAGCTTAGAAACAGACGATTTGCTAGAGTCTTGAGCGCAGACAGCCTTGGCCAGGTTAAAGACTTTGCTTGACTGCGCTTGTTGCTCACTTTTTCAAATGAGAAAAATAGCAAAAATGCACTTTACAAGCATAAATAAACAAATAAAAGCCGACTTTTCAATATGTAAATTATGAAAACACTAAATTTTGAATAGCAATAACAATGTTTTATCTACATTGTTTGTCACATAAGTTTGCCATCTTAAATATTGCATCATTATAATTATAGTGTATATATGTATATGTATATAGTAGTTCAGACCTCACAAATCAGATATTCAGTTAGATCATGCCACTTGACTAGCGTGGTAATTAGGAAGGGGTGCAAGGGCGCCATCCTTTGTTGACCGACTGGAGCTGCACTTGCTTATCATGTGAATTAACTAGTAGGTTGAATGGAACGAAAACAAATGGCGCCACATCACGTAGGCTTCAGCCAAATCTAGCGGTCACAGTGATGCCATAAAAAAAAGTCCAAAATAGCGACAGAAAAATTTTTATATTTTTTATATTTAAATATATGCATACATTTATAGACTTTTAAATCGTAGTAAATTGTTTAAATATTCGTATTTCAATATAGAAAACAACGGCAAATATGGGAATTATGAAAAACAATTTGTTATCGATTTTATTGAAATAAGTATTCTATATATATAAATATATATATAATTATGGCATTTGGTTTGAATAATTGAAATTGTCTTATAAATTCAATTGATTGTTTTATTTACAAATGTGTCAAAAGTGCCAAATGGTCATCACTATTGAGTGTTGCGATTAAAATTAAATTGTTAGTGTGCCAAATGCCCTTTGACAATGATTTTGAGCTTATCAAAATTCAAGTACACAATTATTCCATCATTTTCAATTGGCTGCAATTAAATGTTTGACACAATTGTCTGGGACACTGACAACACCTAAGTACACACACATATACATACATACATATAAATATTAATCTAATGAATTCAGTGCCATGCTTGGAAAGAATGATTAAATGCTTCCACTATTTAATTTTTAAGCAATTAATTTTTTTTTTTTATTTTGAACACGACACAATAAATGCACTGTTAATAATTGATTATTTGAATATTTTGTTTAAACATTTATTGATTGCAAGTAATCAATGCAATGCATTTGTTTTTCATAACTTTTCCAGGTGAGCATTTGACGGGCGAGTTTCGAGACAATGTAAATCGCTTCCGCAAGCTGCCCGCGATCACCGATCACGGCTATCAGCTATCGGAGAGTGCGGCCATCTTCCGTCATCTGGCGAGGGAGAAGCTTGTTCCAGAGCACTGGTATCCGCGCCGTCATCTGGGTCGCAGTCGCACCGATGAGTATCTCGCCTGGCAGCAATCAAACATGACGGTGGCCACCACTGATTACTTCCAGCAAAAGTGGCTGGTGCCTTACCTGCAGAAAACCCGGCCATCCGAAAGTGCGGTAAGTTCGTATACCCAATCTCCAATTTATGTGTGTCTTTAACTTGATAATAAATACCAAAATTAAGACTATTAATGATAGATAATAGAAATGTTGTTCTTGTCTCTTTGTCGTGTCAGACAAAGTGTTAAAATTGGGTTGCTACGTCCACGTCTTCGACATCGATAAAATCCATAATCGCGAATCGATAAGGCCCCCCCCATATCTCCCAAAACTTTAATGCTCAGTCAGTAAATTTGGTTGATAGATTGTTGGCGATGTCTTTCATAGATCAAAATTTCCAAATTTCTCTTAAGCTTACATCTTCCGCAATTGTAGAGCTAAGATTACCAAACTTGGAAGGCCGTTGACTAGCAAACATCGCCAACATTTTGTACAATTTGAAAGCCACTCTTGGAGGGAACATTTCGTGAAATTTCCAGCAAATATCAGCAAATTGTTTTGTGGTACCTGTTATCAGCTGATATTACTTATTAGTATCAGAGCATTTCGTTCTCGCTTATGGATTATTTGATGAATATATTTCGCACAGTCGGAGATTATTCGAGAAATCAATTACATTCTTATAGAAATTTGCCGTAATTTGCGTGTGACACTAAATAATATGGACTTTAAAAATGCCTTCTGTGACGAATGAAAAATGTATCTTTAAGATTTCTATTACATCACAGGATATATATATATATATATATGTTTATAATAAATGATCTTCTATGCAGGTTAATGTGGCCGGCAAACAGGTTGAGCACACGCTGAATGACTTTGAGCAACTGTTCCTGAATTCGCGCAAGTTTATACTTGGCAATAACATCTCCTATGCGGATCTGAGTGCCATCTGTGAAGTTGATCAGACCAGTAAGTAATTGCAGATTATTTGAATGAAATTTGTACTAATCTTAGCCAGTCTCTCTCTCTCTCTCTCTGAATTGCAGAAGCAATCGGCTTCGGCGCCTTCAAGAATCGCAACAAACTAGCCGACTGGTATAAGTCAGTGGCCGAGGAGCTGGGTCCCTATTATAAGAGTGTCCAAAAAGAGTTCAACGCCAAGTTGAAACTTAACAATGGGCAGCAGCAACAGGGCGAGGCGCAGGCGCATGCTTTGAAGCAGTAAACAGTTCTTGTCCAACTCCGATCCAATTTGTATTTATTTTGATATCTTGTTTTTTTTTTTTATTTTTTATTTTTTGTAATTTTATTTTATTATTTGTTGTAACATTTTTTTTTTATTATTATTTTGACGCACCTCACTTAAATGGAAAATGTTTTAATAGAATTTTCGCTGATGGGCGCAAACTAAGCTGTTAGTTATTAAATGTGTAAAAACTTAAACAACAAAATATTTGTATGTACAAATATATAAAAACCTAAACAACAAGATATATATATATATATGTATCTATATATATAAATATGTTAAAACTTATATTAAAAATATCACATAATAATCCGAAAACAAACCAAAATCTCTCTCAACTGAACTGAATATTCAAAATAGCTGTTGTAGTAGACAAGAAACCCGATGGAGAAACTTCTGTGGACCAGATGAAAATACTTTAACATGTACATATTTAAATCAATTGAATGTTTCTTTATTTGCTCATTGGATGTTTTTATTTTTATTTTTGTGTGTGTTTTTCTTTTTTTGTTATTTCGTTAGGGTTTCTATATTGTTTCTAAATTTGGTTTTTATGTTATTCTTTTTTACAACAATTCACTTTTGCTTTTGAAAATTTACTGGCTTTGTTTTGAGTTTTTGATTTTAGTTGTTATGTGTTTCTAATAAAAAGTAACTCGAATGGTATTGGATTAAATGAGCTACAGCTAATTAAGAAATGTATGTACCCAAATTGTGATTGTGAAAACAAATTTACTATTTGAAGCGTGTTGTGTAAATGAGGGTCTCAATCATGCTTGTTAAAATGCGCTTACAAATATGTATGTACTCGTATGTATATATGTATACATAGGGTTTATAGTCAAATATATTAATATTTATTGGTTTCGTTTTGGTTAGCTTAAATCTTGTAGTGTTTTTTTCTTTTGACTTTAAATATTGCCCACGTTTGTTGCTGTTCTTGGATTGTATTATTTGCGTGCTTTTTGTTTGTGTGATTAGTTTTTAGCTCATTCTTGTTGCTCTTTGCTTGGTTATTGCTATTACATTCATATATGGAAGTACATATGCCACATATAGATTCATATCTGTGTAAATATATGTAAGCGGTATTTTGTTTTTCTTTTTTAGTCGAAAGGCACTGCTGCATTCTAACGCGTTCTTATCTCATCGTTTTTAATATATTTTTTTTTTCTGCATTTTCTCTATACTTTCTTGAAATTTGAGTAGTTTTGTTTTGTTTTTGTTTTTTATTTATTGATTTCAGCTTAAGTCTTATGCATGCCACATGCGTACATATATATGCAACTATATATGTACGAATGTAAAATAATTTGTCAATGCGTTTGTGCCTTGGCCTTAAACTTGTCTTGTCTTGTTGATTTCTCAACTGAGTACTGCTTAGATAGATAAAAAAAAAAACAAACAAAAACAAAAACACAAAACAACGAAATATATTTAAGTTCTTATATATTAATATACCTAAGCTCTACATGGAAACTTGAAACATTTTACAACAATATTTGAAGCACACCAAAATATTTGTTTTCGAGTCCTTTGCTAGCTGTACGAATCATAACTGGCTCACACATACAAATGTATGTATAAACATATGTACATCTGAACGTATTGGTATGAACATATGTATATACATACAGATGAAGTCGTACTTTTAAAAAGGGGTTTCATCAATGATACATTGTATGTTTATTTATTTTAATTGTTGTTTTTGTTGTTGTTTTTGTTGATGTATACATTTTGTGCAATAGGAACACGGTTGGCCATTAGAAGCGGCAATTGCGGGCCAAGCCTGTCATCAAGTTACAATTATCAGCCAATAATTTAAGAATTATCTATCTACATATTTGTACATACATTCATGTACATGTGTATTTGTTTCTCTATACATACATTTATCATTTTCAATTGTGCATTTGTTTAAGTCAATTTGCCAAAATACAAATCACAAACAAACCAACAACAAAAAAAAAAATCGATTTTTATCGGGAAGCCAAAATTTGTCTCTTGTTTTTCATATAAATTTTAAATGTTGTTATTTAAAATCAAATAAAATAAATCGAAAAATCCAATAATCCAATTTAGTTTGATTTTGTATTTTTGGCATTTTTTGATTTCAGACGTTTAAAAAACGACAACCTATCAAAAAAAAAAAAAAAATGCATTCATTTAAAAATGTTTGAACTGCAGTTTAAAAGCTTACAACTACAATGACGCTTGAGATGTCGCTGCCAATTTGTTATTATTATACTTATTATTATTATTATTATTCCAGCTGGCCACCATGGTCGCCCATGGACTCATCGATGGCATCCTCGTCATGCTCGTTGAGCAGCAATGGACTGTCGTCGCCCAGCCGATTGGGCGGCAATCCACTGCCGGGTGTTGTTGGCGCCGAGCGTGTTATCCAACCCTTGCGGGCAACACGTCCGCGATTCACAAAGAAATTGGCGCCGCTGACAACGCTGCTAATGGGACTCTTGAGCACACAGCGCTGTGCAGATGGTGGCGTCAAAACGGCCATTGGTATATAAAGCGCCTTATTTGGCGGCTTTGATGCATAATATTTCTTGGCCTTACTGGATGCGGATGCGGATGCGGATGAGGATGAGGATGTTGGCTGCTGATGTTGCAGTGTAGCTGGTCGTGTCATTGGTGTGGAAAGTGTATGCTGTAGTCGCGATTTCGCACCACCATTCAGCAGCAGCTGTTCATAGTTGACGTCCGCCTGCAGTTGACTGATTTGATCGAGAATCTCACGCACCTCGCCCGTGGGACTGGTCGCCTGGGGCGGTGAGCTTGGCGTACCAATATTCGATAGGCTGCTCACACCAGAAACGGTGCTGGCTGTGGTTGGTCCTGTTGCCGTTGCTGCTGCTGCTGCTGCTGCCGTTGCCGCTTGCGTTGTCGACGCCACCTGGCAGCAATTGTCCAAGCTGTGCAACGGATTCGCTTGTATGCAACCGTTGCCATAGATGACCGATGTGCCACCGGCAGCCATTGCCAGGCTGCACAGCGATGTTGCCTGCGTGGCAGCCTCTCCCATAATGCCAGCCTGATCCGCTCCCGTGCCACCGAAGCCCGCTGCGCAACTGTTATTCACGAATATATCACTGAGGCTGCTGCTGCTATTATTTCCCATATACCGAAAATGCTGATCGCTCTGCGATTGCAAAAAACCACCTCCTCCTCCTCCTCCTCCTCCACATCCACCTCCTAATCCTCCTCCTCCGGTAGACTCATTGCCGGACTCGTCCGGCGAAAAGTGTCCGCTGTGCGAGGCATGCAGTCGTGTACTGTAATGCGCTGATCCGGCGCCAACACCCATATTCCCACCCAGAGCGACCGTGGCGTAGTGCATCTGCATTGCCTGGCGCGGCTGATAGTCCGGTTCCACCAGCTGCGAGGCGGAGCGTGGCAAGCCGTATTGCGGCCCAACCAATTGCGATGATAGTGGTACCGTCGTCGTTGCCGTCGTCGCCGCTAGCTCTCGATGTGCACCACCACCATAATGCATGCTCAGCTCGGGGCTGGCTGCCCGGGAATAGGGCGGTGGCACCAGTGTGTTTGCCTCATTGATGTTGCATATGAAGCTTGAGCTGAGCGAGTCAACGGTGCTGGCGGCACTCAACGAACCAGCCGGACGCACAATATAATTGCGAAAATATTGCACCATCAGATAGCTGGAGCCGGCATTCCCCTTGCTATTGTCGCTGTTGCACGTGAAGACGAGCGGATATAGATCCGGCTTTGAGGTTACCTGTCATGGAATGGATTTTAAATTAGTGATCCACAATAAATTCCATAATAAACTCAATTTAATTCATTTAAATGCGTGCTCCACTTTACGGGAAAGTTTTCCGTTTCGGGTTTTGCTTTGAAACAAACTCGTCCGTTTCCGGCTTTGGGTGCCTCAATTTACGCACAATTTTGTTAGCGATGTGAGTTTCAATTGACGATGTTCGCAATAAAAGCAATTATAAAAAACGAAATTCTTTTTCCGTTTTCGCAAAATTGGAGCACGCCTGTTTTTAAGTAAAGACAACAATAATTTCTAAAGGAATAATATTTTTGGACTTACTTCCGTGTAGGGCGGCGGCGGATGATGAAATGAATTACAGCGGCTATATTGCGGCGGTGCATAACATGAGCCGGCCGAATCTCCCTCGGATTGTGTATGATGCTCCGTAAAGCCCCATCCGCAGAGTGTGCGTCGTTTCTTCCACAGCGAATAGGCACAGAGTATGGCCAGGATGACGGCAACCACCACGCACCTGACAGTGATGAGACGAATAATAATAAACACAACAAATGATTAGTTGAGGGATCAGTGAATGGATCCCCTGGCTTACTGCTCCGTTTGCAGCTGGCGTGACTGTATAAAGAAGCCCATTTGGGATTAGGAGGGTGAGTAAGAAGTGAGAACGATGGGAACAGGACAGGATATTGCTTAGTTACGGCCTGGCTGCGTTCGCAAACGAATTCAAACTAAATGGGTTTCAACTGTTTGGTTGGTTTGGTCGCTTGGCATTTTGGCGACTTGAGATTTGATTATGTGACACACACACACACACACACATACATACATACATACATACATATGTTCGAGGGGGTTTAAAACAACACACAAGACAGTGTCTCATTAGTTGGCAATGCCATTTGGCGTTCTCTGTCTCGTCTCGTCTCTGAGGAACCCGGGCCGGACTTGCATAAGGCCTCGACTTGAGTTGACTTGACTTGACTTGACGCAACTCAGCTAGGGGCCACCTTTGCTGCCAATAATAATACTCATACTCTTTCGCAGTCATATACATACACAGATACACAATGCCAATCAAGCCCCTCCCGGCAGCCTTGAACGTTATGCAGAAGAGCTGCCCCTACCACCCCCTGCGGTCACACAGGAGACTGCGGGCAACTGCAACCACAAATGCTAATAATGGCGACGATAGTAGCTGGACAATATATTTAATTTGCCCCCCAAAATAAAAAAGAATAAATAAAAAAGACGAGTTAGAGTACTACTTACCAGAAGAACCAGTGGCTGATGAAGAACAAGTTGAGGACATGCTCCGATGGTGGAGGCAGCTGTCGCGGTCCACCCTGATACGGTGGGCAGCAGCCCTGGGTGCAGCACTCGCGTGGCAGCGAACAGATGTGACCACCCTCGCAGAAGCGTGCCGTTACCTGTTGTTGTTGTTGTTATCGTTGTTGTTGTGAGTTGGAAAAAAAGATCGAGAGAAAGGGTATTTAAACGCAGCAATTAGCTTTGTGTTTTTTGCACACAAGCAATCGAGTAAAGTGTGTGACGTGACTATTTATAGACAGGGGGATAAGTAACCAACATCCAATACATATACTGGTATATATGGGTATATATGTATGTATGTATGTAGGGGGTAGGGGGTATGTAGGAAGGACAGATAGAGCAGAAGAGAACTAATTGCTAAAGCGAACAAGTTGAATGTCATACTATTGACAAAGGCAAAACGCCAATGGCAAATGGTAGTACAACATACAACACAACATGGCAACAAGCAACAAATAAAAACACACAATCAAATAACAAAAGGCATCAAAACAAAAAATTTAGATTTGCTCCAGTTGGGGCAGCTCGACTAGGGGATACCCTGATATGATGATCCATG